GTGAAACATGTCTTGTATGGTCAGACATTATATTTTCAGTAAAGAATATTTTATCGAAAATGCGTAGGATTTCAGGGGTCTGTCTATTCACCAAAAATGATTGCAATTAACCCCCCCAGTTAAAAATAATTTTTTTTAGAACGATTTGAAATTTTTTTTCGCCGAAAAATTTCTTCACTTACTTGAATTTTTTTTCTCGAAAGTGAGTAGGATTTCGGGGATATATCTGTTCACCAAAAATGATTGTAATTAACCCCCGCAACCGAAAATAATTTTTCCAGAATAATTTGAAATTTTTTAATTTAATGTTTTAATAACTTTTTGACGAAGTCACAATCAAGAAATTAATATTCTTGATTTTCGTCTTATTTTGACTTCTAGAATCTCCCATTAAAATTTTTCCCAGGGGTGGTCAAACACCCTGTATATTTGGGTACTCTAGAAAATATAGCATATTTCAAACTTTTAATTTATTAAATACGACAAAGCGTTCTTTGAAGCAAAATAAAAATAACATTAAGTAAAATAATTCAGTTGCGATTGAGAGTCCTCTCAAGTGTTAAGCCTATCCGAATCTCACTCGAGCGAACTATATTTTCCAAATATAGTACTAAGTTTGTTTGAACAATCAAATACTCGATTCGATTGAAACAACCCAAACTAAGCTTGACTCGGTTTGTACGTTGAAATAGTTGGACACCTCTACTATCAGCTTCTTCATTTTCACTCCTTTCTAACGCGTGACTCGGTTAATTTCTCGTTGACACCGTGTCGTAAGTACTTATCGTTACGAACGGAGCGTAAAGTGCAAAACGGGGTATGCCTGCGTGTCATTGGATGTCGCATTAATGTCTATGAATCCCTTTGCTGGTGGACATCTTAGTTCGCTCGAGGACAGAAGCTCGCGGATCGAAGCCAGGGACACGCAGAAACCGGATGGTGAAACGAGCCGCGAGGAAGGACGGGGGTTGAACGTGGTATCCAGAACGATATAGCCGTGTCTCGTTCGGTCGTGCGTGACTGAGGGCTGTTAACCTAAACAACGTGCCACACCATCCATAGCCCAGTGACTCCGTTTCTCTGCATACCGTCAGCCTGTATACACAAGCACGTCGCGTTCAATTGTTGTGTCGTTGCATAGGCGGGACACGCGAACGCCCAGCGAAAACAAATCGAACGCCCGCCGTCAGAAGTCGCGTTCCGATCTCTTTTTACGCCGATGGGTTTACGCCCTGCTCCCTGCTGGATAATGAACGCGATACATCGAGAACGCAACGCTCACCGTCCGTTTATCCAATGCCGCGCCCTTCCGACCTCGGCCACCGTCGTTCGTGTTTTCTGCTCCTCCCTCGTCGCTTCGTTTGCCACATTTTCATTTATTTCGACTCGAAACGAACAAAAATTAACGGCAAAGGAGTAACATTTAACGCTAAACGCATACAGTAAGGAGCAAAAATACACACGCGACATTTTAACCAAAATCTTTATTCGATATTCTGGCTTTTCAAAGCAAATTTAACATTTCTGATATCATTGTTATTTCGCTTCGTACGATTTTTGTTTCCGTGTACTCGGTTTTGCACCGCGTTAAGATTCTCGGGATCGAGTACTGTGAACATAGATTTTGTGAACAACTCGATAGGTCGTGCAATAATATTATCATTCTCCTATAAATTTCCAATGAAGAATAGTATCATTCACAAAATTTGCTGTTAGTTGTGCGTAAGGTATAGAGAAAAAATACTGTAACGAAGTCCCTGCATCTTTTGGAGCATTATTATGGAATTTGATCGGCAGACCAGCTACGATTGACAGTCTGGCCAATAAATATTTTATATGTTATCGATTCAGTTTAAAAAAATTCGTTTTAGTCGCTCTTCGAATCTGGTCCACCGTGCGTCTTACAATTAGTTCGCGCCAGGTTGGCCAGCTAGCGCACGCGACACATATATAAAGCGACGTTAATCCTGTATCCCGTGGCTTCGCGCTTGACGTGTCGCATCGGTAGTCGTTTAATCGAGTTTCTCGCCACCGTCGGAGGCGAGACCGGAACGGGGAACGTCGCGACGACTCCGCCGCTCCGAGACGGGGGAATCGTGACGGGAGTGACAACTAATTGTAAATTCGTTCCGCTCCGTCGGGACGACGTAACGCGCACCTATGCTCTCGTTAGAGTCCCATTGAACACCTTCGAGCTCGCGGTACCTTCGCACCCCATTCCGAGGACACTCGACAGCGACGTTATTCCGTTGCGATTGACAACCCTTCCGGGCGTCAAGATGCAAAATTCTATATTTAAAAAAGAGTAAAAATGAAAAGCTGCATCAGGGCACCTTTTTCCATATTTCATCAAAAAATTTGTAATATTCTTTATGTGATATCCCAAAATCTCATTTCTTGGAGAATTCTACATTGATTTGCACTGTTAAACACGAATACCTATAGGCAGAATTCAATTGTGTAGGGCAGAAATCTTGGAAACTGTTCAATACCAGAAGCTAAAATTGTATAATTAGCATCTGCACCCCCTCCCCTGATCTCTTTAAAAATTTGATGCCAATTGGCCACTGTGGCTTTTCGGAAGAACATCCGAAAATATGAATATATTCTCTAATTGGATTCTTGATTTTGCATACATTTTACATAAAGAAGATTGTTTTACGACAAGTGTCTGTTTTTAGTCATTTCTCCTATAACGGTATTATTTAAGATTTTTACATTTATTCTACGCATTGTAACATCTATTTAGTAGAGGTTTTCTGACAGTTGAATACATCACAGTAGTTAATTTAGTATACATCACCCGTCGTTTAGGAAAGTTTCAATAAAAATGCCACGTCGTTAATGTGTTGAGTACAAATTTCTGCTGAAGTCACCACCGCATCGAGGAGTTACAAACGACGTCGTTGTCTTATCTGTCGCGAGGCAGACCATGCAGATAAACGATTTTGCGTTTTCCACCGAAATCCTCCTTGTAATCTCTCAGAGTTCCTTGGGGAGGTCTCCTCCAGGAGTTCGTTATCGGCGATCCGATTTCGCGGCTCGTCGACCTCGTGTATCGTATCGGTTCTCTCGTTGCGGCCGTGGGCTTTCTCGTGGACGTCATTCCGGCGTTACGGAGCGGGTTCGAGAACCGAATTTAGAGGCGGGAAGATCGGCAATGAAGTGGAAGGAAATATCGCCGCGCGATACGGATCCGTTTTCATGCACGATGGAACACGGCAGGACGAAATCCGATATTTTAATTTCGAGGGGGAAAATGATTCCGTGGAACCGGGTCGATACACGCATCCGATTAAATCCGTCCGTTTCCTGTCCGGCCTGAAATTGCAATTTTTCATTGAAAATGCTCCTCGAGAAATCTCGTTGAGGCTTCAATGGCTCGCTCTTATCGACGTTATTACTCCGTCGTTCGAACTATCGTTACCATCGCTCTCCTCTCCGTGGAGAATGAAATTTCTCTTTTCATTGATAAGCCGCGCGAGATCGAAGAAAGCTTTGATCGCTGAGCAAGGCGCACAAATGGAGAATAAGCTTGCAAAAAGTCTCCGTCCGATCGTGCACGCTGGGAGAAAGCTTCGAGCACTTTTTCTATTCGCTGTTATTGGGTCGTGCTACGCGAAATTGTCGTATTCGCGCGTAAAAATGAAAAAGCTGCACTTTCGAGGTAACTAGATTTTGGTTTATTTGCTTGGTAATATTTTTAAAATGTTCTTGCACGAACAATGCATAAAAGAAATAATTTTGGACCACGAATGTAGCTCGGGTTAAATATTGAAATGTTTTTAATAATCACAAATTAGAAGTTGGGTTTTTAGAATAAAGAGCCATGCATTAGAAACTGATCATAGATTTTTAAAAATAAATTGGAGAACTATGAAAACTTTGATTTCGAATTTTCAGAGACGAAACCGAATCGAATATAATCGTTTTCACGAACGTGCACTGACGTTTTTAATTAAATTCTATTTATTTTCATAACAATGGCGCTCCGGGGCACGCGTCCCTTTTACCTCTGATATGCCAGGGACCTGCTCGCGCGTGAAAAACGACGTCGAATTCGTACGGAAAGATCGGAACGCGTACGACGATGTATGTGTGTCATCCGCGATAAAAATTGAATCAGATACGTTTCGCGGAAACACGTTCGCGCGTGTTTGATTTTAGATTACGAACCATCGATCGATAGCTGACATAATTTATTTAACTATTACGCGAGAACTGCGAAACCATGACTGCGAATTACGCGCATACTCAACACCGTGAAATTCGTGTCGTTTCTCTGTAAAGTTTTTGTTAAAAAAATCTAGATTAAATCAATTAAATTAAATTTTTGTTTCTTGGGGTGGTCGAATGTGCGAGGACATTCATAAACCATCGTGGTTCGTTGAAAGTCGAGAGTTTTCAAAACGAACGTTCACGTAACAGTAATTTTTAGTTGTTCGAAACAACACGATTATGCTGGTGGAGAAAATTTCATTGAAATCGGTTAAGGCCACGTCTGAGACTTTCCTTGTTAGTGTTCGCGACTAGCCTTGGGGCAGGGCGTCGCGACGGCAGAGCGTCACGGCGTAGCGTGTCTGCGCTGGCAACAAATCAGAGGGAAAGCTAACTCTATTTTTTTAGCAGTAATCTGCGATAATTTTAGACCCGCAGAATGAACGAAACGGGCACGCGTGTTTAATTATTCAGACGCGCAGGCGGTGCACCCTTCGTTTCTTCGTCCGGAAGCATCGTTGGCCAACGAGGATCGATCGGGACGTTACACCGGTCGTAGAGCATCGAGGTTCGTAAACGAGAAACGTTCATTTCTCGTGAAATACTTCCAGACGGACCGCAGATACTCCAAAGTGACTCGAAACGATTCTTCGTGCGCCCTGTAAAATTGCAAACAAACCGAAGAGTCGACCCCGCGTCACCCGGAGACGCGTAGTCTTAACCAACGTAGATTGTTGTAGATTAATTGAAAAGATGTTAAAGTCGTCGCTGTTTTTTTCTAGATACGTGGCCATAATTGCAGCAACTAACTACCGATCGATCGAGCCATGAGGACGCATCAACCGCGACTCGTGTAGCCTGGAATTTAGTCGTTTGAGAAAGCAACAGAAAAAGGGACGAACACGTGAAAGAGAAAGTCGAACGGTTGTATTTATCGACGGACGACTTGTCGCGGACGAAGAATCCACCGGAAATAACGGTGACCTCGCGACAGGCAAATGTCCTCGACGAGTTTTCGCGAGAGCTTGTCGTCGGGCTACTCACGAGAAACGACAGAAAAGAGAGTCTGTCGCTTATCCGCTGCGTCAATTTCACGATAAAATTCGTGCGAGCGAGCAAATCTAGTCAATCCGCGGTTAATCCCTGGCTGTGTTTATCCTAAAAATCGTAATAGTGTTTAGAGATCTTGAAATTGTAGTACGCGGGCGCAAGGAAGGAGCGAAGTCAACGGCAAGAGGCAACAAAGTCGATTATTAGTTATACAGTCGAGTGATAAAATAGAAAATAAAAGAAGAAGAATAACGCGAGTAGCAATTAGCTTCGCTACATCCAATCCACGTATGAATATTCGTGTATCCATCGATCAGAATCGTACGCGCGCGTCGAGTTTCCGATAATAATCCGTACGATCGAGGCTCGATAAAGATCCCAGTTATTTTCTCGTAAACGGCGTGCTCCCTGTGATTTATTGTGCGCGGTTGATCGTCGAAACGTGTTTGGTACCGTCGAGAGAACGAACAAAAGTGCGTCGAGAAAATGGCGTTCGCCGCGGCGAGAATGATCCTTAAGGATAAGCGACGGAAGGCCAGCAAAGAGGACTTCGCGCCGCGAAACAGGAGCAAGGTAACGTCAACGACGACACTCTATTTTACAAATGAATTAGACGATGTGTTTCGAAATCGGCGTCCGACCGATTGCAACGCCCGCAGGGCGTTTCACGACTTTTTCCAAACAGCCGACAGACGCGTGAGGCAAGAATGTATGAGCTTTTTCAAGATGGACCACTACGTTTTCAATTACTCACAGTTCAAGTTGTGCGCTTCGCTTGTCGTTTTCTATTCTTCCCCCTTTACTCGAACCCTTTCGAGCAATCCCTTTCTCCCGTGACGTATTATTTTCGTGTACATATCGTTTTTTTGCGTTCGCAGGGTGGTCCGTGAAATTGGAAGTAGGTCGTCGATACGATTTTAGATACGAGGCACGGCGAACAACTTAAAATACTTTAAATTCTCACTACGCTGTTGTACATTCGTTTTAACGTTTTACCATAAAGATATTAGACATACTTCTCAAATGTTATTCCTTTAACAAATATTTCAATTCAAAGTTTGCGATAATAACGATCGTTCTGCTGGAATAAATTAGACGCGTATAAAGAGGTAATTTTTGTGCATAACTTGAGCAAATAAATTAAAAGTTTGGCATATTTCATTTGGAACATTTCATCAGAGATGTTAAAAGTGTATAGAAAGGCAAATAAAAATGCGATTAAAAGTGTACAAATCCTAGATTAATTAAAAGTTTTATTTGCCGAACGATACCCTAGATTGATTTGTATCAGAAAGCGAGTCACGTTTACAAATAAATGTTAAATGTAGAACGTACACGTAACGGAGCGTGTACAATGGCGAGAGATACGAATAATAATTTGCAAACCTAACGTTAAAATATCTCTTAAAGTGACCTACATTTTGGACGAATGCCGTAATAGACTTTTGTGGGGAACGAATCAATTTAATGCATTAAAACGTACAAGGATCTATTTGAAAAACAAGCGCAATTGCACTTTGCAGGTGCACGCGTGGACTTGCATACGTAACAATGACTTGGAAATATAGAGCATCGAAAACCATTCGATGTGGTTCTTTGTATGTTTTTTTTTTTCATATCTGAAAACGATTCGACGTTACAGCTCGCCCTAGTTTCGCGGGACACCTTGTATATCATGGTACAATGTATCACTTTGATTTTATCTCGTATAATTTGCACCAAAGATACTATCGCACCGTGACAGGTGTCTTTTTTTTTTGTACCGCGTAATATCCAGAGAAGTATAAAAAATTCTCGCGATTCCAAACGATATCCCTCGCGAGTCATGGTAGAACTCGATCGAGCACGCGAAATTCATGAGAGTAAAATTGTAGTTCGCATGATCGAGAGACCACGAGGCGATTAACTCTAGAAAGACCAAGGACCAGAGTTGGATAGCGAAATTTTAGATTCGTTCACAAATTAACTTCATCTTTTGATGCAATCGATCAAAATTTACTAAAATTGTAACTAGAATTTCTTTTTTCATACCATGACTTCCCTGACATAGAAAACTATTACTTGCAAATTACTCGATTCTAAAAATTGATTCTCAGGTATAATTGCTCAACGTAAGTTAGCTTGAAGGGTCTTCCAACGCTCTCCTTGGTCGTTAACGTAACGATTCGTGATTCAGTCTTTCTAGGGTTAAAAAAGCGCCAATCAAACTTTCGTAATTCGCATGAATCTCGTGCTCCGAGGAAGGGGTTATGCGAATACTGTCCACGGCGTGCGAGATGGCGGCGTAGACACCTGGAAGACCCGGAAAAGGGTCGATCAAGAGGGTTTCAAGGCGCAGGGTGCATACTAATGAGCGCCACCGTGTGCTAAACGCGCGTCGTTTAACGCGATAACGCTGGAACGTCCTTTGCACGGTTCTCGTTTTCTCGTTACCTTTATGCCGGTTTTAACGACTGGTTGGAAATTTTGGGCTACCAAAGTGACGAAAAATTACACGTTCAACGTGTTTCGATCGAACAAGGAATAGTACGCTATGACTAGGGGCATGCTATCGACTTTATATGGGAGCACACACACTTATTTAACTGCCCTTCGATTTGATAAAATAGTCATTGTAACGCTCGACTGATTCTCGTCGGATCAGCATATTCTCATTTAAGTATTTAAAAAGCGAATTTAAAATATTATTAAAGCAAAAATATTCAAAATCTCAATTTAGAATATTATTTTATGTGAGCTATATAGAATTAATCATTTCAAATTTTTAGTTTTATCGAACTCTGGTGTCAGAGTAGTCGTATGGATATTTCACTGTAGTACGATTAGTTGTCCGACTTTCTCCTCGAGAAGCAATCGAGTGGCACTTTTATCGAGGATCAGTCAACAAGCATGCGTTACTTTCACATAATGCTTGATGTCCATTAGAGATTCCATCTTAAGAAAAAGACGAGAGCTGACTAATTACATAGGCATAGCCCAATTCGAAAAATTTTATCGTCTCCCGTAGCGTTGCGGTTTTTCTATTAATAGTAGAAAGGTCAAGCTCCATCCGACGATAAGGAAGTTCGTTAACGAAGCTGTGCCCTAACGCGGACCGGAAATTAAATCCGCCTTTACCAGACGATGAACTTTCTCGATTCCGTTGTTCGATTCGCCTCGATCGACGAAACATGCCCGTGCTCTTTTTCTCGCCTTCCGTTTTTACGTTTATTAAAATTAAAAGTCGATCGACAACGCGTTCGTCAATTTTCAATACCGCGACCTAGAGAAACGATCACGATCATCGTGACTGCGACGAAGCGATAAGAATCGGGCGAAGAAACTCGCGCAATTTTCAGGATCTTTTTATCGTGAATTCCCGCGGAATGGAACGCCTCGTCGCGAATATTCCTGCGTCATACTTTCACGGCACGATTTCCTTCGGATTATATTCCGACCCCTCCAAAACAGTAATCCCAAAAGCCTTCAACAACGTGTAAACCAGGGCGTCCGTCATTTTATCGCGTCTCGTTTGCGTTAACCAGGCCGTTTCGCTTCCCGGTAAGTTACTGTCGCAGCCCGTTATCGGACTCCCGGAACTCTATACGCCGCCCGTTATACATATTATCCGCGAGGAAATGTTACCGGTTTCGAAAATTATGGGAAACTCCAGGAAAAATCGGAAACGACGCGATTATTAAATATCCTATCGCGATTGATTTCCGCTGGCGATCGCGAAGCGCTCCACCTCGATAAAATATATTGCAACGTTATTTTATCGAGCTTAACGATATTATTCGCTGAAAACAAATTGTATTCGTTTTTTCAAATGTGAAATTTTTAGTTTCTTCCATGTTTCGAGTTTTCATACTTTTCTCGTTAATATTTTCGATCTCTCGCTTACTGCAACGCAATCGTCAATATTTTAAAAATAGATTGTATTATTCTATGAGTTCAATAAAATAATTCGTTAAGAGAACCACATTTATAACTTACAAGTTGTTAATTGAGGCTTGTATAATTAATCAACAGAGCTCGCAATGACGTACGTACATTATTTCGTCTTCAATGATTCAAGGATCAAGCTTATAATACAAAATATAGCCTTTTGTCCTGTTACCGAGACACAACGAGGAGCTTTAATTCGTTGAAAAAGCGGTTGCTGGCGTCTCGAATTTGGCACGCGTGTCCTGTTACGCGATCGCCAGTAGAAATCACGCATTATTCGCCGACGGGTCGCGTCGAATTTAGCGCGTACCGCGCAGCAAATTGCTCCCTGGCTGCGTAATTGATTTGCAAACTTTCGAACGACCATGCCGCGCCCTGTGGAAATTTTCAGTAAGTGTCCGTGGCCGAGCTCCCACGGCGAGTATCCAATTAGCGAACGTTTACGAGCGACTAGAATTTTAATGATCTATGGACGCCAACGGTCCACGGTTTTTGTGCAAGGTTGCAGATACCCTGCGAAAGCGTTCCCCGGTGCTCTTCTTTCGCTGCGTTCGGACAATTAAACGTTTCGCGGGCGCGTTTGCTGCATTGTCATCGAAAACACGAAGAATCTTGCACGTCAGACACCTAACGACAAGTCTGCGACGCAGTTTCTACCGAAAAAATCGAGCTTAACGGTTCGAAAAACGCCTAGAAGAATCGAACGATAATCATCCTTATACATACCCTTATCGTTCATAAGTCACTGGACATTTTGCTCGTCTTGGAAAATGCAAATTAAGATACAATTTTCTTCCTTCGTTACATTTATTTCGAGCTACTATTTTACTATTTTTATAGCGAGGAAACTAATTTTGAAGGCGAACGCGCTTTATATCAAATAAGGTCTGATAGAAAATATTGCAGGAAGGTTGGAATAGAATTAATTAGAAAAATAGTAAAAAACGATTGTCGAGAAAATTCCATTAACTTGAACGATCGTTTGCAAACTGGACACAAGCTGGATACACATGTAAAATGAAGCTTTTAAATTGTTTGATAACAGTTAATAACATATCGTGACATTTACTTTATAATGTAAAGTATACATTTTAGTAAATAAATAAGTTTTTATTCCACGTTCGTTAATTGTCCAGTGACTCGTGAACGGGAGTGTGTATCGTTCGATTAATATCGATATTCAGATCGGTGCAAGCGATAATACGATCACGAACGCCATTGGAAAACGGTCGATCTTCTTCGTCTCGAAAAACGTTCGGCGCACTCGCGCGAATCGGGCCAGATTTTTCCCAGCTGTCGGTCGTACGTTTCTTTCTTTTTTTCCCCCCCCAAACGGATCGTGGCACACTTTTCGTAGAACGCTTTTCAGGGGATGAAAGATCGAGTCGAGGCGCACTCCAATCGCGTGTTTTCCGCGAAGAATCGAATTTCCACGATTATCGACGTTCCGCGTTGAGAAACACGGCGAACGTTTCCCTCGTCGGTCGGGTTTCGCTGTTCGATCGTTGCGCGTAAAATTAATCGCGCGGAATTTAATTGCGCGGACTACTTTCGGGTGCCGAGCAAAAACGTACGAAACATCGAACGCGTTACGCTTACGCGGCGTAACGAGCTAATAATTGAGCGTCGAAACACATTCGTTCGCGGCATCGCGCGACGCTCGTGGATTTCTTGCGTGGTCTTTTTGCGTATGTTTGTTCCAATGATCGTTGCGGTCGAAGGTTTTCGCGGTTGTTTGTAAACGATAATGTATTTTATCGGATAAGTTTACTTTTTGACCAAGGGCACAGTAAGACAGATCGCGTTCGCAGCGCGACAAAAATGGATGATCGAAGACGCGCGGAAATATTGGGTTTTTATCACGAGTTCTACGTTACGTATTCCAACTTTCTGCGCTTTTCTCGCAGTCTTTAAATGGCGATACTTTTTCGATTTGAAAGAATCAAAATTCTGAATGTCTTTTCTCAGAAAAGAAAGGCACGGACCAATTGATGTCAAAACGATTTTTAAAAATATTTTGCACGTCAAGTTTATTATACGAAACAAAGAAACAGTTCTTAATGTAATATTTGATGTTTGAATTAGTTGTATAATTTCAAAAAATAATGTTCGAACGACTCAAAAAAATTTGTCGATCAAGTTCAGATGGTGTAAAAAAATGTGTAGTCGTGGATAAAAGTGTAGTGGCACGAATAATCGGTGTGTAACGTTGTTTGAGTGTAGGCGGGGTCAATCTCGGAGCGTTTCATTTCAATCATTACTCTTTACGAAAGGAGTAGCGAGCACTTGCGCTCATTTCTGTCAGCACCTTTGATCGCCCAGCTTGGACAAAGAGATTCGAATAATTGCTCTTTAATCGGCAATGCTCGTTGCTGCTGGATTTACCGTCCGTTCGATCGCGAATCAGGGAGATTGATAAGCGCACAGGCGAACGAAACGCAAATCCGCTTTCCCTGTTGCATTGAAAGCTCGCGTTAGGTATATCATTGAACGTAAGGGCGCTTTGAAAAGGTGCACGTTACATTTTCAAATCGAAACCTCTTTTCATCATTAAAATTGCAATCTAAGGGTGTCGGAGCAGACGAACCAAAATGGTTTCGTGCGACGCCATATTAAAACGACGAGTATCTGTGCTGGGATTATGCTGTTATTTCAGGATTTTAGACTCTAACTTATTCGTTCACGAATGATTTTATTAAAAAAAGGAATATTTGTTAATTTTACGATCGACGACAAAAATTACAGACTCTTCTAGAATTCATTTGCTAGAGTGCTCTAGCGGATCTAGAAGGCATCACGAATTTTATCGTTGCTCGTAAACCACCTAATTTTATTTCTCTTATAAAAATAGAGCTTGGAATTTTTTTTTGAAGACGAGCAATCTTAACAAATTTGAAAACTGCATTAAACGCGTCTCTTAAATTTTCTGTAATTAATTTTCATTCACAGTACCGAAGAGGACTCGAATCTTAAAAATTTTGCTAACGCTAAACTGAAAATCAAAACGTTTCGTTAAAAAGAAATTCCAAAATCTGTTTCTGCAGCCTTTCAGCCCGTAATCCCTTCAGTTGTCTCGCGAAAATCAAGATAGGCAAGAAGAAACGAGCGTAACGTTTCCACGAGTTTGAGATTCATGCGAAGTTCACGCGAACGTAAAAGAAAATGGAATTGCACAGAAATTACACGAAGAATCAGCACGAACACTTTTCCTTTCTATTTCACCGTCACGCGATACTATCTCTTCGCTTCTCCTGAATGCTTTGGTTGTACAAAAAAAAAAGAAAGAAAAAAGAAGAACGTGTTACACGTGACTGTGAGAGACACGAAAACAGGCCTCGTAACTGTCCAAACACTTGAACTCACGCTACGCTGTCGTATATGTTCGGTGTGCACTGCTGTTGATACGCTGTACGTTCACGATACTGTACTTACGGATATAACAAAATCCACGAGCTCGGTTCACGTACCGCCTACGCCAGCATGGAAAGCCTTTTCACGCGAAATACATTGTAGGGAAAACGAAATATTACTCCTGAAAGGAATTGCGCGTCGTACTGGGTCAGACGCTGTAAGGTCTTGCGACTAATAAAAGTTTCTCGCCTTGAAAGTTGAGCAAGGGACAATGTTTCTAGACCGAGGAGGAAGAATCCTTTTTACAGTACGCTTCTATACATCACGAAGAACAAAAGTATAATGGTAATTTTTCCCGAAAGTAATGGAAAAGTGATGATAAATGCGAGTAAGTAAGTCAAATCATGATCTATTCGTGGAATAATTTTCCTCAAACTTATACAAAAGATTATTAAAATTATATCATGGGCATCGTTGAAACAAGAAATTCTTTTATAACACTTTATCTAAAAGTGATAAATATAACTCGATTATATTTCCAATCTACTTTCTTATAATAGAATTTCTTGTTTCGATACTGTCCACGTACTATAATCTTTTGTACGATTTTTGGAATAATTATTCCACGAATAGATTATAATTTGGAGAAAATTACGTACATAATCGCATTTTTTATTATTTTAAAAAGAAATTCTTTTCCCCGGACTAAGAAGTGTTCTTTTGTTTCTGTTTAACGAATAAATCTAAAATTTTAATTCGTTATTCGGAAATAGAATTAGTCATGCTGCCGTATTCTCCTTAATTCGAGACTGATTTTCCCTTCTTCATACAGTTCAAAGAATTCAGTGTCGTGAAAAGGCTCTCGCTGTTGGCGCAGTGTACCAACGATTTACAATAACAACAACGTTCTCTTACCTGTTTACCACGAACGAGATACACGCGTTTAATGACTGTTGTCGACAGATTACAAAAGACACTCACCCCTTTCGCATTCCGCTCGTTATTATTTACGTGCCGTGTAATCTCTAACCCACGTATTCTATGTATCTGTATATTATACCTGTGTATCTCTATTTGTACTTTTCCAACTGCAGTGTTGTGGTGATTGGTGACCTGTACTGTACTTGTGTTTACAGGCCCGCAGCGCCAGTACAAGTAGCTTTAGAAGCCTGAGCCAGGTACATACAAAAATTGACATAATCCACATCTAGCTGAGAAATTAGTGATTACTAGCTATATTATTTAGCTGGACATAGCTAGACACTTAGACCATAGACACTACTAGCTCGCGCGTAGACGCGTACATCGCGCGAGATTCTTGTGTAACCATTTTATCGTGAAGATAAAATAGCAATCGCACCGGCGCGGCGGTTCCAACGCGATGTTACGATCATGATCGCCACACCATTAACGTTGAGAGCAAGACCAACGAATTGCCGGGAAACCTGATTGGCCGACCATAAGCGAACGCTTTGTCGACGAAACGGTACGAAAGCGTAGCAGGCTGCCAATAGTTTAGCACGCGTCCCATTTTTGTCAACGAAACGACCAACGGTAGAATACACGATCGCGAATGGTGCATGAACGCTGACGGTGTATCTCTTCCGACACATCAAAACACAGGAATGCTGAATGAGGCATGCCACTCGTACGCACACAACCTCAGTCGAATCCCTAAACTTGCATGTCTTTTACACCCGCCTATCTTACCTTAGGTCATTGTGTGCTAGTGCATCCCTTTCTTTACTTTGTCTTTCGTTTCATCCTTTTATTTTCTTTCTCTTCTTCTTCTTCTTCTTCTCGGCACAGTGCGCTGTGATTCTTTCGCAAGGATCAGAGTAAGTACACAGGGGAACCGCTCATACGTTCGAATCGGTTGCAAGAAACGAGACAGTTTCTCCGACGCCCAACAACTTCACAGACTTCGCGTCGCCATTGGTCCTAACGGCGACGCGAGGCGCGTTAAGTACGCATCGTTCTTTACGAAAGCGAAGTCGTAACCTTCGATCTCTTCATCGTAAACGCATCAGTAATTTGGACGATCGAGCAACTTGGGGTAATTATTTAGAACATGGGACTCCACACCGATTTCGATGATTTTCAAATATGGTACAGGACTCAACATTCCGAACAAGTTTTTCTTATACATATAACCCCCGCTCGGCTTTAGTTTTCCAGATACATGCAAAAAATATTTTCCAAACACGTATCTCGGAAACTAAAACCAATCGGGGGTTATAAAATGCTTGTTCAAAATGGTGAGCTCTATGACATATACGAAAATTGTCGAAATCGATGAGGAGGCCCCTATTCCAAACAATTACTGTCAAAGAGTACCTAAACACAGGCCTACCCGTCAAAGGGTGGAACAGTATCGTGTTTGGACTCATTTTCGTCGGGAAGGTCTCGTCGATCGTTATCCAAAACTTTTATCGAGATATGACTGAAAATCTAAACACGTTAATTCACTGGGCGAAATACAGTCGAAAAGTTGGTCGCGCTGAATGAACGAAAACAGTGGCGAGAACTAGTCCGTTTCGTACGTTCGTATAGTATTGCAGTTACTTGGGTGCAATTACCGTGGCGTGGAAATTTGTTTCGAGAGGCTCGGGCGACACTCTCGAGCAGATTCAGCTGGCTGAACAAAGACAACCGCGGCGTAAAAGGCTCGCGCGTTACCCGCCCACTTTCATTCCACGCTCCTCGGAACGAATCTCCTGCGAATCTCATAATTTATTCCCGCCTCGACTTTCAGTCATCGTTTCCTTCGCCCGCAGCGGTTGCCCGAGGCTTTGCATATTAATTACGCGAACCGCGAACCGTGCCGTTTCGGGCTATTTAGACGGTGGATCGTTTTATCTCGAACACTACTGGACTGCAATGCGAGCGACGGGGTGTGGTGCCACGGCTGCGCTTTTCGACACGAATCGAACGTCCTCCGGCGATCCCTGGCTACCCTTTCCGTTCGGGGAAACGATCATCCGACGTTACAGCGACGTTTAAAAGATACAATTTTACCACGGAATTACAGAAACTGAATTGTTTCCGTGCCCGTCTCTCTGTGTGTGTTTTTTTCCCCAGCTTCCGTAGCCAGCAGTTCTATGGAATTAAAAATCCGCTGACCGAGCTTCAAAGCGACGTCCCGCGCCTATCTGTGTCACGCCACGGACCGAAAGACTTTAATAGCATGTACTATCAATGAGCTTATTCGGACTGTTTTTAATTACGTGGGATATTATTCCAACTGGACTCGTAATTCAAAGGAGCCCGAATCCTTTGATAGCCGCATGTCGGGTTTGAACGACGAGTAAATTTATATAATAATGATATTTTACGTATTATTAAGCTACAAAATACATAAAATGTCATAACTAAATTTACTCGGAGGCAAACTAGTTACTTTTTAGTACGTAATAAGCAGATTATGGATCTTTATGCGAAACATATTTTTATTCATAGAATTAATGAAACGCTTTGCAGTTATCTCAACCCTTGAATATAGTAACTCGTATCTTACTTTAGTTTCTTATATTTTTGCATAATAAGTGCATTCTGTAGTTTCTTGACAATTGAAATTTCCCATAAATGCATAAACAAACGCAGTCTAGCGACAGGGTACATATTCTGGTGGAATTAGGATTATTATACTCGATTCGGTCAAAGAATTCGATAAATGGGACACGGTAATTAAGAACTTCGTTTCATATTTTTTAAGAAATATTCGTTTCAAACGTATACACACATAAAAATGACAGATTGTACGTATTTCTGTTTTGTAAACTTTCTCTTTCAGAGTGCCCCATAAGTAAAAATCTAAAGGGGTAAGGTCGGGCGACCAATTTCTTGGCCCCCCTCGACCAATCCATTGTTGGGGATAGTGTCTATCGAATCAATTTTTTACGCAATGAAGACTCTTAGTCTTATCTATTGATGGATCTTCGAACGGGGGTTTGATATCGACAGACCGTTCGCGTAACAAGAGAAATATTCCGTTCGCGGAGCCATCGATACTACCCCCGTTGCGAGTTTTGTCCGCGGACGGGGTCGATCAATCGCTTCCGGTGTGCCGGGAGAGCAACTGAATTCCTCTCGGGGAAATATACGGGCTGCGTCGCCACCGGGCAGAATCCATTTTCGGTACGAAAGAGAGCCACTTTCGGAAACAAACGAGCCGAAAAAGCCTAGCGCCCGTAGATTAGAGGGAAGAAAGTCTGGGTGAATGGCATCTTGGGCCCTCGTTCGGAGCACCCTTCTGACAAGTAGTCGTTGGGTATACAAGCGATAGGAGAGGCATCGGAGAGAGCCTTTGAATGTAGTGGAGAAGGCAGTAGGTTCAGGTTGAGGATGGTTCGGGTTGAGGACGACGATCGATAGCCCGGCTGCACCCTCGTCGTCGGTGCTGTCGTGGCCGTTGCTTTAATTATTAATTGTATCCAGTCGCTTTCTAGACCCTGTATCGTAAGTGCACTGACACGTGTTTAAGTCACGATTCTCCATGTTTATTCAGCCGTTTTCCCCCTTGTCGCGAACGTGCTTCCGTTCTCCTCGTGGAAACCTCTTTCGTCGCGTCTGCCGCGATATTTGCGCGTCCTTGACCTACGTTGATCGCGTTGATCCTATCGAAAACTACAACGAACTTCCAGGACCGACGCACCCCGAGGTTCGATAATCGTATCCCCATCGAATCCTCCCCCGACACTTCGAACCGTATTCTGTCTATTTTTTTCCAACTATCTGTCGATTTCGTTCGTACGCGCGTCGATCCCCCGATCACGATTTAATCGAACGTTTGCGCGTTAATCGTCTTTATTTTATTTTACTTGTAGAAAATAAAAGTTGCGTCGTTGGAAGCGCGAAGGTTCTTCGGCTTTACATCGCGCCGACGAACAACGACACGACAAACTCGCATGAAACACATGGCGAACGGAAACGTAGCGCATGACGTTGTCGCGGGTATAAAGACGGGCAATCCAGGTCGCAATTATCGTAATTGCTCTTCACGGACTATATATAACTTCTCTTTTGTTTCTTCGCGTAACAAGTCTTACCACCCTTTTGTAAGGAAACACGTATACAGCAATATTCCCGACGGGAACGGTGACGTACTTTTATTTCCATATGTAACGCAACGCGAGTCCTCGACGATATATGGGATGACAAAAAAAAAATTATAAACGAGAAACCTGAAAATCTAACTTGACCCGCGCCGGTTACTGCAATTCGACTTCGAATAAGCGTGGCTAAAAATCTGACTAGAATTTAAAAATAACACTTGTATATTGTACTGAAATTTACTGGACAAATTCTGTTTTGCATAATGTTGTGGTATTTTGCGTTTTGTCCTGGATTTGTCAGTTGAATTCGTCGGTACGCTTATCTGTAAGACCCAGCGTTAAACGCGACGTTATTAATCGTTTATTGAACAGTCTCTAATTACTCGACAATTTATTAGTACGTAATTAGTTCGAAGAGATTGTTCAAACGATTAATAGGATCGCGTCTAAGGCAGAATTCGGCTAGATAAGCTTTACCGATAAATCGAACCCAGCAGATTGGGAACGTAGCGCAGTAATATTGCCCTCTCGTACCAAAGTTATTATTATTACCTTAACAAGTCGCGAACCGATTATGAGAGCAGTAGAATTTCGTAGCTACCTTCTTTGTTTCCCAAATATTTAATATGTAATGCTTGTCGTGTTTAAAAAATACATGAAGGAAGTAGCATTCGCGAGCATAGTTCGGTTTATTATATATGAACGTTTCGACCTTACGTTTAACTCTTATTCAATATAATTTACGTGTATACAAATAAAATTATATTTACATATTAATTTGTTTTAAGTTGTAAAGGTACAATCGGTCTATAGATATCGTCAGTAACCTCTTGTAGTTATTTTAGCTTTTTCCAATCTTTCAAAAATAAATTTTACAGAATTTTATAGAAAAATGAAATACAATCAGTTTTCAGTAATTAATAATTCCACTATTCTTGGCTTCCGTCTATTTTGGTATATAGAATCACTCTTATAAATTTGTTTAATTAACACTTTAAGCCATCACGTACACGTATTATATTATCGTCAGGTACGAAAGGGTTAACAAAATTTTCTTTCGTATCAAAATTATATCGAAATGTTAATAAACTGAACTATATTTACGAGTACTACTTCTTTCCATCTGTATCGTTTCCGTGTAAATCTAAATTCCGTCATGAGGCCCGAACCAAAAGGCCCCAAAGTTGGTTTACCCTGCGATAGGGCCTCAGTTCATCCGAATCCTCGGTGCATTTTGAAGACATACCGATCCTCTGGTTCGCCAACGAGGTATAGCTTTTCAAGGGCGGTTGCAGTCGGCCCCATTTATTGATCCTTCGAAAGCGGTTTCCGGGTCTCGCTCGCAAACACTCGGACAAAACTTGAGTGGGTGAAGCGGCCGGGGCCAGGCATGGAGCCGTAGTCCTGGCTGGCAAGGAAGAGAAGGATGAGGGGACAGGAGAAGAGAAGGAAGGAGACAGCGAGGGGGTAAAAGCTGAAAGCGGGGCATCGGAGATGGGCGGCTGCCGAGGGTGTTTCTGGGCGTTCTCGATGGATCTTTCCGGGCTTCCCGCTCGCTCGCGTCCTCTTTGCCGATCTCGCGGAGACAGTTTCGTCTTTGAGGATTCGGGACTGATTGGCAGAAACTTCTCATTCGGCCAAACGCCATTGTCGAGCGTGTATTTAGCGTCAGCAACAGAATTTCCCTCGACGGAAAATCGTTGGAACACACTGGAATTCTCTTGTATCTGGTATCATTATCCGTAGTAATAACAACCTAATTTATAGTAATATATTCTATACCATGGGCCGTTAAAGGCTCAGGCGAATTCCCATTTCTCCTAAAGACTTCGAGTTTTTTATTTCAGAATTTCAAACAGTCAAAAAGGAGAGTTAATGTAGTTATGTGTCTTTTCAGACACTCTCTAACGCGTAGCTCAGGTTTTCTGCAAATTTCACACGTATAATATATTTCTCTTATTTTCTGTGTGTTCTTTCTAATGTTAATCAAACGAGGTCTTGAACCAACAGTATAATATAAGTCACCCAAGTTTTGTCTTGAATTCCAAGGATTCCGAAGAACGTGTTTATCGCAAGCTATGCCTCTCTCGTTTCGTCATTTTTTCGCGTAGCTCGCGAGTCTCGTTGCCAAAGAGTCGCTCGGCGTTTTGCAGAATTTTTCCGCTCGAGGATTCGCCTTTTGCTGGAAAGGCGAGCGGTTTCAATGGACGCTCGTCGTTCGCCCGATGTTATCGCGTTTACCAGCTAAGCGATATCGTCGTCTATAAGCTCGATAACCCGACTGATATATGCACGCCGCGGACCTATAAAGCACGAGGCTAGCTGCGAACCTTGCCGCGAGTCGATGCCCGAGTTGATCGAATGAGCGGCCTTCGCGGAACTCGAACACCCGCGCCGTGCACGCTCAGCGATTTGCTCGCCAGAGATTCTCGTTTAATATCCAGCGCAACTTCGCCGCTTTCAAGGAGACAGGAAATTATTAGGCGCGCCGCGGTTGATCGGACGAAACTTCGGGGCGAGACCTATTTTCACGCGCCGTCGCGAAAAAGGAGCTCGGGGCTCGTAAAGTTCGGATCCTGGGACGCGGAGGATGCGTCCTCCCGCGATTTCAGCCGTCGATTTTCGCAATCGAGAGATTTGTATCCCGTCGGCGGACGTCTCGTCGTTAATACAGTGCTCCGTGAAAATTGCGAGCTCCATTTTTCGACGTCTTCTACAATTTATGATCCGTTCACAGGATTACGGAGAAATACAATATCTATGTTTGTATTATTTACGTGTATACTAAATTAATATGACTGTTTAGGGAAGTGCTGTTTTCCAGTTGGAAACAATTTATTTAATGTAAAATTATCTCTTTTATGTGTAGCCAATACAGATTGATAACTTCTCGTCTGGGATTTTTAGTAATTGTCCTGTTAATATTTTGAGCTTTTCTCTACACATTAATACAAATACAAATAAATCAGCACAAGAATTTAGTATATTTGCATCAAAATGATGTGAAAGGTACTAAGAAATTTTTTCAAGCAGATAATTCAAGACGAATACAATCGTAGTTCACGTTATTCGAAAATCCCTTCCGAGTCGTGTCTTTCTGGTGTTTTTAAACATTGATTATAGTGTTACCTGCTTTTCATTGGTCTTACCTCCTTCTAACTAGTTTGAACTAGTTGAAACAAATAATACTGTGCCAACATCGGTGCTTGCAAACACCGGTCACAAGTAGAAATAACAAGTAAAGGATAGTCGCGATAAATAAGTCATACTCAATGGCACGCGTACTCGATGAATTTTTAACGTCAATTACCTTGCAAGTAAAACTTGCACGAAGTAGCTTTATTCCATATTTTCGTGTAATTTTCTCATTTAGGATCACCATATTGCCACTTGCACCGTCCATTGCACGGTCAAACTGTGTAATTTGTTGTTTAACGGGTTTCTGGTATTGCATAGAAATTACCTTTGGATTTAATGGACACACCTTCGCTCCAATTCCGTCGCTAAATTGGGCTTTTAATGTATTGAAATAATCCTAGCTCAAACGAAAATTGGACGTATACTTCTGCATGTAAACAACACTTCACACACATAGTTTGATTAATTTTTTCAGATTTATCAAATTCCGATATATAAAATGCTCCTTATAATTCTCGAAATAAAAACGAGTTTTGTGCGATCGTTGAAGATAGCGTTTAATCGAGAACTTAATTAACGATGTCGATACATAATGCGCAAAGAAATGTACAGGTGAAACGATGTTCGGTGAAGTTCCTTCGATCCCGTTCGAGTCGTTGTCCAGGCTCGGTTGACAATTCCGTCTCGCGGAATTTCAATTCCCGTGTAAGAGCCGACGTCAGACAGAATTGCAGGATCGTTGAAAGAAAATGCAAGCGTTTCTCTTACAACGTATGGCGAATCCCGCGGTGATGCTTAGTCGCCGGTCATCATCTCCATGAATTCTGCAAAATAACGATCGACGCGGTTAACGAGAAGTTCGAACTTCGTCCTTTTTGGGTACGTTTTCATTCTCGATGCTCGCTCGTCATCGAATAGAAACACGATCCTGAAGATTACAAGCCTCCTTTCATTTCGTCGTCTAACGCGACGAATGTTTCCCCTGGGAAGCAAGTAGGTCGTATCTTCGCCCCTTTGGACCGCCTACCGCAACATATTTGAAAGAGGCTTTAGAAAGATTGCTATTAAGACGTTCGGAGTTTAATCAGGCCCTCGTAAGAGCTGTTGTAACGAGCTTTATAGATACGAAGCCAACCGAAAACGTTGCCGTAATTTCTTATTCGCGTTGCATCGGTCAATTTTCTAGTACCAAATGCGTTTCGTCTAATTGAGACGGGTTGGAAGATTTGTTGATTGAAGCTTCGTTAAAATATTTTTCGGCAAAATTGAAAAGTTTCAAATCATTCTGAAAAAATTCTTTTTGGCCGTAGGGGTCAATTACAATCATTTTTGGTGAATAGACATACCCTCGAAATCCTAACCATTTTCGAGAAAAGAATTCGTGTAGGTGGACAAATTTTATTAATAATTTTGTTAATAACTTTTTAACGAAGCCTCAATCAACAAATTGGTATTCTTGATTTTCGTCTTATTTTGGCCTCTTGAATCTCTCTTTAAAATTTCTGCCTGGACGAACACCCTGTCTAGTTGATTACATACGTGACGTTTATTTTTAATATTCCGGTTATCATTCGTTTAAACTCTTTGAATTTTCGAAATTCTCAATACTCTCGAGGACTCGTCTCGTCTCAAACGTCGATATCTTGATAGTAATTTATTTGTTTCGTCGCGAATTCTTTTCAAGTTAAAGCGTCGCTACGGCGTTTGAACTGCGAATCGCGGATCGCGAATGGTTATGCAAACGCTTAGGACGTACGGTGTCGTCGATAAGACGCGAGGAAAATGCTCACCGTCAAAGTCAACAGTTCCGGAGCCGTCGGTGTCAATTTCAGCGATCATGCCGTCCATTTGATCGGGCGTTATTTGGTCATCGAGGGCGGCGAGGATCTCGCGCAGAGAGCTGGTGGGAATATAGCCGTTGCCTTCCTTGTCGTAGAGCCTGAAAGCCTCCTTCAGCTCCTTTTGCAGCGCCTCGTCGTCCTCCTCTTGGAAGTGAGAGGCCACACGGAAGAACGAGTCGAAGTTTAATTTACCGCTACCTGAAAGCCCGGGCGAATATCCGCGATTAAAAAACCCACTCTGCGAGAGACACCGTCTTGCCCGATGTCGCCGTTCCACGCCGGTGTAAACAAGTCTCCCCGGGGCCTCCTTTCCGTTCGCGATCGCTTTTTATCGATAGGAAAACATCCGAGACAATATAGTTGGTAGCCTTCCAAGGCGGTTCCGTTTACGCAAGGCCGGGAATAAATTTGAAATGTATAAAGGACAACAAGACTATCGTCCCTCCCGATCAGCCGCGATGCATCCGTGGATTCCGGGAACGGAAAATCAGATTCGATTCTCGAAACTGGGAAGCCCCTATTTCACGGGTATACGGGTACACGTGGAGCTTAAAGTTCAGCACGGTATAATACGCGACGGCTATTTTCGCGGATTAATGCACGGGAACATGTGCAGGGTTTAACATCAGGCGAAAAAAACCAAGTGAAAAAGTATTAATTAGGTAATTACGAAACGAAATTCACTATGTTAAATGCAAGCAATTTTTAGTTTGATTCTTGAGAAATTCTAAAAGTAGACGTAGTAAAAAATGTTTGAAACATCAAGAAGTGAAAAATTCGCAGTAGTACAAACTTGACATAGGCAGAAATCGTCTCAATACCGATTGAACGTTAGTAAGGATGAAGATACTTTCTAGTTTTGTGAAATATTTATATTTGAAAGAGCAACGGAATTCGTTCTGAACATTGCGTGCCCTTATTGAAGTTTAAAGCAGTGGCGTAGTTGAAGCTTGCGTTGCCCGTGGCGATCCTTACGTTTGTCATCGTCCTCGTAGAACAGGACACACATTTTTAAACAAAAGGATAAATATATGAAAAAAGTGAAAAAGTTCTTCATAAATTTTCTTCAAGAGGTTACAAAAATAAGTACCAAAGCAAATTTTAAGTTACATAGTTTACAATTGTTTAAGATGAAAGTTTTGATCTCGTAAACGATTTTCGACGGTCAACATGTTAAAGATCATCCCCGTTTGATCGAGTTTAGTCCGCAGGCCTTGTTTCCCGAATATTCTGGTCTAAACTGACTGGAAGCTAACCCAATTCGCGTTGCAATATCTGGATAATAACGCGTACTGATAAAGCCAGAGCACCGGGACCTACGGTCACCGATCATTGTCTCAATATCGAGAGGGAATTTCGAGAGCTTACGTTAATTCCGGTTGTCCGGCTCGGTGTTACCGATCGACGTCACGGTTTAATGGCGGCCATTAGAACGCAGGGGTTAGGCCAATTCGATCGTGGCTCCTTAGGTAGCCGTTTCTTACACAAACGGGAATTATAGTCCGTGTAACGTCCACTCGAGCGAGACACGATTAACACCTTCGTGCGAACCGTCCACCGTACAAACATGTGGTTTTTGTCCAATAGTTGTCCCAGGCGATTACATGATTGATATGTTACACTACTTTCCGTTTAGTTTACGTCAGAGTTTCCCAACTAGCCTTCGACTTAACGTACTACGTGTCATAAATGCACCATCACCTCGCAATTTGAATGTTACGAACTTCCTACGAACGATTCTAATCATATTTTCTTTTTTTATTGATAGATAATGACAACGAATTATGATAATTTATTCCAGGTATTAAATGTTTGATTCGATTTGAATTCCATCAAATTGTCCATGAAAACGATACTTTGTTTTTAGTTGCTTTAAAATTCGAGTCCTATCTAGATTTATTTTCTTTAACCACTTGCTATACAATACGAGTTCTTGATGTCATGTTTCACGATCATGAGGCTACTCACCCCTCATCAAATCTTATATAGTAAAATCAACACAATTTTACATTCAGGAGGTATTCGTAAAACAAATCTATTCTTTTTCGTGGCCATTTTTTCCACGAACAAATGTAATCAAAAAGTAAATTGTCTGTCAACGGATTAACATCTAATCTTGAGAAAATTCAAAGAAAAAATAACTGGAATCAATTTAAGGCGAAGCTAGTTTCGTGCAAGTTGATCTCCTGAATTTTCTACGCCAATTTCTTATTCCTAGACTCCGCTATGGAAAGTTTGCACACGTGATTCACTTTGAAGGTGGTTGTTTGTCTTCGTAGAAGACTGCAAGAGCAAGTGAGAAACGATTCGAGCCTCAGAGCCAAAAATCACTTCAACTCGATAGGGTTCAGTGTACTATGCGAAACACGGTGTGACTCATGCAAAAGTAGCAGAAGTTAGCTGCCAAATTTATGATACATCTCGAGAATGATGTGCCCAATTGCCTGTCAATAAAAAGAATATAATAATCGGACAGTTACCGTGAGTTATCTGGGAAACGGATTGTTGATAGACTCAGGATCGAGAATCCCCGTTGAATTCGCCAGTGGACCAGAATTAGAGTTTGGCAGAATTCTGTGCATATAATAGCCAATGAAAGCAAATTTTGTCTAATGATTTATTTGCAACATTTATCCGATCGAGCAGATAAGTTAACACAGTTATTCGATCAACTTGAAACGTAAATTGATGCGTAATACAGATTACAATTTTTATCGAACAACTGATGACAGATTAAAAATCGTTTATCCTTTACTTTTTATGCAAAATTTGTTATCCACTATATTTCTACTCGTCGTATCATTTTTATCGTTTTATAATGAATTTTGGATCACCATCTCGCGGTTAAAAATTACCTATCTTTGTTTTCTGTTATTTTCGAATAGTATAGAGACACTGTTGTTCGTCCCAAACCACTGAAACCCATACTTGTTCCGATAAAATGAAGCTGAAGTTCTTAGTTGAAAGATACTCCTCGAACCACTTCGCAACAGCATTAGAGACTGTTGGCAAAAGTTGTTGCTTCGCCGCTGGCCGGATTAAAAGCAACCAGTCGCCACTGATCGAGTGAACTGGTACTTTTACTTAACTAGATTCTTCCTATCTTCTTACGCTCGCGGATGATAAGCTTCTCGAAAGAGAAAATATTTAACTTGCAATTTGCAAATTTTTCTAGCTCGCCGAATTATTAAGTCCTCCCATAAATTCGTGGCGTTCAACGTTCCCGGATCGACTAGAATAAAATTCGTAACTCGTAAGAAACGCGTCTGAATTTCTTTTTATATTTGCAAATATTCGGTTTAAAGGGGCAAAACCAACCCTCGAATAGGACGATACGTGTAATCAATTCGGCACACGCGTTGTCACTGGCCGTAGATATAACGCAATTCCGACGTTCATGATACTGTAAAACCACGATACTGTACTTTAATTCAATTTTGCACGGTGGTAAGTGCGAGTTGTAAATCGCGACGATCGTAACTCGAGGACTACCTATAAAGCCGAAGGTATTAAAATCGATCGACGGAAAGCTCGAGAGTCGCGTGGAACGTAGACGGAAACCACCGTCGGGCTTGGAAAAGTTTAGGAAAAGTTTTTGCGTCTTTCGTTGCTTCTACACGCGCGGGTTCCCGCGTCTCCGGCATTATATCATGAATTATTTGGCCCCGGTTAGGTCGACACGTAGGCATCGATTGGCGAAGGCACCAGCGCCGGCCCAAAAATTGCTATAAAACACGCAGGAAAGGCAATGGAATCCGGCCAGAGCTGGCGCCGTTCGGGGCAATTGAAAACTCTCAAAGGTCGGGTATACGATACCGTCGTCGTCCTCTTGCTTGAGCAGCACCTCGAGCTCGTGGTCGTCGAAAGTGTGCCCCAGGGTGTTCAGGATCGTTCGAACTTTTTCCTTCTCGATCCGACCCGCCTTCGCGGAGTCGAACATGGAGAAGGCTCTTCTGAGCACTGTAAAACACAAAGGAACGCAATGTTTACGCTTTGGCCAAAAAATGAACGCTCGAGGGGGGAACGTTCTACTCTGGAATCTTAAAATACTCAATACATTTTCTCGATCGAAATCGGAACTGGGCCTAAAATAATATTATTTAAAGCGTTATTTCGAATAACGTGTTATTTTATTGCGTAATCATTTCTCATCATCACAGTCTTTAGAGAAATGTTAAATTTTTATTTTCCTTTTTTTATTAAATTACAAAACCCATCGATAGACCCTATTCATCAGATTTTCCACGATTCTAGGATCGCAATCCACCCAGAAACCACGCATTTACGTAATTGTACTAAATTTCAAATAATTAGTTGCTCGTTCCCCGAGTTTACAGAAGGCACGGTATTCCAGTCGGCGGTTCGATAGCTCCCTGAAACTTTGTAGGCGCGCGATACCTTCGGGCGAGACACCAGAATTAGGAAATTCCCCGAGAATTCTAGAGCAAGGCGGGGGCCGGTAACGCGAGCTCAGAGAACGCATCGCGGCATTTATTTACACGCGGTGGCCAGAGCGGCGTGTATTAATATAACGCGGTCGAGTCAATCAGCGGTTTATTTTGCGATAGGAAGTCGTATTGCGCAACGAGTGGCCGCGTAGAAGTCGCGGGTACGTTCTCGCGTGGGCGTGCGCGCGGAAAACAGCCGAACTTTCGGCGAAACAACGCTCGGAGGCGTAATCGTTTCGTTTCCCGGCCGTGTTCGAGTTTGCCTCGCGCGACGATGAATCTTAACGAGCATACGAAATACGTTGACGGTCTCTTTGATGTCGCGACGGGCCACGTCTGGCGACGTAAAATACACATCGTCCGCGACCTAAATTTTATACACCCGGCGACCTTCCTTCGACGAATAAACCGTACTTGTTGACGCGACGCAGACCCAATGAAATACGGGCACCGCATGGCGGCGCTGTGTCTATTTGCACGCGGACGTTCCGTTCCGTTTCGTTCCGTCGTTTAACGCCCTCGTGGCGCAAGAATTTCAAATTCGCGACGGTGCACGGCCTGAACAACAAAGAATAGTTCAAAAAGGAAAGGAGACACTGTTCAACTGCGAAGATACGATACTCTTAAGCACGTGGTCACCGATGCTAACCACTGCGCTTGTTTCCAACATTTTCCTCGGTAATCCCGCGACGTACTCACTTTTCACTTGTTCCGTGTCATCCTGAAACAGAGAAACGAACTTTCAGTACCGGAACGCTTTTTTTTATCGGCTCGCGTCCACTGCGGAAGCGACGGAAAGAGACGCGCCACGATTTGATTCCCCCTATCGCCCATCGACTTATATCCGATATAGAAAAATCGATCGACGGATTGGTGACTTGGCGCCAAAACGTCCGATCCCCCCCCATCGTTTCGATACGAGGCGTCCAATTAACGAGTTTCCATGCGACAACCCGTGGAACCGTTCGCGAACGCACGATTATTACATGGGAACTGACCATCTTCCGGCTTCGTTCGACCAGCGACTCGCAACTGGGGTCCCTTCGTTCTCTAGCACTAATGGCTTATCCGCACTGGATATATCTTTTATAAGCTCAGCTAGAACGCATGGAAGGGGGGTAAGCGTCTCATCCCTTCCTGCGAACGGTAGAAATTTCACAGCTTCGCGCGCAGCTGAGACGACGCCAGTTCACGCTGCTATAATGCTACGATTCCCCGTGGAAAACGGTTAACCGGCTCGAAAAAGGCCGCTGACTCAAGGCCGCGCGTTCATCTTGCTTCTAGGATCTTCCCGTTTCTTTTTCTTTTACTTTCACGGCTGTTGATGTATGACACTAGGTCGTGACGCACTTCGAACATAAATTTATTTTCTTCATTTCCTACAATAAATTGTTTCCACTATTCACGACGTCCACCCAACGTTCGATCAATTTTCCGATTCCATCACAGTCGAAACGTGGAAAAAAGTCGTCGAACCAATGTTGCATTCGTTACGTCGAACACTATTTCTCGTAAATTGCTAGATTTTTCACCCGTTCCATTTGTCTTAACAGGACTGTTCAATAATATAAATCGTAAGAAATTTGATCACGAATTTGTCCGTTTGTTTTAACGTTAAAATTAAGTTATTTGTACCTAAACTGTATAATTTTAATGATATCTTGCAGAGAAAGGATAGACTGCCCAACGATATAAATCGTGAGAAATTTGGTCACGAATTCGTGCGCGTCGAAGTTTCGAAAGGATGGGGAGGATCGGTGGATTGGCGCAACGAATCGTCGTTTCCAAACGATCGTCGTCAATTTTTCTAGCCGGTATGATTTGTGGCGTGCAATTGAAAACGGGGGAAAGGCGATGCATTACGCGGAGCATATTACTTAAACCCGCCGTTATGTGGCTGTTTTCTACGCGGCCCGGAAAGCCTGCCAAAAACTTTGAGGGAAAAGCAATAAAATATTCCTGCACCGCGGACGCGCGGTCATAGTAGGCGGCCGGGAACAGAAGCGGTACCGGCGACGGAAAGAAGTGGGGGTGGTGCTATTTCAAAACATTCCAGACTATGATACTACTGCTTTCCATTCAACTACCGACGTCGCTCGGCGCACAATATCGTCGATTCTTTTTACTGGTCGACGAGAAATTTAATATCCTCCGCTGCCACGGAGTTATCCTTTGCGAGGAATTATCCGCTCGAACCGAAGTTTTTACACGGGTACGGAACTTTTCGAATCCGCCAAAAAATGAAAATTCGAGCCACGACGTCGTAAGTCCTGTCGCTAAATCATTGGACGCGATCGAGAAATGTAGTACGTTCTCCTTGTGTCGTTTATATTCGTATATATATAGAATAAAAAGATTCTAATAATAGCTAATAATTCGAACAATTCAGGTTTCATCAAACAGTCCCTTGTAATTATTGTTTTCTTGTGATTTTTCTTGTTTACTGCCGAGCAAGAGGCAATTCTGAAAATAACGTTTTGTTTTTGAGATAATTAAATTTATATAGAGCAGGGGTAATTGTACATGGAAAAATAAGTAAACAACGAAGAATACAATTTTCTAAAATAATGCTTTGTTTCTTAGATAATTAAATTTACATTTAATACAAGTTGCTCTGGTATGTCTGCCCACTACCCACTGTTTCTACTTACCTCATCGAACGTATACACAATGGATATTTAAAGTCGATTTTCTGGAAAAGGAATCATCAAACGGGCAAATTTTATTCTTCATTTTCGATTTGTTATTTCGCGTAGAATTAACCCCCTCCCCGTTTTGTCGTCTCTGGGCGGTTTTGGACACCGCGTGCGCGTAACCTGACAAGACTTAACGTAACGGAAAACTTTGTTGGTGCAATTCTTGCCGCGTTTTTTCCGCGCTTAATGCGCCGGTGATGTACAGTGCTTTTCGTAAGAACGCGGTAGACGGCAAACGCCTATAATTATCTCGTCAGTTCCGCCCACGCGGTCCATGCCGCCTCGCCGCTGAATTATTATTTGAATAAACTCGCGTTATATTTAGAACGTCCAATACCAATTGTGTACCTCTTGAGTCGTTCTATATTTAAATCGCGGACTACCTTGCCGCGTAATTGGGCGAACGGTCGACGAACTTCCACGTTCGCCATCCTTCCCTTCAGTCCCTATTTGGGTGAACCTCGGCTGCTCTCGATGACCTTTTCGCGCAAAATTTCTTTGGTTCCATTCTCGAGTTTGAAACATTTGCACAAAATTTTAAGTCGATCGAATAACCGGAAATGATGGCACAGTTAATTTAAAAATTGTGATATTTCCAAAACTTGAAATTTGTCTTTTTATCCTCTATAAGAATATGGAGAAATATATGGTTCTGTTTGAAAAAATTGTCGTTACCTTAGGCCCTTACAGTTTTCACCATTTAATATAGCAGAAACGATACTACACAATACTACTCTGGAAAGTGAAATAATTCTATTTTTCCAGACACTGTTAAGTACACGACGGGCCAAAAAACAAGTTACTTATTTTTCAAAAAAATTGTTATGATAGTTTGCATAAACTTCGTATATTATTTGCGCATCTTGCATGCACAAACTTTTCGAGCGTTCGGGATCGTAACGGGTAAATCTGCACGACAGGGAAGGTATTATAAAACAAAGCCTACGATCGACGGAGTGGAGATCCGATGGAAAATCTTTGGAGCCGTCGTAAAGGGGTGGGGGGGCCGTTCGATGCAGTTCGGGATTGCAAATCGAATATCGGCGTTATCGCGGCATAAACCGATGAGAGGAAGTCCGCGAACCACGGCAGACAATTTCACTGATTCGAATCTCTGGAAACGAGTCAGATTCCAATGGCACGGACGCCCATCGAGAGGGAATAAATCGAATTAGTCGATGCAAACTGTCGGTCAGGCTGAGATCCGCCGCGAAGGCCGCCAGGAAGAGCCTTGATATCGACGAAGGGACGAAAACGTGGAGCGACTGAAATGTTCAACTACCCTCCCAGTAAACGCAAGGGTTAAAAATAATGAAAAGGTTGCTAACCTCTTGTCTGCCACGGATTTAAATAATGTTTTCTCATCGCGGACTTTCAAGACTTAATATTTAATATGGGCGTCTTGCGTTAAATAGAGAATATTATGTGCGCACGTTTAAAATTAATTTCCACGTGTGAAACATTCGGTACAGTGTAACGAAGTCTGAGATTACCGAGACTTGTATTTCAACTAATTTTTTGATACTTTTCGTTGTTCACGATTTATAAGCATTCAAAAGTATCGTTTTTGTGGACAATTTGAGGGGTTTTGTCTGGCAACCAACTCGTTAATAAACATCAAAATCGTCTTGTACCAGTCACTAGGATCTCCTCGTAAGTACTGGATTCAAACGATTAAATTTTTTATACGCGCATCGTTTGAACGAAAGTAAATAATATAAAATAATGTTTAACCCTCGATTGAGTTTGAAAAGGAGTAATATAAGTTATTCGCGACCGACTGTCGTTCGTTGCGACTTTGTTGCTTGGTTGCAGGCGAAAAGTAAGATAAAAGTAGAAAGGTTCGCGCGTTGATCATCGGTGTGGCCGATTGATGTTCCGGTAATGAAGCGGACAGAAGAATTGAAACAATGAGCCTGGTGGCGGTCGACTAAAATCTCCGGAAATTACTGTGCATCGTTCCACGGGTGTGTCATTAGCAGGGACCCGTGAACAATGGCGCCCGATGCATCCCCGGCCTCGAAATGTTGACACAACGCTCGCTCAGAATCCCGACTCGTGATTAAGGGTATTGTTCGTACCGGCGACCTCAGATTTTTATCTCGACGAGAAAAACGAATTTTTGTGTGCCGACCCGGGCAGGGGTCGAAGGTTGGGCGTTGTCCTTCGTCGAGGGGAGCTTCGTTTCTTTTACCAGGACTCCGTTTCTCGTTAGCGGACGGCGCGTGTCATCGCCGGTGCAGCTGCGACCGAGGGAACATATTGGAAAACCTTTCTTTCGATTAAAAACTCCTCGCCGCCGACAGACCGACTCGCTCGGGGAAATGACTAATTACGGACAGAGAACTGGGACGATTACGAGCACAGTACTGCCTTTCTTCTCGCAATCGAATCGTTACCGACTGATTTCACGTGGAAAGTAATTCGAATGTAGATCGTCGGGTGCGTAGATTACGTTGACCAAGGGTTGATGAAATTAATTGCTTTATTTCCTGTATCTATCGTGTTACGTGGAGTTTCCTGAAATGAATTTTCAAACAAATTGTATCGCGAATGCTTTCACTGTAAACGTAGGAGAGCGAGGTCGATTGTGGTGGTTTTTTTTTTATTTTCGATAATGTATTTTCTACTATTAACGATCAATATTACATTGACATTATGGGTCAATGTGCTCCATAGTAAGATGTTACAAATTGTATGTTAAGAGTCGCGTATAAATTAAAGAATAATAACAATTTATGCAGACAAAGGACTTTTAACCCTTTGCACTCGGCTGTCCCCTCTGATGGGACATCCAGCGAAGAATTTGGATGTATCATCTAAGAAAACACAACAATATTATTGTTTTAAAGTGATTATATAAGACAAAATATATAAACAAAAAATATAAAAAACAGATATGTTTGCTTGGAGTATTTAGTAGTAGGCGATAGAAGAAAAGTTTCCGAGTGTGAATTAACTTTTGTACGATCCATTTTGCAAATCCTTCCAGTTGCCGCAGAATGGTAAACTTGGAACAGGTATCAATTTGTGGATGAACCTTTTCCAATAGCTTGCAAAATTAAAAGGTTCTCTGACGGTTCGTCACACTTGCGCGTTGCTTTGTGCTCGATTGCAGTCCAGTGCGGAGGTCGATCGGAGACCCCGTTCGCACGTTCGAGCGATTAGAAGCAAAATCGAGGAGCAAATTATTTGATCGAGCAATCGAAACCTCGTTAAACCGTCGATCGAGGCTGCCGACGACGGGGAAAAGGTGTTCTCCAAGCCACACGGCCATCGTGGTTATTCATGGTCGTTCGTTTGATCGCCGTACGATTAAAAGGAACGTTTTATCGGCGCCACGGATCGTCTCGATTATCCCCTGGATTTCGTTGGTTCGTTCGCGCGGTGGAAACGAACCGTTGATGCTTTCCGGCGAGAGTGTCTTCCGGTCGTTATGGATTATCCGGAAGGTCTTAACCGATGGTCTTTTATTTCCGACGATAGGCTCGCAACAAACCAGCGGACGGAGTCAGCCACGTGAACCAGAAGGGACCCGGGGGTCAAAAGGCGCCGCTAGCTTCCGGGCAGAAGGGCGCGCCTGGCACGAAGAACGTGGGGAAACAGGCTCAAAAACCAACCGCTCAGAAAGGTCAGGTGAAGGTCACGCCGAAGGCGGCTCCTATCAAGACTGGGAAGAACAAAAAGAAGGGCCAGAGACATCAGTATGACCTCACCGTCACTATCAATCTGGTGAGTACGATTCTTCTTACACACTAAGTATCCAAACATTGGAAATAAAAATTGTATTGCGTTATTTATTACGTTAAATTACGTTAAATATAGGGGGAGTTCCCCTAAACCCGGACAGTAGCGATATCTTTAAAGTGTGAAACACTATGCGATCGTTATTTCGCATAAACAATAATAGGGATAGAATAAACAATGATCAAGTTTCGCGTGATGTTCTAGTCGCACGTACATAGCTAAAAAAATTAGTTGTTCGTTGCGTTTAATTAGAAGCTAGTGTATCGTACAAATTATAAACTACTGTACCTCTTAATTTTTGTAATGAAAAAACGCGTGAGCAGTGAGAGCTTTTTTAATTACCTTTGAAGAAGAAGAGTTAAAGATGCATTACATAATTAAATAATCGTTTTAGAAAATATGACGTCAATAAAACTAACAAAAATTGTTATAAGTATAATGTAATATTATTGTATATAGAAAAGTTACTTCGCAAAAGAAACTCAGGGCCAAAAGCCGCCCTTATCGATAGTCTTTTTTTAAATTTTATGTTGACCTGACTCTGATACCGACCAGGCGAGCCACAGTAGAAACGGACATTCGTGATCAGACGCGTCCGATCTAGACAGTCTTTCTCCATTAGATGGTAGCACAGGTCTGAGAACAGCCACGGTTTTGCGGACATAGTTATCGCCGTACTTTATTACAAATAGTAATTAAACAATAGTTATTATACATTATCTAATTAAATACTAGTCTACAAATCGTCCATAATCTTTACTTTTAAAAACTAATATGCAAGTAGTTAGTCCCTAATACTTCTAACGTATTTAATGGAACTCTCAGTTCTGTAATAAATAATAAATGATAACAAAAAAGGAAGAATAATACAATAATTAAGTCGTATTGAGCGTGTATAGACTGTTCGTGTCATTATTAACCAGTATTTTTTGGTAAATGGTAATTATATTGACAAAATGAAAGAGGGTAAAGTTCTGTCATTTTTTAGAAACAAAGCTAACTTTCAATTGTTTAAAATATGTGCTACTTAAAAACAAATTTAACTATGGGTAATTCGAGCATTTCGTACTGTAATATTTATTAGAATTTCTTACTGATAAACTACATAGTTCAAAATATTCGACGAACTGTTTTTTTAATTCCTGACATTATACACTCTTGAAAATCACAGTGTCTTTTTGGGCAATTTTAAACGAATGGTTGCTGCATCATATTGAGAAAAAGACTAGGTCAGTTAATGTGCGAACTTAAGGTAAAAAATACCGCGAAAGAAATTATAAATACGAGTTCTCACCAATTAGTAGACAAACCTAAACGAGTTAACGAATTCCTCTGCAATAACCAATCAATTGACATGGCGCTCATCGTTGAAAAGCATACCGAGAGATGATTTATCGATTCAAAGAAAATGGGCAAAAACGATTATCAGAATTATTCGATATATACCATAAATATCGAACGGTAGAAAAAAAAGTTTGCAACAATTTACTAAATTCTGGCTACAAGAAGAAGATTTCCACGCGAACGAATCCCGAAATATTCGAAGATTGTGGGGATTGTGCATAGTCACGATGTCTATTCGAAAACGATTGCGATCAGGTGTTGGGTGCGAGTTTTCAAATACAAATCATCCCGTAACGCTCGCCATTTGGCAGACATCGAGCCATCGGCGCGAGAGACTGCCATTAAAGAAGCAGAATGGTTGGAGGGAAGAGGACGGACGAAGAAGTAAATAAAGAGAAGATCGCGCCAGCCAATCGTCGGGGACCGCTGACAAGTTAAAAACAGCCGAAGGTTGTCCAAAGGTTCGCGCGTGCTTTTATCTCCGCTCGAATAATACGAGGGAAGTCGCGAGTACCTGTTTCTCCATTCGTTGGAGACCGGTGGACAGCGATCGAGGAGGGGTCTTTGACTTTCCAACGGTGGTGTTCGCCAACCAGAGGATGATTTGCCACCGCAGTGCGTCCCAAACGCCAGGTTGACAGCCGCGAAAAATCGCCGTCGCGCGGAATGCGCCCACGCCGATCTTTACGCGCTCGAGAGGGGAGAATCGAAGAATGAACTCGCGTCGCGTCGAGCCGTCCGCCGCCACCGACGACCGATGACGTTCGTCAGTCCATAAATATTATTAGTGTGTTCGGTCCTGTTGTCGCGCTGGTTCGTTTGACGCGTGGCCGAGCAGTTCGCGCGCGAGGAAAGCCTCTCGCGGATCGAAAGGAACGGGCAAAAGGTCGTCCCGCGGCTCCGAACGACTTGCAAATGTAAATTTAAAAGAGTGTCGTCAATTTAGTGGAGAGAAGTGCGACATGTCGGACACGGAGAAGAAATACACGTCCGCGTACGGGAAGCTGCGGAGGGTCACGAGCACCATAGACTGTCAGAGCCGGCAAAAAAGCGTGAGTAAGGCAGCTTTTACAAAAAGGACAAGAGATTTAAAAAGAATTTAGCAGACGGTTGCACAGGACTCTGAAAATTTACGAATTTACGAAATTGGAATATCTTGTTGAGGACGCCATTTTGAGATACTTTGTTGAGACTGTTTCTCGATTAGGAATTCCGAAATTTTCTCAGCTTTTGATATTTTTACCGCAAAATTCGCTACGAACATCTCGTGCGAATAAAAAAGATTAAAATATAGATTTTAATTAATTAAATGCTGAAGAAATATTGTCAGATTAATCGACAAAGGGTCTACGGCGATTTATCGTTAACCTTCGCCTGGTCTATTTTGCTTCTGTATTAATTCGCTTTGAATTCGCGAACCGGATTTCAAAGGGGCCGGATAAATATATAGATGCGGCAAAGACACGTGCATTTGCAAAGCCCCCGTCCTGAGTTTTCGTGAGTTTACACGAGCCTCTCTCAGAAATGCTGGAAAAGGACGTGACCCAGTTGAATATCGTCTCTATCTACTTCCGAGGAGCTTCGAAGCATCGAACCAAGAGCTTCCGACTAAGACAGTTGCAACAGACTCGTGTCTCTTCCCCACAGTGCTTACGATTACATCCGGGAGTTATCCACGAGCGTATCCGTGAAAGTCGTGCCTGGACTGACTCGTCTCTAAACGTTTCTGGAGCACGGAACAGGCGACATTTAACCAATAGACGAACAGAGATTCCTCTATCAAGGTGACACGTTCGTTAACGTAAAAATTGATTTGATGATCGTACAAATTAGGGTAGGGTCGCTGACTCGAATCACCTTGAATCGTGGTATCAAGGACATCGTTCTGAGCAACTTCTCCCTATAGATACAGTCGCTAGAGAATTTGGCCCTAATAAAATTACTAATCTATAGATAGACACATGGTCATTACTTCCGCCAAAAATAAAAAATGATACATTATGTTTTATCGATCCTTGCGCCGTTACATCCCATCACGGATCCATATTAGACACAACGTTCTTCCTACATAGTTTGTAATTTTCTTCTTTTCATTTAATGAGAAGAATCTTCGGTGGTAGCAAAATATATTTTGATTCTTCACTATTCTGAATGGAACTTCAACTCTCGGTATTTAAATTTCTTATATTTTATCAAGAATTACTAATATCACTTTTAATACAAAATTGATTTTTGAAGAACGTCTTCTCGACTAATACGTCGTTTCTACTGTGTGTACTTGAAAGAATAATGTTTCTAATTTTGTCTTTCGTAGGGTTAATTTGAGTTAAAGTTCAGACAAAGTAGACCAAGCTTCATCGAACCGATCAGTGATGGGTGTTTTAAATCGGCGTTGATTTTTCTTCGCGAATTACCGGTTGCTTTTGTCGCGGGGAATGCAGTACAATATTGCGAATGGAATGTTTATTTCGGTGCAAATTGCAACACCGTCGATGTGCTCGTAGCTGTAGATCACTCGATATCTGAGTCACGACCAAACTTAACTAACCCGGCCTGCTTATGGTGAGCTTCATTAGTGCGCGCTTCTAGGAAACTATTTCTACAACGGTCGCATTAACGACAACGCCTGGGGATTGGTTACTCGGAGGACTTCGTTAGGCGGTTATGTTTACCACTAGACGGTCACCGTCTCGAATTTTCATCGTTGGCTACCCACACGACAGTTAGACGTTCGATGTTTCTTCCTGCGACTAAGATTGCAACACGGCAATATTAATAATCGCCATCCGGTCTCTTCTTCGTATTCGAAGTATTGGCTGGAAGATAACTATAAACAAGGTGACACGTTGGGTTAAGAGAGTTCAAGGTTCGTCGTAATTAGAGTTTAGAATTTTTCTGACGACGAATGACCGTAAATCAAAGACCAAAATATTTAACCACAACAGAATTCACAGGGTTCCTTTGAATACTGACAAAAGTGTGTGTTCATTACCGAAGCATAAACTCGGAGGAAAATGTATTTTAACATTAAAAACCCTAATCTGTAGTGCTCGAAAAATTAATCGAAAATACAATCCTTAACAGTGGAGATTGTACCCAGTATGCAAAATTAGCCTAAAAAGCAATTAGTTTCAACTAATTTGATAACTTCTATAAACGAATTATTATTTCGACTAAACTTTGTACCAAAAATTGACGAGGATATTTTATTTCGTTGCCAGATTTTTTGAAACAGACAAAGCATGTATTCGAAGCACTATCGATTACATGTAATTTAAAGATCACTTACTCTCTGTCAGAGACCTTTCACGCCAACGATCTTCTTGGCTAAAACCCTTACGTTAACAAACGCGTTCGGTCGTTTGTGTGCGCGTGAACAACGATCCGCGGGGCTGCTGATAGGTCGATGTTCCTGTAATCCCATTAACGGCATATGTTCCTTAATCCTTCGTCTATTAATGCTGATTTAACAATGTCGAGCACGGCCATGTGTAGGATACGGATAAGCCGTTGGTATTTCGGGTCGAACAACTCACAAGTTAAGACCGTTGCCGTGAATCGCGCGAATTTTCCGCGTTTATACGTGCGCGCGTTTGTTTGATTAAATGCTCGTCGAAACGCACCGGGGCGAGTCGTGTTATTTAATTCACCGGCGACGTGGCACGCGTTCCTTGAATTCCACGCGCCAAAACCCATTTCGTTCGACCGGGATTCCCCGTTTCGACGAGCACGTTGGTTCGAGAAAAAAAGGAAATTAATCGACCAGCACCGGTAATTATCGGGGCGAAAATCCACTGTTAACTTGATCAAATTAATGAGATTTCGGCCCGAAATTGGCACCGTTCTGCAAACAGCTCGCGATGCGAGGCCAGCGTTAGCCGCTGGTGCATATTAAGTCTCGATGGGACGTTACCGCGACGTTTGAAGCGCGATAACGATTTAATTAAATCACGCGGCGTTTCGACGGTCTTGCAATTTAACTCATCTCGTGTGTTTTCTCTGTTTTTTTTTTCAGTCTGAGTATGGACTCACGGAGGATCAAGTGGCTGGTAAGTTTTGTCCCTCGACGGCTGTTCACTATCGACACGACTCCATTTTGTTCGTGGACGGTCTATCGAAACGTTCCTGGAGGTTAATTGTTTTGGGGGAAAGGAAACGAAACGAGCATCTTCGGGTTTCAAACGACTGCGAGAAAACGCTAACGAGTGAAACCTCGAACGGACTTTATCGCGTTCCCGCCGATGAGCAAACGCTCGCAAACGCTCGCAAACTATGGCAAACACGGGTGTCCGTACGCGCGACACGTTGGCCCGTGGTCGTGGTGCTCGACGTACGTCGTTACGCAAATTAGAGCCAGAGAACTTGTTCACGATTTTCACCGCAATGCCGTAAACATTTCTAATTGCACTGAACATCGCACGAAAGCTAGTTCCCTTTACAGAGGCAACCGCTGGGCTCTTTGACGTCTTTTTTTTTCACGGTTGATTCACCTCGTTGACGCTTTGATCGATCATCCGGCAATCCTTTCTTTAACGTTCGTCCTTTTCGACGCTACCTTTTCATGTCTGATTTCGTTGCTCGACCCTTTCCCAGAAAAGCGACGCGCCTGAAAGAATGCTGACTTTATTCGTCGATCGTCGTTTCCGAAATTGGTACTTTTCAATTAAAATTTCAGCGTAATGGATGCTCTCGAACGAACGTACAAATGCACCGAACGTATCGAGGACCTCATTACCGGTAGGACTTATTACGATATATTTCAAACTGATTCGATCTGACACGCTTATCAAGCAACATCTGAAAAGCAACCGCACTCGAGATGCAAATCTATCGTGAACTGAATAAACACGTTTACGAGTCGCATTTTTTACCTCGGAATAATCTCGAACGTCGCTGGTTTACATTCTAGTATGATGAATATAAGTTTAACATGAAAATTTATGTTATTTTAATGCAAAGATTGACGGAAAGGATCGATTTGCGTAAAAGAAAACGTGCTTCTATTTAGAAAAAACAAATGCATAATGTATCGAAACGAGAAGTTACATCAAAAAGCAATTATCCACCGCGAGATTCGACTTGTTCCTGTATCAATTTATTATGTCTACGCTTGAGAAGCTACAGTTTGTTCCAGATTCTAGAATCGGTGTTACTTATTCTCGTAAACTGTTACACTTTTTACAATTTTGTAAAGGTATCGTTGGTGTCCATGCATTCTTTCATTGTATTGCTGAGGAATCGTTCAAGGCTGTCAAGAGACACCTTCTGTTTTTTTATAGAATATTATGTAAATTTTTCCAGTAAATAGTTTAAATAGTTTAGAATTTATGACGACAGTAATGTAACAAGTTAAAAACTTATACGTTAAGTATAAGAGTTATAAGCTTCTATCCTTTATTTTCCTTATGCAAGCTATAAAAAAAAAGCTACTCAAATATCAAACCACCCTCGATTAAACGAATAGATATTTTTTTTTAATTTCTGGAATTACCACTATGCCTATCCAAATCTTACCTAACCGAACTTTATTATTCGAAAGTTTGCTTGTATAGCCAAGATTGCTCGAACAATCAAACACTCGAATCGATTTAAACGATCCAAGCTAGGCTTGACTTGTATTTTCAAGTACTTGGACACCTCTGGCCGCACCGGTTGCCAAACGTTGGACCAACTTCTCCGCGAGGATACACCCGAAAGCTCGCGTTCGAATCGGCAGTAATATCTGTTAGAGACCCCTTGTCGGTGTAGTCGATCGGCCGGAAAGCGCGAACGACTCGCCTCTATAAAGGGAAAGAATCGTCAGATTCGAATGATCAATAGCCACGTGGAGAACCACGAAAGGTCGTCCAATATGCGAGAGTGGCTTTACGTAATGACGTTTCCCCGTTATACGCGCTCGAAGCAGGTTGCATAAAACATCACGTTTTGGGTTCGCGTCAACACGATCGTTGGCCCCGCGTCCGCGGACGGTTCCTAAACGTCTAAAAGCTTTTTAAACGGCCGGTACGCGCGTTTTCGCGATGGCACGCGACCAGAGATCGCCGATTACGCCCACCGGGGAACCACCGAAAGAGAAATTGCCCGCTCGTTTATGCACATTAATGGATCGACCGGGTGTTTACGCGGACCGATCGGTGGCGGCGAACGATAAGATCAAACGGCGCCGTCTGGAAACGCACGTCCGTCAGCCGCGAGTCTTGGATCGTAGAATCCGTCGGGTTACCCGCGGATCGCTAGATTTGTTTTCCCGACCGATTTATCGTCTCTCTAACGGCGAGATTGCTTCCTCTGTAATTAAACCGAGATTCGCGAATTCCATCAGCTTGTCAAATGCAACGATCGCGGGGCGCCCTTTGCGCCCTCCTCTTTCTCTCGACGAAAATTTAGATTCGTTCCGAGACGGAATTAATTCCGACCGCTCGCTAAAATAGTTCCGGCGCGGCAACACGGGGAACAGAACCCGTCGAGGCAACGAGCGTCTTCTCGTTTATTTCAAAACATTCGAAAATCGATCGTTCCACCTCGAAGTTACCATTTTTATTTTAGCAACAGTCTCGTTCTTGTTAAGAATCTATTTTCATTTTTCGTTTGGAATTTTTAGAATTGCTGGAACCATTAGATGACGTTTGAGAACACACGGAACGACCGATTATGAATATTCTGCTTTGAAAAAATTTTTACGTACTTTTCGAGCGTCAACAAATACGTATACCAAAAAATTAACCTTGACCGTTTTCGATTTAAGTTTCAGACTTAAGTTTAGCTGTGAAAGGGTTGAATATCGTGTGTATACCAGATTCGTTTCTTTCTGGTTACGAGACTGAGAAGATTAAATATTGCATCGCCCATTTCTGATGGTCTACGAGCGATGTCTGTTTCATTGGGCGGCGTTGATAGCTTTACGGACGAATTTATCAAGAGAAAGGAATTCTCTGTAACGTACACGCGATCTCGTGAACTTTTCCAAGACTCGCTGGTCGTACGCATGTTTTTACCGACGACGCTCGTCGGACGTTTCGAAAATTTATAACGTCGCATCCCTCGCGATTCCGCCGCGGCTGGCTAGTTGCCCGAGATTCGCGCGATCTCGGCTGGTTTTGTACGACTGGTAACGCGTGACGGAACATGAACACGTACAAACGCACGAGCCCCTCATGATTAATAGACATCTAAATCCGCGAATTCTCAACAATGCGACGCCGTGACAGAGCCCCTGTTCGTTATATATCGTTCTATTGCCAAATTTTCGCTGGAGTTTTTACCTTCGTTGTTATTTACGGTTCGCTGTGGCGATCTCTGGAATTCTGCCGTCATTTTATCGAAAAAGTCGAGTTACTCTCGCGTGCCAGGTGATCGGAGTGTCTCAGAAAATATTGGCGCGTCTTGGATGCTCCGCTATATAATTTCTAATCGATTTTAATATAACAGCTTGTATGGAACGTTTGAAACTTTTATGGAACGTAAGCTGAGAGGAATGAAGTTAAAATATCTACCGAAGTAACTAATTCTCGTCCTGAGTACCTCTAATACTTTTTTTGTAGAGGATGGCGCATAAAAACTGTACAGTTTTATAGAAGAACAGTAAAGACGACCTTGGAACCATCGAAACGCCTCCGCTTTAAATTTGCCTAACATTTTTTTAACTACGCGAAACGCCTCGTATATCGGTAATATAATACAAACGAATGTAAAGTATAAGGTTAGTCAAATCGAAGAAAAATATATTTTGAACAGCACCTAATGCCACGAAAATCGTTATTATTTTCACGATTGGCTCAGCGGGCCTGGTTCAAACGTTGCCTTGAAGGTTGTCGCTTAATAAATTATAGTCGCGAAGCGCGTGCATTATTTTCCGAGGCACCCTGGCGAGAATCGATACGCGCGTTTCATTCTGAAAAGAGTCGTTCGGGATATCGCGTGCGATTTATTTCAATCAATTTCAATTTACCGAACAAAGTCCGGCGCGTCGAAGCCAGTACTTGAACGGTATACTTGCGAGCGTGACTATAAAAGGAGAGCGTCAGACGTTGATCGAACCGACGCTTAATAAATCGATGATATAGAACAGCGTGCGATTTGTCGTTGCAGAATTCAAGGAGGCGTTCATGCTCTTCGACAAGGACGAAGACGGTACCATCACGATGGCGGAACTCGGCGTCGTTATGCGATCTTTGGGACAGAGGCCGTCGGGTAAGTGGCACCTTAAATCATTTGCGAAACGGGGATACGCGGAACGTGATATCGGCCGCGTGTTGTCCGCGTGTACCAAGGTAGACACAATCTGGCCGGTAGCCACGAGCTGACGAAAGCTGCCCACGTGCAGCCAAAAAGTATAACGGTTATCTAAACCTTTATTCCGACCACTGTATTGTCCATTAGTTACCGATAGCAAAGAATCCCTCGTGAAATTCTACCGTCAGTTTATACAGGATGTTTGGAGGGGGGAATTTTAATGGGAGATTCTGGAGGCCAAAACAAGACGGAAATCAAGAATACCAATTTGTCGGTGTAGGCTTCGTTAAAAAGTTATTAACGTTTACAGATCCGTCTGTGGAACTGCGTGCGCGCGATGATGGTTCTCACTCAGTATGAGAAACTCTACTTAATGACGTATCGACTTACAGATTTGTGAGTGAGAACCATTAGCAGCTGTTCGTAGATTGTCATTGTAGCCAACCGTATATACGTGCATCTTTGAACTTCGAATTAAACTTGATACCGATGATAGAAACCTTGACCAGTTTCATCCGGGATTATTATTTCAAAAAAGAGATCCACGATAATTCGTGTAGACTTTGTCTACCAAAGAGAGCCATCAGAATTTGGCCAGAACATTGACAATATACAATGCCTTCTTTGCATACAGAAGTGTTCCGAAAACCAATGAATATCGAGTTCCCAAACTTTATCAATATCGACTTCGCCCGAAACAAACGAATACTTCCTTAATACATTGCCAGATACATACATATGAAAATAATTTACATATAATATTACTCGTATACTAAGTGAACCACGGTTTGATTGCCTGGATCTATCCATATACAGTAGTTCCTCGCTAATGTTCGCTGCTTTCTCCCTCAATATTGTTCGCGAAGTTGTCCTCACCAGTTATCAGAGTTATCAGAATCTCGCCTATTTCTGTAGATTAATTATTTAAAGATCCCTAAACATCTGTTTCACAAAATCCCGTTCAGACAGGCGACGTTCAACGGTCAATTAAAATTTAACCAGAATTAAATGGCACCTCGGTTCTCAGGCGTCCACGCGATCGGGACGTCTCGTAAGAAGTTCAAACCGAAACGCAAACTTCGGGCTCGCGCTTCTTGCTAAATTAATATTCCAGATGGGGATTCGAAGGTTTTGCGACCAGGCGAGAGTTAAACGGCGGAATCTACGAAAGTAGGCTGTGACAAGAGCCCAGGGAATATTAACTCGGGAGCGATTCCGCGCTAGAAACTGTGATGGTTAGGCGCGCGTATAAACGCTCGTAATTAACTACACGACGGGTCTTTCCATCCCGGACCCCCGGGGGCGGGGGTGTACAGGGAAATTAAATGTCTTTCGTGAAACGACGACGAGTGTACGCGCGTTACACGCGGAAATTAGAAGGGGTACACGAGCAAAATGACACGTTGTTTGAACCGGCGATTCTTAATTCTCGTGTCTACAACGAGCAGTACGCTCGTTCCTTACCGGAGCTCGTGACTAATAATTTCCCGTTACAGAGACGGAATTACGAGACATGGTGAACGAGGTGGATCAGAATGGCAACGGTACCATCGAGTTCAACGAGTTCCTGCAAATGATGTCGAAGAAGATGAAAGGCGCAGACGGAGAGGACGAGTTACGCGAAGCATTCCGGTACGCCCTTTTACACCTTTCATTTTTTCCCCTCCGTTTGTAACGTTGGCCATCGAATTTATGGACACTCGTGGTTCTCAGAGTGTTCGACAAGAACAACGACGGCCTGATCTCTTCGAAAGAGCTGCGACACGTGATGACGAACCTCGGTGAGAAATTGTCGGAGGAAGAAGTCGACGACATGATCAAGGAAGCGGATCTGGATGGTGATGGAATGGTGAATTATGAAGGTAATCCTCGAACAATTGTTAGTAGATGTAACGTATACAGTGATTAACGTTTTAAGCATGCTGGGAAAGGACGTGTTTTGGTAATGGATTTTGCATTCCAAATTAAATATTTTCATAAACCGTTGCGATGAAAATGAAATCCGAGTTGAAAAATTCATCGTTTCGTGATAAAAATTTTATTGCACGTTTGTAGTAATGCTTGAGCGAAAATTGTTTATTTAACGGTGAAAGTATTTATACGCACGTACGTAGGTTCGCATTCATATAATAATTATGAGAATCGGTAGGAGTAACAATTGATAACCACTAACTTGTACTACTAATTATATTTTTTTTAACTTAGAAATATGCAAAACTGATTAATTCGCAGCAGTTCCTACGAAGACTTTTCGAAAAGAAAAACACACTTTGCGGTGGAGGATCATGTACGAAAAATATTTCTTTCGTCGGATGTTCAATGTGAATGTTTTGATTGTTTACGTAACACAACTAGTTTTTAGATTACGAAAGAAGGGTGCAAAAATGTCGTCCGTATCGTAAATTTCACAGTCGTGACACTTAAATGTTCCTCCAATTAACTTCGATCGTTTAATGATTTCTGACAGAGCATGAGCCCTTGAAAAGGCAAATTTGAGATAAGTTTCTCGCGTCGCGGCACGAGAGCATATTCCCTCCTACAACGATACGAAAATTTTCTCACAGAATTCGTGACAATCCTGACGTCGAAGAATTAGTTCGGTGGCGGTGGATCGGATGCGAAGCTACGAAGCTGCCGGAAGTCTTCGTCGAAGGTAGAGTCGAGAACGTGAGTTCCTTCGTGAAGTTAGAAGGCGAATCGACGGTTCGTTCCCCACCGTTCAAGACACCGTCGAGGAAATCGTGGTCGGAGAGACGCGATAAAATTGCACAAAAGTCGCTGGACCTTCGAACGTTCGATCCTAAAAGCGATGGTCGCGGTTCGACATAGAGCTATACGGCAATGAAGATTCGTTGGACCCTAAAAGGGTAAGTGGAAGAGGGTAAATCGTGTCTCGAGTGGTGGGGCGACGGACGACTCGACCGGAAGTCCCCACGTAAGCGGCGGATGATCGCGAGAGGCGATAGAAAGCGACTTCCGCAGTTGCACACGCATACACGCATGTACACCTCGCTCCTTCGAATTAATTTTACAAGTATAAGCTAGCGAAACGACACTGTACGTGAAAAAAAAAAAAGAAAAAATAACGAGTGAGGTACTCGCTCCCGAAACAATCAACTGAGCTTTGTTTAGCGTTTACCTACATACTTACCTACCTATACTCTCTATTAATGCTATACAACGTCGTTATTAATACTGTTAGGAACTAAACCAATCCTTCGTCATCTCTCACCGGTTTGTCATTTGCGCGTCGTCCGGACGCGGATCGCCATCGACGGCCTAAAATCTCTATTTTAGGATCGCGAAAACAGCACACGGGCGCGTAAACGCCCCAAGCGTTTTCGCGTTACAGAGTCGAGAAACACGTCGCGTGATCGATGAAGTGTTTTTTTCGCGTGTCTCGATCCGCGGTGAGACGATCGAGACTATGCTCGTCGTTCCTCTTTCACTCCCGTCGATCGATCGGTATTGTTCCTCCAGTTTCGTAGGGTTTCACGTCTCGATGCGAGACGAATACTTCCCGACATTGTCTCATTAACATATTCTGGTCGCGGGACAGCGACGCGAGAGATAGCTCTATAACGATCTGTCTTCAAATTTAGATGAATGTCGTTTGGCAAGTAGATTAGTTCTAACGATGATATACTCGTGGCAGAGTTTTTAGACGCATGTTGTGGCGGCATGCCAGCGCGGCCGCTGGAAAGCAAGAATCAAAGTAACAGTAGCGGTTTTTTCCTTAAACGTACAACACCAGTTGTAGCTGACCTTTTTCCCCCCCCCCCCCCCCCCCCGGTAGTTTTAGTTCCCGAACGTTTTGTATCCGATATAAGAGCCGCGAACTCTCGCGACTGCGTAACCCGCCCTTATCGTTGTAGTCTAGAACGAATTAAATGGCCGCTCAGGGCCCGTTTCTCAGGGATCGTTCCACGAACAGGGTGAATTGGAAATGAAAATTGGCCTTGAACGAGCAATTAATTTTGCCCCCTAATGCAGTCCCGACGCGAACATAGATTCTCACCTGTGTCTCAGCTCTCCCGAAATACCGAACACCGTCCACCTAAAAGAACCTCGACATACGATCCTGACCCACAAGCCAACCGTACTACGTCGTGCACCCCTTAGGTCCTTAAGATAAGAGAAGCCACAGCCGTAGGTCGCGATAGATGGTAGTTAATTAGAGCATAGAGGAAGTACACGTAAATAAATAATGCATTATACACATACCTATTATATATAACTATACATGGTGTTACTACCGAAAGAATACTTGAAGTAATGTTATTATGGATATTCATATATATATAAATATATATACACATACACATGTGTATATATATATATATATATATTTAGTATATACTTATACATACATACATACGAACATATATTATATATACATATACACGTTAGCGACGTACGTCGGTGGTATACTGGCATTGATATTTTTATGGTTTTAAAAAAAAAAAAATAATGCAACAACAAGAACAAGTATTAGTGTCAGAGAGAGAAAGGGAGAGAGAGAACGCTAGAGCGAAAGTGTGAGAGTGAATGAGAGACACGGAGGAGTGAAAGAATGCGAGAAAGGGAAAGAGAGAAAGGGAGAGAGAGAAAGAGAGAGAGAGAGATAGAAAAAAAATTGGTTTGGCTGGTCGAAGCGCGGAAGAGAAGCGAGTGTGCATAGCGTATAATATTCTGGCGAGAGGGAAGGGGAAACGGGATATAAAAAAAAAACAATAAGATGAGCTCTTAAGCGCGTTAGAATTCGAATTGTCCTTTATAAGGAGCGTCGACGGATGGCACGCGAATATCACTATTGTTATCGTTGGTAATATCGGTCACACGAAGCGGTGATTTCACAGACATCCACACGTTCACACGCAAATACACACATACGTACACACAGATACACACGTACATGTAGAGATAGATGATAATTCTGTTTTTTAGTTTAGGAAACACGCATATACATTGCGCTGTTCGGCTCGAACGATAGGTAAGACACAATGAGGGATCGTCGCGGGCGAACCTCGAAACGCGATCGAAATATCGGGAGAAGGTTACCTCAGGAAACACGACGTACTTACCTAACAATTGCGATCGTCTTTTTCGGCTGCCTCGCGCCCCTGGCTCACGGCGAAACATGCAATCGTTAAAACAATACAACAAATATAGATTCCCATAAAAAATTATTTAAAAGTAGAAAAACAGTCGAAGCAATTTTAATATTTTCGAGAAATTTAACAATGCTTCCGTTGAAAGAAACACCTCTCGTATTTTATTTTATTTTTACAAAGATGACTCTCGAGGACGTCTGAACGACTCTGATTCGGAGTCTGGTCTTAAAACAAAAATAGTATTCTTGCAACGTCTTTGTTTGAACGTCGATTCTTATTCGTCGAACGTAAATTTCGTTCGATCGGCGATAAAGTATTACACGAACGAACTTACGGCCGTCCGTCATTGGCGCGACGCTAAACCGGTTGCGCAACGTATGTAATTCGAAAAAGGCGCGGGGCTGTGCAACGTATAAAAAATTGATATCGGTGAAACGCGCGAATGTTCAAGCAAAACTCATTACACAAAACGCTTCGATAGCTAAAAACATAAAACGAGCTCGATAAATCGATGCAAAATAGTAATGTATAACGTCCCGAAGACAATATCTTTAACGATTTTATTACTGGAATCTAATCGAGATTTACCTCGGGAGAAGGCCTACGTTTTGGCGCGTGTGTCCGACAAGATAGATCGTAGAAAGACTGTCGGCGAGGAATAAGAGGAAGATAACGAAACGAGACATTTTACGATGCAAGATGTCACGAGAAAAGGTGCTGTTTAGCTTAGATACCGTAAACTTTCTTTCTACGTAGTCTGTGTCCATCTGCTTTTTCCCTCGTCCAAGTTATCGCACTTTTCCGTTGGGAACACCTCTTTGCTGATCAGTTTCTTCTTTTTTTCTACTCACGATCGAATCTTTTCGTTCGTTGCATTTCACCACACTGTAACCACAACGTTTATTGGAAGATTGCGACGAACAGGCAAGGTTCAGTTGGATATTTACGACGTGCACGAAATTTCACTGTACCCCCATGAGTCTTTGGTTCGACGTTTATCGTTATTAAAGGGTAGAACTTAATCGATAAGATTATCGAGAAACGTTTAGAACACAAGTACAAGATATCGTCAATACCTGTATATATATATATAAAAAAATATATATATATCTTTCCCAAATAAATCGTGAACAGGGTCGGAGTCCTCGTGCCACCGACGTATCGAACGACTCATTAATCGGACACAAATAGAACAACGTCTGCGAATGTCCGCCGGATGCATTTCAGTTCGCAATGCGACACTAAACGCACACTCGTCACGCGCGCTTGTATTAGGTACCTTTTTCATTGTTATAGATCACGTTGGATCCACGAGGACTCCGATCGCGGGATGCACGTCTTTCGAATCAATTATACGAGTACATATACTTGCCCCGTGGAGGGCTCGCGCGACATTCTCCTTGGATTCTCAATACAGGGACTACCCTTTGGTTGACCCTTTCAGACCTTAAATTGTTTCACTCTATCCAAACTTATTTGGCCCGTTACATATATTGCTTGTCACCAAATAAAATTCGTGCAGTATGTATCATAATTAGGGGTGTGCGAGGTCTCGAAAATATCGATTGAAATTAACCATTATATGCTCAACCTATGCTATTATCAAGCAAAATATAGAAAAATCCCTTTAAATGCAAATTCTAAATAAAATGTTATATAGTTAATTACATACCTGATATTTATTTCTTATATTCTGATTATCGTTCATTTAAACTCTTTGAATTTTCTCGATTGACAAGATACTATCGAGGACTCGTTTCGTTTCGAACGTCGAGATCTCGATATTTTCGAGACCTCGCGCACCCCTAATCGTAATCCGAAGCCTCATGGACGATATTTAAGAGCGATGATCAGAGGTGAAATAGACATTGTCGAAAGAAAATTGTGCAAAAGGTCTGGAAGAGTCGAACCCCGAGGCTCCCAGCGCTGTCCCTGAAACGTGGTAACGAAAGATTGCATCGCGGTACAAAGAGTTTTTGTCACGAGGAACGGCGGGAGAAGGGACAGCCCTGCCCGACAAAGAGTTGTCGTTGATCGACCCTACCGAAAAGTATTTTTATAGAATACTCTTCAAACACAGATACTACGATACATTGAAATGCATACGACATCGCGTTATATTCTATTCTATATATTATATTATATTATATTACATTATATTATATTTACGTCATCGTATACGGGCGCGTACAAATTATGATATCGTAAATTAATGTCCTACTCTGCTGGCAGATTTCATTGTAGTCGTTACACGTACCTATCAGACGACGGAGCCATTGAATTGATCACGTCCTTTAAGAAGCGTACGCAAGTCTTCCTTTCGATCCGCGCTGTTCGATGCTCGAGGACGACTATAAGGATTTAGTTTCGAGGCGTGTTCGCCGCGAACGTATCGCTTGTTCTGCGCGCATTATTGTTTCCCCCCCCGAATAGAGTTGCTCAAGAGTCGATAATTCCGTAAGTCTTTTGATACCCGGTGTGCGTCGGAAACGGATCGATTCGCGGATCCGTGGATCGGGAACAGCGACGGCGAAGAAAAACGCACGGAGACCGCCGCGGCGCGCTCGACGTGGACGCAGCAGATTCGGATGTATTTTTGTTTCCGCGTTTATTTTTTCAGACGAGCCGCGAGTGTCTCCGTTCGTTCCGTTCGCGTCGATCACTTTCGGTACGACGATGGGATAAACGAAGCGAGACGATCGGAGGCGGTGGACGCGCGCTTGTTTCCGCGATTCGAACCGTCAATATTTAGCTTGCGTCACGGAACGCAGACAATCCGCGAGCGAATCGACTACTCATATCGCAGAATATTTTCAAACCCGTGTCCGTAGTCGTACTCGACGATACGCTTTGCTCGTGGCTTTGTAAGAACGATCGCGAGGCCGGAGTCACGCCAAGAACGATCGAGAGGATCGCGTGAGAGCAAAATAGAAGAACAGGGGAACCGAAAACTATATAGTCGCTATCGAGCGTGTTGGATGATTAAGATGGTAATCAAATAATTAATAACCACGTCGCTAGATACGGAAGGGGAAACTTGGATTAACTTAGATGTATAATAATTGTAATCGTTAAATAAGTGTAACTACGTTGTTCTAATCGCGGGGGCGTCCCGTACGTCGGTAGGCGAACAGACTTCCGAAAACGGGACGCTCTCTCGTTTCGGTTATTCGTTAGTGTAATCAAACGTATCTACGTTTCGCATCCGTTGGCTGGCGTAAAAAAAAAAACATAAAAAAAAAAAAAATGTATCCGCGCTTCACATTGAGATCGGGAATGGTCACAGAATGTAACAACGAGAGGTTGAGAGACGAGTCCGGTGGATAAAACGAGAGCAGATGGCGCGAATTGCTTGCGAACGATCGGATACATCGACGATTTGTTGATCGGAGGGAAAGCTTCCTGGTCGAGCGGATCTGAAATTGCACGGTCACGTTGCGCTTTTCCTGGGTTCGGTATTCGTCGGGCGCAGTCGTCTAGACCAGTCTTACTCAATCTTTTTTTTTTTTGGCGCTCGTCCATCTTCTGAGTTCTCCTCGCCGCTGGTCGGTAAAAATAATAGCACGCGATTATTCGAAACGTATAGCGAAAATAAAAAGTGTACAATAACGTAAGAGATACTATTGCCGTACTATAATTACCACACGCGGTGATAACTGGGCTAAAAATATTCAACGAAACGAAAAAGTAATAATGAAATTTTTGCTAGAGATTTTCTTTTGCATTTTACCTGCGATCCAGGCAAGCATTCTCGTAACATATCAACACCGATCGCATTTATTCCAAACGATATCATATTTTCTACTTACGGTATTGTTGTTTTGATGGTACTTTCCGCAGGTACGCTCCGGAGGATTCAGCTTTTTGTTATTATTTTGTACGGCGTTGATAATCGTTGGTCTAGACGGCACGGCGAAACCGGTGAAATTAAAGGGCAAAACAGCAGTAATCAAATTGACGGAAACGCGTAAAAGATTATTTTTCGTGTACACGTTTCGCGATTTATAAACATGGCTGCTTCCCTCTTACGCTCGCTATCGCTGTCTAAAATTTTGCCTCGGTTTGCCTAATGTGAAGCGGTCTAACGTAGTGGCATCACAAGTAGGCAATACAATATATCGTTAACAACTGCGACCGAAACAGAACGATGGTCAAAGAGTAATTATTATAATAAGAAAACGTCTTTCATTACTTTATTATACGATCGCGAGTACAAGTCGTTGTTAGTAAATCGCGTGTATACGCGTGTATATCCGATACAGCAACCTGAAAGGGAGACCCGTTCGATAGGTCTTTGGTTTTTTCGCGGAGTGCAAATAATTCTAATGGATACGGCGCGGAGGCGAGACTAAAGCGCGTTAAGATGTTATAAGGATGAAAATTATCTATGAAGCGTAATAGAAGAAAAAAAATAAAACAAATGAATAATAGCGTAAACACTAAGTCAAGCGAGGTTACACCAGAGATATCGCACTGTGAACGAGAATATTTATATTTTTACTTGAGAGAGAGAAAAAAAAAAAAGTTATAGTAACGTTTGTAACGTCTAATTGACCCATCCGGTGAGGAATGTTTATAATGTTATTTTTCTAGAGTATATATCTAAACAGTTATTATTGTGTTATGACGAAACGTGCTCTCAAGCGACAAACAGGCGAGATCCATTCTAGATGCAAATACGTATATTTATCTTTAATAAACGTTAAGTTCGCCCCGATTCTTTCTTCGTCGTTCTTACGATTTACCTTGGTAAGTGACGTACTGTAGCCGTATACTAATTGAATTGTACAATGCTGCTGCGGAAACCTTGGATCGACCAAGTGTGTTTCGACGCGGCGTTCGTTACGATTTTTCTGCTGTAAATTTTGGGGAAAAAAGTAGGAGAGAAACGCGTACTTCTGTACGAGGAATTGTTAAAAAATTGTCGATAGCCACTGTTTACCATTTCTGCGAAATTGTTCATCGACGAGGATGTTATCGTTGAATTTTCTTTTTTTGTTCACCGACGCTCGTTACAAATGAAAATACACCCGATCCGCGCAAATTGCATACGATGTTTACGTTTCGATGATACGTTGTTTAAATTACGTTTAGCGATTCGACGGTGAAATTGGCTATCGGTACGATACGACAGAAAGCAAAACTCGTTAGTTTCGTTTCTCGTTTCTTTGTATTTGCTCGAAAGCGATCGGTACACGGAAGGTGAGAAAAGAGAAACCGATTTCGGTCGGTGATCGTAAAATGTACTAACACGTTCCTTAACATTTCTGTCGATCTACTCTTATGACCATTTATTGAAACGTTCCTTTGTACCTTAGATGGGATATTTTGTTCTTTAACTGCGGTACCTGCGATCGAAGGTTCTTACTCAGATTTGCTCCACTCACGTTTCGTCGTAAGGTGGGAAAAAAAAAAAAAAAAAAAACAAAAAACGGAAGTGCTGGAGACTGTGGCGAGAGTGCAGTATGTATGGTGTTAGCTATATGAAACCATGTTACGTGTAATGCTATGTACTGTAAGATTAAAATACAAGATAAAACGGTGATGGCGTGTACTACTGGAATGTAATAAATGTATCGAGTTACCCCTAAATACAGCCATTTTATAATGGACATTTTTCGTGGTCCGCTCTCCCTTCATTTTGTTAGTTGTAGGAGAAATTGGTAAGATATCGATGGTAATCCGTATTAACATTATATCTAATCATTCTCAGATTTTGTATAAGCAATCAAGTTGTTCAAAAATTTGAACGAATCGAATTTTCTAAAATTCAATCAAATATCCGAGCTACTTAAATTCATACGTGTTTTACAACCCACAGTGTAGATAGTATGGAACGATTTTTTTTCAAAATTAAAATAAATATAAATTTATTTAAGAGCAACCATGACAAAAATGATTGGATGGATTAACGACATAATAATAATATTATGTTAAATACAATTTTATTTAAATGTTTATAGTTATTATAAATGCATCGAAATATATTGTATTCTTGGAAAAAATCGACAGCATAAGTTTCTGAGAGTAGAATTATAACAGATCTTACATTTTTATTCGAAATCGTCAACGTATATGTTACGTTTTCTACCTTATTAGGATTAATTAAATTTCATGTTCCACGCGATGAAACAATATCGATCGTATTCCGTGATATAAAACTCATACCGATCTATGCTCTAAGAATTCGATAAATCGAATCGTTTCTTTGGTTAAAACTTAGTCATAATGTTGGCTCTATTTCTCACAAATGATTAAAAGCACTGGAAACTCCGTGAATTACATTTTATAAATTATGACGCGTATATTCATATGATACTATAGTTAAATAGTTTGTAATTATTTTTCAAATGTACATAAAAAGCATTAACGCATAGGTATTAATAAGTAATAGTAATCCTAAAGAATACAAATTTTATTGTAAGTATGAGATGAGCGTCATTTGATCGGTGTTGTCTAAGGCGCTGCATATCTTTCAACCGGCCATTTTTACTAGAATATATTGTAATTACATTTGTTGTACTCTATACAATACGCATAGTGCTCATTGAAGGTTAAAATCCTCAAGCAGTAGTGATTTCTTGCCTTTACTGCAGGTTCCCTAGGTCGGGCATGTCTCTCAAACAGATTTACTATTATTTATATTTAAGTTTTCACATGAAATATTCTCGAAAATTTTTACTTATGGAAAACGAATTTGAAAAAAGTTAAATTTCTTCGATCTCCTATAGTGACATAATTCCCTTAATGTAAAAGCATCGTACATATCTGACTTAGAAATTCTTTATTAACAGAAAAATTAATACCTTCATCCATACAAATTTGCTTTAATTAGCTTCTTAGGAGTATCTTAGTGCTATATCGTACGAAATGAATACAGTTACTATCGTTAATCTTATTCTTATTCAAGTATTTTAAACATTTGAAATTCACCGATGCGTGGATTCTAAAATACTTTGCCCAAGAAGCGATTACTCTAAACAAAACAATCGACCTAAAGTCCTCACTCACTCATGCGCTTGGGGATTATCAAAAATCGAACATGGTCGAACCAACGGCTCGTCGATTATTCGCGGAATCTATTACTCGTCGACGTTCGTTCATCTCTTAAGCATTATGTTACCGCGTACCGCGTGATTTCATGTTTTGTGCCAGAAAAAAAAAAAACCTTTAAAACAAGTAACTACCGCATTATGAGTAACTTGGGGTTACTAAATTCTCATTAAATCGAGAGGCATAGAACGACGTGGGACCAAAGGCCGTTAACGCAGTCATCGATTAGCAGAACATTTGGTAGTGTAAAACTTAAAATTGTTTGTTTATATGGAACGATATATTACAATGCCTCGCCTATGGATGAGCAATTCCCATTTGTTGTATTCACTTTTCCATAACAGTATTCTATAATTATGACGCGTTACAAGTTAAGTGCTACGAATTAATCACCACGAATATTGACACAGGGAGATACAACGACCTCTAGCATTCAATAATGATTCCGTGTTAAGAATTGTTACCGTTCTTTACGTTCAATAAGAAAGGAAAGTTGATATAAAAAGCACGTGTGATGGAAAAATAGGATAAAAATTTACTATTTGAAATCACGATACCTCTATGACAGTTTTGATTATGCGTGTTCGTTAGTAATCAATTCTTTACAGGTTAGAGTTTAGATAATATGTATATAACATTTGGTAGAGACAATTATGCATACTTTCTCCGGAGTTGTTAACATGAAATTGACCACAGAAATTTTTTTTCCCTTTTAAAATACATTAAATAATCGTTTAATTGTACAAGAATACTGTGTAAACGATAAGGATACTTTACACGCAAGTGTGACTCGATTAGAACTTCAATTTAATAATACAATAAATTTGGATTTCATCAAGTAAAGTAACTAACACATTGATTAACCAAAATTGTAAAAATCTTAATATCTGGATATTGTATCACTATATCATTATAATTCGTCCCTGAGTAATGTATACCTGTTTTTACTGGGCGCTAGTTTTTTGAATGAGGATTCTGGCGGCGTTGTCGGTACTTTAATCTGTTCGACAATTTGTGGTACTTCGTTGGTATTATGACTTGGCCCATAATGAAACTCGCGATGCAAGTTTCCTGAATACAAATCTTGTAGAAAACCCTTTAGTTTCCCTTCTACGTGAATGTCATGGAAGTTTGGAAACAGGTACATGTGTCTAAAGCTATCTATCGCGATTAAAGGCAAATCTGCTGGAGTTTTCCCCAAATGATGAAGAGGATGAGCAAACTTTAAACCATTTGCAGTTAAGAAATTGACGTTCTCTGAAATAAAACACATTTCATTATTTAGAACTCTTATGATAGAGGAATGTTTGAAAAAACAGTAAATATTACACTTACGTTTCTCATCGATTAATGTTTTCGCGACTACATCTTTGTACATTTTAACACTCTCGATATCATCAGGTGCATGAAAGAGTATGAGAAAGGGTAAACCTTCCTCTGTTAATTCCTCTGCATTTCCAAACGTGATCTCCCTGACCAGAGGAACACATTTCTCTTGTGCCCAAACATTTAATTCATCAAAATTTTTTAAACTACCATGGTATGTCTCGTCCTCGTCATTAGAAAGTGCTTTATCTGAACGGAAGACAATAATAGGTTCTTCTGGGGGATGCATAGCTCTGCTTGAATTCCTATTTCAATTGCCAAACAGTTAAAAACTGTTGTCGCATTTTAGTGATAATTTTTACATTTAAACCACATAAGATTTCAAACAATAGTTTTTAAGAAGCCTGTTAAACATTTGTATGTGAACAATGCACAGATAGTTTTAATGCAAATGAAAAATAACGAAAGTTTAAATTAATTTGCAAAAAAACAAATGTCACCTATACCGTGCCCGATTTTTTACTTACAGTAAGTGAAAATGCTCTCCAATTTCACAGTTTTGAGCTGAGCAAGTGCTTGTTAGAGGAAAATTACATAATTACACACATTTCATAGAAGCGTGAAATGAAATTTGTCAAAAACAAAATACCAATGGTCCTTACGTGACTATGTTAATTATTGTACACAGTTTAAATAAATATACAATAATGCTTACCCAAAGCCGACATGGAATTGGCAATCATCCTTAAGGTTAGTAGCAACCCTCCTAAACATTTCATATTCAGGAACATCTTTCCTATCAAAGTATCCAATAATCATTCGTTTCTTATCATCTAAATTATTTAAATCCTTCAAATCATCAAATTCATTAATCGGATCTTCGAGTTGTTTCTTTATAAATTCTTCAAAAGCTTCTACAGATCTTTGACCTCTATATTCCCTTTTTGTTGGTTGACCGTTTCTTATGACTTTCAATGTTGGATATTTAGTAATGTGAAACCTTGAAGCAATGGAGGCTGAAAGATAATGTTCTATTTAACAATTTGTATGGATCAGACTGATATTCATGCTTTGGTAAAACTAGTATAGATTATATCTTTTTCTACAATTTACTCACATTCCTTGTCACAATCCACTTTTGCCATTACCACTTTTCCCGGTTCAGGAAATGCATTTCTTACTTTAGTTGCAGCTTCTTCAAAAATAGGTGCTAACAAGTTACTAAAACGGCACCATTGTGCATAAAAATTTATAAATACCAATTCATTTGATGCTGAAATAATAGGTATATGAATAAAAACTATTAAGTTTAGAAACAGTATGATCTATATTTCACCTGTTTTATAGGATCATAACTTACCAAGCGTCATGTCAATATTCTGTTGAGTAAGTGATTCTGCACCTTCATTTACATTGTTTGCTAAATTATTTGGCAAAAATGCCTAGAAAAAATTATACTTTAGTGATATCACTTGTCACTGACTCGCGTGATAAATACACGTCAACTTATTAGAATGTTTGACACAGGATTTCATTTGATGACAAATAAATTATTATGACAGTGTGAAAGTATAAGATATTCTTTTTATTTGCCGGTATGGTGTTTCAGAGCGTTTTAATTTATCTACGTATATATAATGCCCTTTTCTTAAAATCGATTCTAACGAACATACATAGTAAAATGAATTTCACAAAGTTTGTTTGATGTAAGCATTTTTTAAGGTTATTCTACGTATATGTGTATAGGTTATGCCGCTATTTATGCGGCGAAAATAACCCCGTGGTCATTTAAATGGATCCACGATTAATCGACTCCAATAACGGGAAGTAGGTTTCTGGAAATTCGTAGGCATTCTAATACGTGTCACCGTACTGTTGATAGTTTTCAAAAACTTCTGTCACTTAATGTTTCTCCTTTGTTGACAAAAAAGTGCTATTATGTTTGAAATATTACTCACCAATAAACAGGCAAATATAAGTATTTTGAAATCAAAAATATCACAGAAGACCAACATCTCGTGATCTTAGGGTATAAGGTTGATCAGGCAACAATTTTTTGAATAACCATCGGTAAGCAGCTGGTTCTGCGTTAAGTTCTACGAATTTGCAGTAAATCGAAGCCTAGTGAGTAATATTTCTCGAGGCATCGATTTAGCAGGAGTGGCAAGGATATAGTAAAAATTCTCTATAGAGAAGTGTCACCACTGTTTTTTGTCCCTATCTGGTGGCTTGTTTTCTAGAGGTTTATTTCTAAAATTATAGTGTTTTCTTCGCTATAATTCACTAAAGCTGGCCCAATAGCCATCGTCGACGTTTGTCCGCACACTTACAAATTACAGTCGAGCACTTGCTTTACATTTTACGTTTATGTGATCCTATTCCTTAGCATTCTTATATTTCAATTTGTTTATTATTTCTTTATGTATTTATTTTTAACATTTCAGTTCGTATACTTAAGTAATATATGAAAATATCGTACAAAAATTTGAATCAAAACTCCATGACATCGTTCCGTACAAATAGAAGATTTAATTTCAAAGCTTAAGAATAAATTGTTTTTTGGGGTCAACAGTTGTTAAAAATGTACACGTAAATACATTGCAGTTTCCTCCATTCATCGCAACGGTAGCTGCAGTTTTCATTATCTTTCTCATGCGAACGCTCATAATTTCTTTATCGAGTATATTGTTCGAGGTCCTGTAACAACATTATAGCTTACAAATACGTCTATAACTTTTCCAGTAAATAATCCTAATTGCATGAAAGCTACGTACAAATCGGTGAAACGATGCTCCGACTTTGTTTTCCCTTTGATTTCTTTAATGGGGTCAGACCAATATTTCTTCTGTATTTCGCACGATATTCTGGCAATGCATGTTGGAGAAACTAACATTTTCTTTCCGCTTCCATTGCCGTCAACCTTGTCCGATGGCACAAAAAATCAAAGTGCGACATTTAATAAAAAGCAACATTCGTACGCAAACACGTTTACGACTGAAAGGAGAATACTTATTAAGCGTAATGAAGCTACCTTGGTGAAGTTGCTTTTTAATTCCTTTAATATGTAATTCATGTGAGCGTCTTCGTCTTTCACGGACAAATACGATCGTTTCTTTCTTCCTGATATAATGCCAATTGGTAGAAGAATGGGGTTCGTAGCTAAAGCAGCAGCTGCCCCGATTAAAGCAACACCGGCTAATGCTTTTAAAGCCACGGCCTGATAGAGACGATTGTAGAAAATGTTCACGATACATTAACGTGAATAGTAGAAATTGAAAAGTAGAGAAATTAGCAGTCAATTTTGGAACGGGACGTAACAACGATCTAAATAAATAAGACCTTGTGAGCTACTTAAAAGCTACTTACGCGTACAAACAAGTTATCGCTAGTTAGGAGAAAAGAAACCACAAACAGGAATAAATATTCTCCCAACGAATCGATCGTTACCTTTTGCGCTTGAAAATTCGGGTGCGGGGGAGCCCCGTTTCCTTCCCCATAATTTGGCTCCGCGCCTCCAAATTCATCGCCACTAGCGAGAGTTCCAGAAATTCCATAACCACCACTCGCTGGTGACCCTCCGTAGCCGGTTGGTCGACCAGAGCCATATCCTCCATAACCACCATTGCCATAACCATATCCTCCAGAAGTTGCGTACTCGTAACCGTTAGGCCTGCGTGAACTTTCACTACCATAACTCGGGCGGGAACTGTATCTGACGTTTGCGTGAAAATCACGTTAAAGAAGTGGCAACGAAACCAAAAAGTACGATCGCAAGACCGCAGTACAATTTGTTACCTATTTCCTTCGTGGGGCTCGGTTCCGTCGTGGTTTCCGTTTCCGGGTTTTCCGCTCGAACCCGGGGGTTGACCTTGGGCTTGCCACCCATATCTGTAAATTATTCTTTCGATAGAAAACTCGTACTGTCTCGTGTCAATCGGATAGAATTTACTATTAAGGAACCTCAGCGATGCATCCGACACCGATTTCGATGAAACTTTGCATATTTATAGAGCAGCCAAGTTTCATAGACAAATTCATAAGAAATATTATTACAATAAATTTTTGTCAAGTTTCGAGTTAACTGCATTATAAGTGGAAAATCTGGAAATATTCTAGACCAGAAAAATCAAGAAAATTATTGCTGAATATAAATTCTCTTTATCCTAGTGTAATACGAAAGGGACGACTAAAATGAACAGTGCACTTTATTCAAAAATGTAAAACTTATACGATATTCAAATAAATTTTAACACCGATAAAAAAGCTTACAGATCTGCAGTTTCATGAAAATCGGTATCAGACACTTTACGTATGTTCATTGTAAATTTCGATTCGGATAATCGTTGCTTGTAATAAGCAAACTATAGTCTTATACTACCTATCGACGGGTAAACGTTCACCGTATTGATATGGATACCGATCACTGTCCGCAGGGATTTTACTATGATAAGAGTCAGGACGCGTGGATGCGTTGGAACCGTACTTGGATCCACAGCAACTGGAACTTGCACGTTTCAATTTATTCGTGACGCGAACGTTTCGAGTATGTAAACAATTTAAACAGATTTTCGACTTATCTCTGGTCTCCGATTCCGGACGATGGATCGTCGCTCTCGGTAGCTTGTCCGAATTTCTGTCGTACGCGTCGCTGTCGTTGCTCTTTAAGTAGGGTACTCTCGATGAATTTCTGGAGCGTACCATGCCGGATGATAGTTTGTCACCGTTAGGCTCGTTCTTTGGAAATTCGGGGGCCGTAATAAATTCAGATTTCGTCGTGAGCGCGTAGCAAACGGCGACGATTGTCAACAAAATACAAATGGACCGTTGCGACATCGTGGCGGTGAATCTGCGACGAAGAAGGGTGTACTTTTTAAAAAAAATTACGCGAACAGACGCAAAAACTCTTTCGACCCGTTTTGACACAAAGACGACACGAAAGTGGTTCTTTCCTTTGCCGAGTTTCACCTTTTTATATAGTGGTCACGCATGGAATATTGTCGCGTATTCGCCCTTCAGGACTGGTGCCAGCTTTCTTTTTATGCCACTGAAATTGCTTTGCAAATCGTACGCCGTGCGTTCGTTCCCTTAAACTTCGTCAATTTTTTAAATAATTCACCGGCAGATCTGCGCGCTCTTTCGCTGCAAGCGCATTAAGGTTGCGATACTGAAAAGTGTCGTTAATTGAGAAGATTTTGTAATTGTTTAGTTGCGTCCCTGCGAATCAGCAAGTGTGACAAAACGATACGCAGGAGTGTGCCGGTGAAAATAAAGTGGCACGGATGAGCCAACGATGCTCCTTTCCGTCACGCCGGCAATTTAAATAACGACGCTTTGTTGTCGCGGTTTTATACAGGATTTCACATTTTTTCCCAAAACAAAAATAATTTTAATTACCAACGTTACGAAATAGTCTCTGCGCGCCGAGCTTGGCGACGCAAAAGCATCGGTAACAACGAACCAAGGCTAAAAAAAATGGTGCTAACCGAAATTTAAACAACAAACGTTGAAAGAAAATTTTAGAATCGGTGCCTCGTTTACCAGAAAATTAAATTAACTACTAGTTTGCAACTACATTCGATGCATCGTGTAATTAATGTTTGGCTGGTGCTACATTTTCCCGGAAGTTCAGACGGCGTGTCGCCAACGTAACCTTTCCCCGATTTTTTCTACTTTCCCGTCGTTTCGTTTTTATTCCAGGAAGAACTTGATACGCGTTGTGTTACATATTTTTGTTACAATAACTTTGGTTGTTTTGCTCTTTCGATTACACGTGTTATTAACTTGTAACCAACGCGTCGAGAACTATATCTATTATCTTTGAACGCTTATTCGAAGCAAGGCTTAAGTATCCGCCACTGGGGGAAGTTGCCCTACTCCGCCATTTAATCTCAACTGGGAAATTTCGTCGGGTGTGCAAGTGTCAGGAAACTTGGAATTTCGTCCTACTAATGTACACGAAAGTTGCGAAATACAGCGGAATCATTTGTTCCGCCTGGATATTTATGATGTCACCGACAACCGAAATTAACCGTCGTAGGTTGGGTCACGGTTACATCATACCAGGGCATTTTTTCCCCACCGTGCCCGAGCAAGATCGGAGAAAAAGGAAACGCTCGATTATGGCTCATTTCGAAGGGTTACGACGGTGAACGTAATCGCGGTGGAATCTAGAGGCCCCCCGGCAGCGGCGCATAATCCCGACGATGGTAATCCTGGCCTCTTGACTGAAATTCGTGGCCAACCGACGCGTCGCGGGAGACTTCATAGGTTTATCATCCGCCGTGAGCTAGGAAACCTCAACGGGGGCGACGGTCTATGCAAAGAGGCTGGAGAGCGCGCGGAGACATTACGGAGCTAATTTGGGGAAAAAAGGGGGAAGGTCGTCGATGGGAACGGGATGATTCGTCGCGGGAACGAGGAGGAAGAGAGAAGAAAGAGCCGAGAAAAAAAAGAGGAGGAGCCTGGTTTAGGTCTGGGTGGCAGGAGAAGACACGAGGAGGACCAAGAGATCGCGGAATGGACCAAGAGTGGAGTAATCAATACGCATTCACACGCGGTGGCTCGCATCCCGTTTCCATGGGAACCGACGCCGGCGCACGCGCAACCTTAGCCCCGTTATTCCATCATAGAACTTTACTCAGAAGCTGTTCTGGACCAGTCCGGTGCGGAGCATTCCATGCACGATGCCACCCAACGACGACGTCGTTTCTGACCGTCGCTGCATGCAACCCCGATTTTCCATTGCAGCTCGCTGTCCCTTTTCGGGGTACATTTTTTCATGGAAAATTTTAACTAAATCCGTACGAGAGAAGACCGGTTGTTTGGAAGGAAATTCGATGGTGCGGAAACGTTCCCCCGACGACGGTCATCCTGCTCTATCGTTATTGCTCTACGGTGCAACGCGTTCGGCTCTCGGATGTTCACCCCCTAGCCGACCGAGAGGGGATGAGGTGGTCGAGGTTGCGGGTAACAGGGGGTGGTTTTCCTTCAGGCGCCTGCGTCGAGTCCCCGATGACGACTCGACTAGGTAGGTGCTCGACCCGGACGCAGTACGGAAGAAACGTCGAGCACGCAGAGTGCTGTCCTCGTGACACCGCGTCTCTTTACCCGTTTCTCTCTTGTCAGCCTTATGACAACAAGGAAACGTGGGAGAAGTTTGCCAGCTGAGCCGATCCCGTCGATGATCGATGAGTGACCGGAGGGGTCGGACGGAACAGTGCGCGGTACTTGAAACATTCTGTCGGCGAAGTGACCGTTGACGAAGGGAACATCTATCGAACGAACGTTACCGATGACTCGATGCCGCGGCAAGATGAAAAATGTGTCTTGAACGTTGTTACGCGCTACGAGTGACGCATTGAACTTCGTACGTGAATGGAACGAGATCCTCTTATCAATGTTTGCGATCTGCTTTGGGAGATACCGCGCGATATACGCAGCCAACGTGTCGCGGTGAAGCACGTTGAGGAATGAACCTCTGTTTCGTCTCTGGAGTGACCTATGTGCGGTTCGTTGAGCCTGTTCTCCTGCACTTTTGGGAGTACAACAGGTAGACAGTGGAATTCGGTGGTAACTATCGACGATCGTTGACGATCGGATCACATGATCTGCACCGTAGCCGTCCAATCGGGAATTAAGATACGATAATCAGGCGATGCGTCCTCGGCGCACGAGAGGTTAATTGTCCAAGAGCATCGAACCACGATTCTTACCGCGGTAAAGGCGAGCTTAGTAGCATTTAATCGTCGCTTGCATGTGGGTCACAAGTTGCGTTCGCCAGAGCTAACGGGATAGAGGGTTTACCGAGTAGAGAGGTAAGCCTTTTAAATTGTGTTACCCTCGGGCATCTCGCGTTTGCCGCCACCCTTACAATTAATTACACTCGTCCTTCAATGTTTTTCGGCGGGTTCCTTCGAGATTCGATTGTTGGCCGAAGCAGCCGAAAACTTGACGGCACGCTTTTTCTTTTTTTTTCTGTTCGCGGTTAACATTCCGCCGTCGTGCACCCTTAAAGTGCAACGCGATAACACGTCCCGATGCGTGCAACCCGAATGGGCGACGATGGGTGAAGCTGTAGATATTTATAAATTGTCAGGTCGGCTAGGTTAAAGTCACGTGGTGGTTGCAGTTTACGGTGTCCTTAACCTCCCGGAAAATCAATGTTCTTCTTGTAACGACTACCAGGTGCCATATTCACTTTGCCGTCCAGGAAGCCCTACGGCCATAAAAAGAAACGGGGGAGAGTAGTCGGGGTATTAAATGCCGTTTTGACGATACCGCGTTTCAAGGCGACGTCGAATTATTACTCGCGCGTTTAACTTCTTAAAAAGAGTCTCGAGGCTGGAGGTCGTTCACCCCCCTCGGCGTTTGTGCGAATTCGCTCGCCGGAGAACGCTGTTTTTCCCCACTCGAAACAGTTCGTTTGTCGTCGGTGGTATCCAGACACGCTTTCTTTCGCTGTTTTCCCATTAATTTCATTTATAGAAACCTACATCGGCCTAATACCCTGCTCAGGGGCGCCGATACCGCGAGCATCGGGCAACAAGGATTATCGCATCGCGTCACATTCGCATCCGCGACCAACGTTTTAAGGTTTCGTCGCACGTTACCTGTGTATAACTCGACACGCTAGCGACGAGAGATGCTGAGAATCAGAGATGCGTAAAATTTTAATCGAATAACAGGTGATCGATAAAACCAACGTACGAGGATTTATTCGAGCAGTAGGGTAATTTTACCAGGCGGTTTTCTGGAATCTTCCAGTCGTTTCTGTGAAATTTTTTATCTTGATCGTCCGTACCCGTTATGAACCAAGATACTGAATACCGGTTCAGAGATTTATCGTACGAGGGAGCGGGGCCAGGGAGGAAATTCAGTGGCCTGGAAGGAATTTTCCGTCGGGTTCGTCAGCCGTGATTCGGATAACATTTTATAGGCACCGTTTGCGCGATTTTATATCAAACTTGGTTGCGCATGGACATAGCACGGTTACACGGATCCCACCGCAAGTGACACTAGTGACACGATGCATGGAGGGTTTCTAGGGGATGTTGTTGAAAACACGCGACTGGTGGGGACGTTTTACATCTTGACGGGACGTTGTTCGGGAACGGCGGCTATTTCTCCTCACAATGGTGAAAGTTTGAAAGAAAACAAAACAGTGCGGTGGAATTCAACGGTTACTCGAACCTCGGAATTTTTATCCTCGACCTTTGCTTAACTTTACGTTTCTAAAAAACGAGTGAACGTGATTGAAATTTGAAATTTACGTGGTTTCTTATCTAATTTAAAACACAGCAAATGATAAAAGAGAATTACTTATTGACCAATGACTGAGCTAGCTGATGAGTAAAAAATCGTAGTTAAAATATATCAAAACTATAAAATAAATCATTTAAATATTGGTGTTATAGTTTTGTGCCAACTTGATAGTTCCTTTCTCTATCCTGATTTTTTATTCGTCTTAAACAAACTGATATTCCAAGTACGTTGCATTTTTGTGAAAAGCTCACATTTTGAAACGAAATTTAAGTGGAAATGTATTAATTGCTGTTTGACAAACATTTCTTAATTACGAAACGATCGTTCGTCGCGGGGAGACGGGGTTTTAAAATTGCTTCGCGAAGTAGTACTTGAATGTCACTAACATTTCCTTTCGCTTCGACGAAACAACAGGGACTTGAAGATCGACGCGATACGCCGGCATTTAGCTTTCCTTTTTCGCTGGTACGTGCGGCGTTATACGCGGTGGATGACTTTTAGGCGACGTTGCAAGAAAAATGCGGAAGAAAGGCGAGGGAAAAGAAGGAAAAAGATCACACGGGCGGAGGTGTACAGTGAAAAGTGGTTCTTTGCATGTGCATCCGCCGTAATGAGAGTCAGTCTCGATCCCCCGACACGTGAGAATGCGTTAATGATCTTTGCACGAAAGTTCGTACGAGAGGTCACCGTTGTTGCGGTCCCGTGAATTAATCCGTGCGTTTAAAAATGTTGTCTGACTCGTTTCCGAAGCCCGATGGAGATTCAAAATGGCCAGAAACTTCGAGGTTCGAAGGTTCTCGGTTTTATTAAGAATTTTATTAAGAACCTCAATGTCAAGCGTAGAAAACGTAGGGAAATAAAAGATCACGATGGTCTCGTCGCGACGTTTCGACCGTTGCGTTGGCCGTAAACGCAAGTACGTACATAAAACTTGGAAACGTCTTCCCATGGCGGAAAATGGAAGAATCGATGCCACGAAATTGTTGAAATATACTGTTCTTCGTTTTTTATGAGGTGTCATCGCTTTGACGGCGATAAAAAAAAAGAGTTTAGAAATGTTTTATGACGATATACAGGGTGTTCGGCCACCCCTGGGAAAAATTTTTATGGGAGATACTAGAGGCCAAAATAAGACGAAAATCAAGAATACCGATTTGTTGATGAAGGCTTCGTTAAAAAGTTATTAACAATTAAATTCAAAAATTTCAAATCTTTCTGGCAAAATTATTTTCGGTTGCAGGGTTCAATTACAATCATTTTTGGTGAATAGACATACCCCCGAAATCCTACCCACTATCTAGAAAAAAATTCGAGAATGTGTGAAATTTTTCGACGGGAAAAAAAATTTCAAATCGTTTTGAAAAAATTATTTTCGGTTGCAGGGTTCAATTACAATCATTTTTTATGAATAGACATACTCCCGAAATCCTACCCACTTTCTAGAAAAAAATTCGAGAAGGTGTGAAATTTTTCGACGGAAAAAAAAATTTCAAATCGTTTTGGAAAAATTATTTTCGGTCGCGGGGGACAATTACAATCACTTTTGGTGAATAGACATACCCCAGAAATCTTGCGCATTTTCGAAAAAAAAATTCAGTACCTACGAAACTTTAAACGTTAATAACTTTTTAACGAAGCCTCCATCAACAAACTGGTATTCTTAATTTTCGTCTTATTTTGGCCTCTAGAATCTCCCATTAAAATTTTTCCCAGGGATGGCCGTACACCCTGTATAGTAATTTTTTATCGCGAATAAAACATACGTTGAACTTTGAAAGGATATTTTTTATTCGCGTATTAACGCTTTGATTTTTTTTCGCGAAAGATTCAACCCGACTAAAGCTTCCTAACCATTTTTCAACACAAAATTTGTTAATTTTGTAATAATAATTCAACAATATCAACGAAGGTTACTCGGTATTCCTGTATCCGTGTCGCGTTTAGTATTATTATCACGTCGTTATCGACGCTCAAGTGGAATTTCTAACGTGGAACTAGCAACCGTGCATTTTATGTGTGGCCTTGCTAATGGCAATACATTTACAGCCCGTCTAATCTGTTTAAGAAACTTGACCATCGTTTACGTGAATTGGTTCCTCCGCGTCGTGTATTACGCTGCACGACACAGTTTGTTTCTAAGCTGCTACACAGATGTCAGTATAGTATTGAAACGGAGGATAGCCACGTCGATCATCTCTCGCAAACGTGAATATAAACTTTAGTGTTTTGCATCGAAAGGATTGATTGTAGGATTTATGTCGATTAAGGATTTTTTTGTTCCATCTCGGTGAGTACTATAAATCCCTAAAATCTTAGCCACGGTTGCCTTAATACCTTGTAGTCTGTGGACAACATAGACTTTTCCGTCACTTTTTAAACGTTCAACACTGTCTAACGTTTCTCCCAATTTCAGAACCATCAACACTTTGTTGTTACCGCAATTCTAAGTATGCGTTTACGTCTAATATTTTCGTGACAGTAAACTGGAACGCTCGAACTAAGGCCATGATGTATCGTAGAGGTTAGTAAAGTTGTTTACGTATGACGGATAGAGGTCTCGAAGTGTAAACAGTGTTAGGTATAGGGCTTGTAATGCTGTAGACCAGGGGTCGGCAACCTTTCGAGCGAAAGGAACCCACATTCCACATTAACCCCTGACTTGACGGTAAGGTACGGGTACATGATATTTTAAGGTCACTAATTTTATGATGCACATACTGGTTTCATGTATGAAAGATCCACGTGACAAACATGGAATGTCAATGCCAAGGAAATAATCGTCCACTACTCGTGAACTATTAATTTTCTAAAAAAAGTTACCAGTAGTTTGCCTGACCTAAATTCTCCAAAAATTTCTGTAATAGAACCAGTCTCTATACCACCTCCCAATAATCTATCTAATTCTGTGGAACCAGTAGTTTGCCTGATCTAAATTCTCCAAAAATTTCTGTAATAGAACCAGTCTCTATACCACCTCCCAATAATCTATCTAATAAAAGTTACCATATTACATTGTAAATAGACATAGAATTAGTTATAAATTCTCAGCTCATGAATCTCTGTAGATGTAGTTTCAGACACCCATATACGTACGTTTGGTAAAATATTCACGGTCGATGCAACGAGCCCGTTTCAAGGATTACGCCAAAAATCCCTCGAAAATAGATCGTTCAGCGCCGTACGAAGGGATGATCTTCGCCCGCGAAAAAAGTCGGGAAGTTATTCTTCGTGGCCGTCGGTGTTTAAAGGTCATCGACTCGGGCACGAAAAGATCAATGTGCCGGAAATTCGTCGAGGGGAAATTCTTGGACAAGAGACAACCGCGAAAGGAGCATCGGGCGTTGTCGTACAGAAATCAAGAGAATTGCCGAGTGTCGATGGAGGAAATTGTCTGACTGCGTTCCCTTTTCGGAACGCATCCCCTCGCGACCACCGTTAAGCGAAAAGAGAAGAGAGACTTTCGCTCGTCCCTTCCGTAGAACGTCTCCCCCTTCGCCTCTGGAGAGGAAAAAGGGAGTCGGAGGACAAAAATCTAGTCGAATCTTTACGCTCGCGTTCGCGGGGTATCGAACCTGGGAAAAAAAATGAAATTGCTGCCGCCCGGTCGATAGCGCGCCAGAACGTTCCGTCAGGGGCTGAGAGAAGAAAACGCTTCCCCGCGAAGTGCTCAAGGGTTAGCCAGCGAAGGGATATTGCTTCGGTAAAACAATACTCGAGGAAACGAAAGAGAGAGAGAGAGAGAAAGAGCTTTTGAAATTCTGGCCGGGCGAAATTCATTGAGTCCACCTGGTCTCCTAACGTCTCTTCTCGGCCTGATAAGCATGTATAGCAGGCGGCCGTGTATAGCGCGCCTCATAAAACAGCGGGTCACCGGTTCATCGCGCTGCTAACAGTCGGTGCTCAACGACCCGGGACCACAGAGTTTGCCAAGCGGGCAAACTTAGATGCATTGTTCGTTGTCATCGATGCAGCATGCTTAATAGCATATTAATTATTTAGAACGACCGAGTATCTATGCATACAGTAGATACAAAGTGATTCACAATAGATCATAAAGTTTATGTAAAGGTAACGTAAACTATCTAACAAGCAGTTCAGAGAAAATTTGATATTTGGTTATACTGGCTTAATAATAATAAATTATTATAAATGAGAAATGCTCTGACGAACAGTTGTCTAAAGAGTCCGAAACTTGACTCTGGGAGTGTTTGTCGTGGAAGACATTTAAATGATTTTCCACGTGTCATTCTCGAGTGATCAGAAACCGGGTCCATAACGGGATCAGGTCAGAGTTTGTCCTCCTTCCGGATGCGCGGCGACAACATCGAAACACAGTAATCGCGACGAAGAGTCGCGGCACTAAAGACTTAGAATGCGCGAGAAAAACACACATCGACGAGAAAGAAAGGCGCGACATTCCTCTGGCACTCGACTCCACGCGTGAATGGTTTCGCAGCGAAAAATGAAGGGCCTGCGAACGCTCGAAGAGCTTCGCGTCTAGCATGAAAAATTACTCGGGCTGTTGTCGTTTCTGTTAAGATTCAAGCACACGCGAGCGTGCCGCCGATGCGAGACGTAAGAGATTAAAAAATCTCGGCTTTTGAATATTTACGGGGCGACGAGCGTCGAAAGCGACGAAAGCTAACGGATCGTTGACTGCGTGCTTTTTCGCGCGTTCTCCGGTTCTCCAGTTCAGACTCCCTTAACGACGGTATCGCAAGGCGGGAAAAATGCCGGTTACAACGAAGTGGCGAACACGAGAACGTTGTGCACTGACCGTTTCGAATTCCCATAAAAATACATCGAAACGTTGAGACGCGTTATCGTGTATCCTGATACGTTGGAGGACAGGATCACTGTTTCGTGGATGTACGAGATCGTCCTTCGGGGTCCATAATGCATGACGTCTTTAAGTTTGGCCGATAGGATGATATTTCGTTTACTACCGACATCGAGGAATCCACTCTACCCTTGGATACTCCCTTACGGATACCGTGGCGCCTGTTTCTCTCATCCCTTTTTCGTGTACACTCGTAGGAGATTTATGAGATTTCCATATATTACGTTTACCTATATCAAAGAAGAGCAATGTGTACGAACAACAAATTCTGTAATATCTCGAGTTAGATACGTTCGGAGGAAAATTAAATATGCCTGTAAAATAAACAATATTAACGTCGTAAAATGTTCCGTAAAATTGTCACTTTTTTCTAACATTTTCACTTCTATCGGTATAAAAGTATAAGCCTCTCGTTGTACGCGATTTCGTTGGGGGACTCATTGCGTTTCCATACATTTGAATTAATCCGCCTACTACGAGGGCCTCGTCTCTGTTCCTAATTTCTTTAGCGAGACAGAGTACCCGGCGCTGTAGCGCTCCGTTTGATCTTCGTTTTTCATTAATCTCAGCCTACCACGTGCCTACTGCGCGTATAATCTGTTCGTTCGCAAACAACGAAAAACGAACGTTGTAATTTAGATTGTATATCTTGATAGTTACCACACGGGAACCCCCGACATCGTCTACGCGAGCGTTGTTCATCATCCAATTACCGAGCGCGGTAAATTAACGACTATCGCGTTATTACGTACAGCGGCCGCGATGAATCGACTCTTTAGAATTACACCCCTTGCGCGGCGAGTTTTCTATAAAGCTCTACCACCCTGGCTGCGTTCCAGAGCATTTTATTTACGCGGTTTCCACGTTGCGTTCCTCCTTTTTACGAATTTCTAAAGGTTCCGTCGCGGTTGCGGTTCGAAAATCGTGTCTTGCTTACATACTACGCGTTTGTTCGCGTAGAACAGTGGTTTTTAAACTTTTAGAAAGGCGTCCCTCTGAGAAAAGATCAGCGGATATGCGATTTATTTATTGAAAAGCTCGCGCTGTGGCATGGAGGGCGCCACGAGTCCGTAGACTCCATTTTGGAAAACGCTGTCCCCGCACGCCTCTGTAACTCTCAACGTTTATTTAAAAAAAGAACAAATAGACCACTTGCTCTCAACTATCTCGCTGAGTTCTAAAAAATGGAATAAACGAACGAGACATACGAGATATTTTGGAAGTTATTGCGAATTGAGATTAAAGAAGTATATTAAAAATTAGAAAATCATGATTTGTTTATTTATAAATGGGACACGCTGAACAGAATTTAAAAATATGGAAGAAAATTTTATGACATCTGATAAATTTGCCACCAGGCGTGAAAAGTTCCTTTAAATCGCGAAATTTTGATCTTCGGCGTCTTTGCTGGTAGTATATGGAGAATGCACGTGCACCATTATTCTCCCCGACACTCTCGCCGATTTTCCTTCCGCGCGTTTCTTTCCACGCAACGAACTCCATCATCCCATCGCGGGAAATCTCATTTGTAGAGGCGCGTCTGCCCGGCGAACGTATTGCCTCGCCAGCCGTATTTGCGTACGCCTGTTTGGGGCGCGTGAGGGTGCATTCGTTTACCCGAAACTCGATTTCGAAGCTTTGGTAATTGAATTTCAAGTACGCCGACGCGGTCGGCCGTTGATAAGTTTAAGGCCAACGCAGTAAGGCATTTAAGAATATTATTTACCATCCTCTGTTCCTTCCAATTTAATGATTTCTTATTCTGAAAATTCAAGTTCCTCCACAAATGTCATTGGTCAATAGATAATTCATTATTATTTTCAAAGTTCTTTTTAGATATTTCGAGTATGTTTCCTCTGATAGTCGAATAATCTTGTTCGAAAATTACGATCGCCAAATTTGAATTCTATCCAAAGGCGCTGTCCCTGACCCTCCGATATACGGTTAGTCGAATTTACGCGGTTTCATGGTTTCGTCGAGAAAATGTCGAAGGACGTTTATTTGTAAAACGAACGGATGAGCGCGCCTACCAATTACGAACGTCCGGTCTGTAAATATTTAGAGATAACGAAAAACGAGGATCCTTCCAGTTAAACGGACGTTCGTCCGCAAGTCGGCAAACATGTACAGTCGTTGTGGGTAGCAGAAGATAGCAGACGTTTATTTGCCCACCACTCTTCGATCGATCGCGCGCGGTGCTCTTTGCCAAAAAGAGCTCTTCGACTACCGAAATTGAAACTCTTAATCATCCATTAAACCAAAGCCAACCGAATCGTTATCTCATCGTCAAGATTCAAGCAATCAGTGATTCCGTTCTCTCAGGAATTTTTATTTAATTTCAACTGCACTGATATCGAGCGTTACGAAGAGGTCGAACGATCCACTTGTTTCTTTTAAAATCGAACCTCTAATTTGAACGTTGCTTCCCAGGGACTGGAAATTTGTTACGAAGTCTCTGATTCGCGGTTGTTCTGTCGCAGGAGGAAAATGTGGAGCTCGGTAACCGCGGCTGGCACTGAAAATGGGCCCGCACCACCCTCCAGAAGCAAGCACAGCGCCACTTTGCTCGCCGGGCACGTGTATCTACTCGGTGGACGAAACGGCAATCTTCCCCTCAAGGATCTCTGGCGATACAGCCTCGGTAAGTGATTATCATTGCGACGCTTTTAATTCCTAAGCGACAGGAGTATCCGAACTGCGACGGTCGCGGTTCAAAAGCCAACGGCGGGATTAGGCGGGCAAGAGGGAAAGTGAAATTCAAGGATAGAAGGCAGATCCTCGTAATTATAGTTGGGGAGGTATTAACGCTCGATGTCTGGGTACCGAAGCACGGTACACGAACAACATCTCTGACCAACGCACCCCATCGTCTCGCTCCGTGAACGAGGGGTGCGCGACGGAATTTAAACGGGGTTCACTCTGATCAATAATACGTCGTTATTAAAGCCCGCGTGTATCAAACAAATCCGTCGGGCGAGATACTCCACAATTACGGCTGTTACCACGGTGATCAGACATATGCAAATTAATTGCATCCCTGCTCCCCCCGTCGCCTATAATAAACGGTTTCTACAGGTAACAACCATCGTATTAACCGTTTGTTTATTTTTATTGGATTTACGAATCGCCCGCGATTTTTTATTGAAACCCTCGACTTTTGTCAATGTTTCCGAGCTGTACGTAGTAAAAAACAAAGAATACACTTATCGAGGATTATTTGGTTCGAATAGCTTGACCGCTTTGATCCCAACCAGGTTTCGGTCATCTGACTGGCAGCACTCTAAACGTATTCCCAGTGAACCCGACTGGCCAATATTGGAAACGGCCAATGAGTTCGCGCTGGGGTTGAATTTTAAAGTTCGCTGAAATCTCCGTTATTTTAAAATAGCATTATTTCACAAATAATATTGGAAAGGCTTGCCAAATTGGGAATTGCTGCATCTCTAAAACGGTCAGAGATACAAACAAATGCCATAAGGCAAAATTAAACAAACCGAATGTATCTAAGAAACGCAACTGCATCCTTTTTAAAATAAATTAATCGTGTATTACCTAATCCATTTTTTTTCCTTTTTTTTTTAAGTATTACATTTTCTTTCTTTTACATTCGCCAGCTTTGTTACCTTGAATCGATTTTTCGTAAAAAAAAAATACGATGGCTACGCAACGCAGGAGAGAATTGACGCTGGTCGATCGAACATTCTGGGGATGGGGTCTCTATTAATCAGAGGGGATTGTTCGACAGCGAGTTCGGATGAATATTAAAGCAGCATCGAAGGGGTTGAATCGCAGCGGCTTGTCTCCTGGGGGCAAATACTGCCCGGAGGGGGCCAGTGCCATGTTTTAAAAGCGTAGCATTGTTGATACTTGATCTTGCAAAAATATTGTGATAACTCGAAGAACCGCGAGAGTGCTTAATATTTGAACGTTTTTGTTTCACCCTCGGTTTTAACCAGTGGGGATTTCGAGGGCCTCGCTTCGCGCTGTAGCCTTTATTCATTAAATGAGTCGCTATCGTGGGATTAGAAATTCCATTCGTACGCTTCCCGTCTCCCGACGACGAAAAAATCGATCCAGTCGAAGCAATGCCAAAGGTAAACGTTCACAGCCTTGCAACAAACTTTCATTAACGTAAAAGCATTCGATAATTGTTGGATCCGTAAGCAAAATCGATAGAACATATTTTAACGCGTAGAAAACGGTGTAAATCTTTTATTTTTCATATATTTTTCACGTGTTAATTAAATAACACGTGCATTGTGTCCCTCGCCTATAAGATCGCGATGTCGACCAAAAACTCGTTTCGCGAGAATTATTATTCTTTCTATCGATGATTATGTATATATTGTAGTTTCTCGAAGGAACAATATTTTGATATTATTCTGGAGGAGCGTCGAAAGCGCGATCGCGTTAATATTTGAAGTGGATCAATCGCGCGCGAGTCACGTCCGTTCCGGCTTCGTGGCAATCTCTTTTCCATCAAAGGCATCGGAATTTTACCCTGTGAACAGCAGTTTTAGACAAAAGGGTGTATTGCTCCGTAGCCAACTAGAGATACGACACGTGTACGTAATCAATGTCGGGCATCGCTTGGTCTACGAGACCTGCACGTTATGGCTCTTACGTGAATTTTATAGGCTTTGTTCTTGGACACGTTTCAGTAAAAACGTACGACTCGGGGTACTTAAGGTGTAAAACGCGGACAGGTCGCCCCCGGGGGTGTCGCGGGGCTGCGCCTCGAAACCTTCTTAACGCTACTTAACGTCGTTAAGAATCGAAGATCGGTCGAGAAATTCTTCGGGCCATCGATCGCGAGAACCCCGTGCCCTCTTCTTTTATTCGCGTAATGTAACTTCACGGTTCGCCGATTTCTTTCGCCTTTCTTTTCTCGGCCAGATTAGGGGAACGTCCCTTTTCTCTTTTCCTAAAACTTCCGAAGGGTAAAGAACGTCCGCCCTGTTAAGCGCGGTGCAGTAAAAGAATGAAGGGAGCTTTAATACTCCCCCTTTGAAACGCTAACTCGATGCTGAAAGAATTCGGATTTGTCGCGTCTCTTTTATTTATTTAATCGTTCGACGAATTCGAGAACGATTAGAAATCGAGTTTAGAAAAGTGTATAAAAGTGGCGCGAATAAACAGAACGATCGGGCGTTGAGCAAAGAACGTGCTGAAATCCGAATAGCGATATAATTCGCGATAAAAAGCCAAACTGGCCAGAGTCGGCCAACGAGTTTTTGCTACGATATGCAAGGCACGTTTCGTTTTTCTGTGCGTCCTTGGCACTGCTTAGATTTAAGCCCCAGAATCCACCCTTTTGTATTCTTCGTCCCTCTCTGTCTCTCTCTGTTTCTGAGAAGCTCCGACGACCGCTTGAAGGATTTATTTCGGGGCAGCAGATTGCGGGGGCGGGCGTGGGTGTGATTTAACGCGCTAAAAAAGGTTTTTCGTGTCCCCGCGGGGTTATGATTGTTTCTTTCTACTACGATTCCACGGGTACTGTAATTTATCGCCGCGACCCGCAAAACTTTCCCGACGATATATCGTTCCGGAGCCCGTACTCGTAAAACGCGTATCTACGGCTCGGAACGTTATCGTTTACGCCTTTAAACGGCGTCGGCGTTCTTTGTACGCGCGAAAACTAGGCCAACCGAGCGTACTTATATGTGTCCCATTGTAGTGGAAACGTGCAATTAAAACGCGCCAGGACTGCGTGCGTTTAAAAAAAAAGAAAAAACTGAATTATGCATACACGCTGGTCCGATAAGCCGAGCGTGTTCGTTTCTTCCGTCGTCGGTCTTTTTTCCACGGCCAACGAGGGTTTCGTCTTCCCCTCGCGCGATACGTAGCAAAGAAGACGAATTTTGCGTACAAAAACGTTCGAAACGACGAGTCGACGCGTTAACCCGTTCTTTGTTTTTCTTCACAGCCGAGAGCAAATGGGAAGAATTGCATCCCGGGGGCGAGAGACCGCCGGCGCTTCAGGAGCACAGCGCGGTGGCTTACAAGGACTGCCTTTACGTTTTCGGGGGTGAGCTCGGCTTTTCCGCAGGCACGGAAACGCCGCTCTGGATTTACAATGTCAAGGTAACGGCACACACGAGGTATACTAGTACAACATACACCTTCTGGACTTTCGTTGCTCAATCTGACTGCCATACCTGAAAATTCGGAGGTGATTCTAGCGTCCTCTTTTCATGGATGGCGGTCAGTTGAGAAACTATTCACTGAATTAGTATTGATGGACAGAAGCAACAGTAGTGTGTGTGTGTAAATACGTGTGAGTCGAGTATGGGAGGAATTGAAAAAGGCAATTCAGTATTATCAGACGGCAGACCGGTGCCCGGAGGAAACTGCCCCTTCACTTACACACACTAATGAATAGCCAACTTGTATATGAGTTCTGGCGATTTGTATAGCTTCGGGAATTCGAGGAAGAAGTAATTGACTCTAATGATCTCCCACAATAATGAGTGTATTTCCTTGAAATTTAGTCTGGAAGCAGAGCTCATGGATACTTAGAAAATAATATTTTGGCAAAAACAAAAATGGAGGCTTCGTTAAAAAGTTATTAACAATTAAATTCAAAAATTTCAAATCGTTCTGGAGAAATTATTTTCGATTGCGGGGGTCGATTACAATCATTTTTTGTGAATAGGCATACCCCCGAAATCCTACCCACTTTTTAGAAAAAAATTCGAGAAGGTATGAAATTTTGCGACGGAAAAAAAAATTTCAAATCGTTCTAGAAAAATTATTTTCGATTGCGGGGGTCGATTACAATCAGTTTTGGTGAATAGACATACCCCCGAATTCCTACGCATTTTCGAGAAAAATATTCGAGTAGGTGTGACATTTTTCGATAAAATTAAAAAATTTCGAATCGTTTTCAAAAAATTATTTTCGATTGCGGGGGTCACTTACAATCATTTTTTGTGAATAGGTATACCCGCAAAATCCTACCCACATTCTAGAAAAAAATTCGAGAAGGTGTGAAATTTTGCGACGGAAAAAAAAAATTTCAAATCGTTCTAGAAAAATTATTTTCGATTGCGGGGGTCGATTACAATCATTTTTGGTGAATAGACATACCCCCGAATTCCTACGCATTTTCAAGAAAAAAAATTCCTTACCTAAACTATAATATGTGACTAGAAATGTTTCTCTTGTATTAATTTTTGTGATCTGTTGGTAATGTTGTGACACGAAAATGGTAATGGGGCTCCAGAACCCCAGAAAACATTGAATGTAAGGTTTACTTGTATACCTTGTCTGTGGTAACGTATCGCCCATAAGGAAACCGCATTGTGCACCTTTGAAAGGAGATTACGCCGCAGGTACTGTTCTTCAGACCCGTCTGACATTTACAGTGGTCGACGTTTCTATAACAACTGTTTGAAATGTTAAAAAGCCGGTTTAGTAATAAAGTTGCCCCCCCGAAATAATATTTACACTTCCCTTCCTCTGTCCTTGTTAACTTCGCGACAATTTCGAGGATACGAAATCTGATCGTATCGAACGATCGCGGGTCCGAAGTTTGGCACAGGTTAAATCAGTTGCCGTGATGTAGTTACGTTTAGTTAAATTTACGCGATTTGATTTGCGTCGAGGCTGCACGATACAACCTGGAGGCATTCGGCCCGGCGAGGGACGCAGACGTCACCCTCGATTCGACGAACGGAGACGAAGGGCTGTATCGGCCTTGATTGACAATATCTCGCTTCGGTGATTTTCGTTTAAACTCGTTATCGCGAAATTCGTCCCGTAGAATATAGACAGATGTTTCTATAATTCCCGGGATTTCGCGGAGGGCGCGCGACAGGCGCGTCAAACGCGCGATCGATTTGATTTTGCAGCCTGTTATTTCGCTTTATTCGCCGCGTCGGAAGGTAAATACGCGTTCGATTTGATATTCCAGTCGTTTCATTCTATTTCCTGCTTCCTTCGTTGGATCGAAAGGGTTAACGAGAATCGCTCTCGCGCAGTACGCGGAATAGGGGTTGCCCCTGTCGCGCGATCTTATCGTTGCCCGTTTCGCGTCGCGGTTATTATCTTCCTCGAGGAGACCTCGCCACTTAACGGAGAACAACGGTAGAACAAACGCAATTGCTCGACGCGGTCGTCTCGTAGTTGTCCCTCGTCGCGTGTCACGGGGTTCCCGAGGCCAGCCCTCTCCTATTCGTCGGAGAGAACGAGACGATGAATGGATGTTCGCGTGTAAAACCAGTTGTACCCGATGACGTTCCTATTGATTTAGCGGTTTCCCGAGGGTGCGATTCTTTCGCTCCTCTCCTTCTTCTTCGCCGGCGACCCCTGCGCGCGTACGGCTCCCCTGCAGGACGGGTAAGATCATTAAAAGTTTCCTCCGCGCGATACGACGACCAGCTACGAGATCGTTGTCAGGAAACACGTCGGGTGTCGCGAAACAAACCGAAGCTCTTCCCGAAAAGACATTGTCTCGTAAATTATGGAGGCCGGTGCTCGAGTCGCATCCGAGTGTCCGTCCAAGATGTTCTTAATTCCCTCGCGACTACGGTTGACGAGGGAACGCTCGCTGGCGGTTCGACAATGTAGCACCCAAACTCCTTGATCTTATTCGAAAATATAAAGGAACGATATTTTTATTGTTGCAAAGCGGTGAGATCGTTGTTAATCTTCTTGCAATACGTGTAATTTCACTGTATTAACATTGAGATTGTTTGTTGAGTTTTATTTATTTATTTATTTAACGGGTAAAGTAAAAAGAGACTACAAAGTTTCTACAGTGCTTATAAGACACTAACAATCTGATTGCATTCACCTTAAAATTGTTGGAGGATAAATTAAAAAAGCTCAAGTCGTTAAGTGATGGCTAGATTAACAATTCTGCTAAACGGATCAGTAAAATCGAAATTAGAAGTGTCACGTATAGGTTTAAAAAGTGAAAACTCCCATTTGTAGTCAAATAATTTTATACTCTCACATACCCTATTCTTGGGGACTTTTCATATCTCTGTATTTTTGACATATATCTTTGTTCGATATTTTAAACGTCTATGTTTTTGCATGTTTTATCTATTTCATGATTCTCAGACTAGGAATGTCTAAGAAGTAATTGGTGCAATACCCATAGCTGTATTAGCATTTGCCTTTCATAAAGACGCCTAACACTATGTTCAATATGTTTTGTCTTTTATGAATACTTTTCCAAACATTCATATTCAGAGATTACAGTTTAATTGAATAAAAAGTATCCTCACGAGCGAGAAGAGTAGCGACTGCTGACCATACCTGAGAAGTTCGTGGTTTAAACAAAGGATCGCGCGCGAGTTGATTCGTGGCACAACTCGCTGTCATGTCACGTCATCGTGATGTCTGCGGAATTGGTAGCAACGGCTGGCTGCAGAAGGGTATCATTTGTCACTGTCAGGAACGATGAACTGCCATCAGCTATCGAAGGTGCACGGTTCTCGAACGCGAAGCACTTCGACGCGGTTCCGACAGCCGATGATCCGTAGAAACCATCTGTCATGGCGTTCGGAACCGTGAAAAAAGTTTCGACGAAGAAAGCGACTGGGCGTCGTAAAAATCTTTATCTTTTCGATACTTGCCGCGATACTACACGCTCGCACGATTGGTTTAATAGATTTATGCGGGATCGATCGCGAGGTACATCCAGACGAGAATAGAAGAACTATAAAAGCGGCTCGATCATGCGATTTCGTTCTTGACTCGATTCGAGCTTTAACCGTCTTATGCGCCTCGTAAGAAAAAAGGTCGATAGGCGGACGAAAGTAGTATTCACGCTGGTGTATTTGCGTTTAATATTCAACAGTGTTCTCCGATCCTTCGAGGGCGAGTAATTTTTGGCAACAACCGATGTCAACGTCCCTTCGCTTCCGTTCTCGTACCCTCGAAACTGAATGGCGCTTATCCTCCCAAGGGCCCCTGCCCTCAACCTGCCATTAAAAATGTAAGACCGTAGCAAGCACGAAACGCAGTATCAATATCGCGTCAACGATTTCTCGATCTCGAATCGCCCACGAAAACCTACGCAAGATGAATAGGTAGAGTCTGACGGTAGCGATGTAGGCTTTATAAATATTTTACAAGGCCGTAGCAAACGCTACAAAGAGCTCGAGGACTCGGGCGTAACACACTGACATCGTTAAACATTGATGTTCCATAGAAATAGGCTAGCAAACGTGTTGAAATCACCGTTAGGTATGTTTATTAATGCGAAATTCAAAATTTATATGCTCGCGATCTTCCTGTAATCCCTATTATTTTGTTTAGTTGCTCTCTATAAAACTTTAATTTAAAAAAAATCAGAACATTTTGAACAAATATAAAATGTTTGTTCAACTCTTGGCCATTCATCACACTGCTGCAGGGGAATATACTTAACTAATGCACCATTAGAATCTATCGACTACTTATAATAATATGTGTACATTTGATTTTTGGATGATTGTAATATTAGTAACAAGAGAACAGCTACTAAATAAATAAATTGCACCGGTTCGTTAACCCCGTCGATGCATGCGAAAGATGGTTTAATGGGAAAAGCGCAATCAACGCATACAATACACGCGCGTACATCCTTTTTCGAACTTTTTCGTGGGGTCGAAACTTTTCCTTTGCCGCGCGTTGCTATGGCTACGTTCGGTCCGTTTGTTTTTAGTCGTCGGACCATGTCGGGAACCCAGGGATACTCTCGTTTACTCGTGTCTTTGCCGTGTATTATTGAAATCAGCGTTACGAATACGCCGGGCAAACCCGATTGGTTAAGCCGGAGGGGTTGCCTCGTGTCCTATTCTCTTTCCGCTCTCTTTCGTCCTCCCTTTGTGCTTCGTTAAAATTCTCTCTCCGTCATTCGCGGCGAATCGAAAGTGGGAAAAAAAAAATATATTCCGACCCGTTGAATACGCTTCGCCCCCGTTCGCGGTCCGTTCGAGTTTGTTCGTTTAATCCGCGAACGGCGAAGATCCGTCGTTCGGATCCCGAGACTTGGTGAAAGTTTTCGAGACGTTCCGCATTGTTCGCCGGATAACTGTTTTCCCGCTAATTTTACAGCGTTTTAACGTCGATGGTGAATTTAGCCACTAGTCCGCCCTTCTGCGACCCTCTCATGCCGTAATACGGGGTAGACGCAAGTGGCTGTACAGACCTATCAACTTTAGGCACGTACTTCAAGTTACGTAATTACTTTCAGCGCCCCTGCTATGCAGCCTATAAACCTTCCTTCCATCTTCTCTCCTTTGCGTGTACGATCGCGGACCCTTGGCTAAGGCAACGCGTTTTCTCCTCTCTTCTTGCCGGTACACGGTCACCGACTGAAGCGAAAGACTCGTGATAGAACCACTGTGCGTCAAAAGAACCACGTACATACGTATGTACATACTTTCTATGCAACTCGAGACAATGGCGGATTAATCTCCAACGAAACCCTGGACCGTCCACCTATCCGTTGGACGCAGTCAAATTACACAAAAAATGTTATAATAACCATTCATAGAAATTCTCTAGACCAAAATTTTGATGTTAGACAATTGCAAATTGCATAACTTGAAAATTTCACTCAAATTTATTTCCTTCAACATTTCAATTTGAAAATTAATTGTTTTGTAGTGGAAAATCCTGTCGTATATGAATAACGTGGCCACTGAAAGTGTTGAAACTTCAAATTTCAAAGGGTAAAATAAGAAAGTGGAAATTGGTGGCTCTCTCGTGCCTTTTGTCGAGACCAACCCCGGTTGCATTCGGCATTCAGAAACCTCTCTAGTCGAAATTAGAGAATTTTCAAACCCATTGTCATCCAAGATGAATAATTCATGAATATGAAAAATGTAATTGTTACTTAGACCATCGATGCGATCTATATTACAGATTTCTATGATATTAAGTGGAAGCTTGTTGTTCGTAGACCAACATATGGAGAAAGGTGAGAGCGCAACGGGGTTGTGCAGTTCCTAGGGGACGAAGAGGACATTCGGCGTTGGTTCATCGTGGCCAGATGCTCATCTACGGCGGCTATCAGGATTTGCGCGGAAGTTCCCCGGAATTGTGGGCATTTCACTTTGGTAAAATGATCGAGTTCTTAATTCTTCTGAAAGAATGTATTCGCGAAAGCATAGATTGTCGATGTGTCCTTTAGAGACGGAATCCTGGCACCTTCTTTCGTCCAGCGAATGCGGTCCAGCGGCGAGACATAAACATTCCGCGGTACTGCATGGCGACGCCATGTACGTTTACGGAGGTATGACCGACCTGCAAGAGAGAAGCGACTGTTGGCGATGGGACGTAAACGCAGCTTCCTGGTGTCTGTTGAAAAATAAACCCGGACCCGGACCTCTTCACGGCCACGCAGCTTGCAGGCTACCCAGTTGCATGCTAATTTTCGGCGGTGAAAGCGGCGGTCTAGCCACGAACGAGCTATGGAGGTTTCATTTCGGTAATGAATGAAAAACACTGCTGGATACAGTTATGCTCTTTAATTTTGCTTCTTCAATCTGCCAAAATTATATCCGCTTATTATAAGACGATGGAAACGCGTTGAACTTTTTCACGATCCCAACAGTTCCGTTCTGCGAATGCATTTTAAACGGAACGACGTCCGCAGGTACGGAAACGTGGGAGAAATTGTCGGTGCAAGGTCCCAAACCACAACCGAGAGCGGAGAGCGTCGCTTTGGCGGTTTCTGAACTGATCATTCGAGGGACCAACATTGACAATCCGAAGCTCAAGCCAAGAAATCAGAGGACGAGGCTTTGCAACAATAGAATATCGCCGAACGAAGCGCCGGCCAGGCCGAGCTTTCTTAAAGAAATTTCGAAATTGTCGCAGATCAACCTGTCGCGGCTGAGTCATCCGACGAAATGTAGCTATTCCGTTTTGAGCGGCCAAGACGACAACGAGGAAAGTCCGCAAGAAGTATGCGACATTATATTACTTGTAGTGGGGGTAAGATTGCCTAAATTGGACCACTGTATTCCTTGAACGATACAGTAAGAAGCGACATTTTTGTCAACAAATTTTAAGATAGAAGATAAAAAAGGACGGGAGGAGGGCCTGCTAGTGGTCTCATTAATTAATAAGACGATCCTAGCATGCCCTGCTTTAGACGGCGAGATATTGTATAGCCTATATAGTATAGAAAGGGTCAGTCGAGCGCTTGTGAGAGAAACAATAGCGTAGCCCTCTGGTGGCGAGCACGGGAGATGAGGTTTCAGAACCGATACGATTGAAAATATCGATTCTACGCAACGGTTATTCGGAATAAAATTAATATTATAACTCAACCCCTATTCCGAGCCACACGATAATCTGAAACAAAAAGAAAACCGATACTTCGAGAGCACTCGACTGGAATAACCTCTGAAACAGCGGTCCAAATAAGGCAACCTTACCCTAATAGCAACATCGCGTCGTATCGTTTCGTTCTCGTTTCAGTTTCCATTATTTGCACACGTATTAAGTCCCGCGTTTGCAAAAGAAACGCATGTGACAATTTGAGCCTGCCCGCAGGCAAACACGTATTATCCATTTCAGCAAGTGGACGCGGAGGTGATCGAGCCGTCGACGGGAATGGTGAAGTCCCGAAGCGCCAACACGCTCGCGCGTCGAAGACAAAAGCCACCGGAGACGACGCCGAAAATCATCGACGCCAACAACGCAAACAACAATACCACCAACTGCGGGATGACCAGAGACCCAATCTCGGTGCCAAATTTCCGTGCACTGACCCTGCCCACGCCAGTTTTGACACCCGTGGAAGCTGCGAGACTCGTATTCGTCGATCCCGACGAAAACAGCGACAACGAAGAACGCAAGGAACCCCCGACTTCCAGACTGATAGAAGTCCAAGAGGAAAGACGGTAAATCCTGCGCCTTCGTCTCCGATAGCACGATCCAACGGATAAGAATCTATTTTTAATCTGCAATACTCGCTAGGTAAACGCGGAGCCAGAAGAAGAACTGCACTTGCTGGTCGAGCTTTTGTAAATTTAAATCCTCCCAAGGGTTGCCTAATGGATATTGCGGATCGCGTTATGGCCGTAGTCACGCGATGGCTATAAACATCCTTCTGCTTTTCAGAGATTTCGCTGCCATGCATCAAGCCTGCCAACCTACCCGCGGCGAAAGTTACAGCTCTCACCTTTACGAGGCGGCACTGCAAACACCAAAGACACCAACCGCGTCGAAGATACCAACGTCCGCTTCGGTCAGGTTCGCCGATTTGGAGGAGGGCGAGGAATCGACGTCGGATTACGCGAGCATAGAGGCTAGAAGTCCCGGCGATCCTCTCGGCGACGACGATTGGCCGTCAGGACGGAAGAGCAAACAATATCGTTCTATAGTTACTCCGTCGACGATACGCGAGGGCCAGTTCGGTTTCTGCAATCCGAATTACCTTGGACTGGACGAGACGAGGAACCATCATCACCAGCAACAGCAGCAGCAGTCTCAGGACGGCAAGTACGCGAAGATGCTGAACAGTCCGCCGGACAGCGTGTTGGAGGACGAGCCAGGTAGATCTGCGTCCCAGACGTTCGCGGAACTGTTGGAGCTGCAGGAAATCAAAAGAGTGCCGAGAGCTCCGCCGAAAAGTTTGCCGTTAGGCTCTCCATCCAGAAGGGCGGTGAGCGCGTCGAGGGCGGAAAGGCAGAGAGCAAAGGTAGCCGCAGCGGACATCCACGAAACGGAAACGCCGTCGTACGGGCCGGCGCCGCTCTACGTATTTTTGGTCGGTGGCAAAGAGAAAGGTCAGGTCACGGTGTTTGCCAGGCCAGTTTCTTTATGGAAGTTACAGTTAGCGCCTCACATCTTTTAATTTCCCATTATTCGAACAGCTCGGTTCGAGTCGTCCAATCAAAAGAAACAATCGAGTATCATTCTGTTGCTCCTCGTTACTTGCGAGGAACGGTTAAACGTTTGGTTTCCTTTTCGTTTCCCGATTAATTGCAAACCGAAATGTTAATTCGAACGTTCGTTTCGAGTTCTCAGCTATTTCAATTGCGCGTGAGTATAAGTCGGTGAGTGTAGCTCTCTAGTGCCAAGTGTTGCTTTATCGTTTGTAGAACTTTCAGTTGTATTTAGACGTCAATTATTGCCGTCGTTACATTTTATAGCGCAACGTCACATTGTGATTGGCGCAACTCGAGCTTAAAACGTTGAATTTAGTCTGCTAGATTTTGAGGGGATATCATAACGCCATATGAATTGGTCACGTCGCCAGATATAATTTCCGATATTAATATTTCGTTCGAACGATTCTTTTCCGTACCTAACGTTTAAATAAACACAGAGTTTAACGCGATTGAAAAATTAGAGCTGTTTCAGTTTTTCGTTCAACGATATCTCGATAGCATATCGTCGATTAATTGTGGTCTTTTCCAGACCAAATATACCGAATGCATGCTTACATATATATCGAATATTCGCGGACGTTTGAATTCGAAATTAATTCGTTTCCTTTGCTACTCAAATTTTCGTGAGTGTAATCGTACAAGAAACGTTCACGTTTAAAATAGGGTCGTAAACGAATACGTACTAATCAAGAGTTCATATTGAACCGATTACTTTAAGATGATGGTTCTCTGCGCGTTAGTTTGCATAATAATTTACAGTGAACGTTCATAACGAAGCGCAAGTCAAGCGAGTGGATCGAATAGTCCTCTGTTTTTGAAGGCGTCCTATCAGTTTTAAGTGGTATATAGATAGTAGTAAGTCTTACGGAAAGGTATAATTACGACGAGTCAAGGTGGGTATATTGTATTCTAGATTTATCGTAAACGATAAAATTTTTCATACTTGTAATAGACGGAAATATACGCGAGGTTCTAGACTGTTCGAATTTCTCGACTCGAAAATTAAAACTACTGTGAGCCGTCAACGCTTACACCGACAGTATCGGATACTAGTTGAATGTCAAAAGGCTCGCCTGATCTGCGCTTAACTTCCATCGTATGTGAATTCAGTATACGTAGCGTGTAAAATAGAAGTAATATCCACAAGCTTGAGGTAACGTTCAAAAAAGATCCTGAATATATTGATGGAAATCGGTGTGTGGTTGTGCCGAATGTGTATAATTAAAGTACCATACAATTATTCTGCGAAAATTAGATTTTTATAAAAAAGATAACTCTTAACGGGATTTTCGTCGATGATCGCGACCGATCTAGAGTAGAATCGAAAAAAAAAAAGTATCCAAAGGAGACTGTGTCAATATTTGTTTTAGTTTCATCGCGAAATAAGCCATTTCTAATGCGCGAAGCGTACAATCGTCGTCGTCGTATTTCAAAATATTGTAGCGTATATTGGTCGAATTTTTACGTGGGTTACGTGATTTACAATAAACTCGGGAGTCTCCACCGTGACTATATTTACGAACATAGCGTGTTAGTTCTGATAGGTCTATCGTAAGAGGTAAAAAAAAGTGGTAAAATACGTTGGGAGGTTTCTTGTTCGTGTAGAATTTTTATGCCCACAAAGGCCCAATACATATAATCCATCCATAAGTAGCGAAAGGTCGACGTGGTACCTCGTAGGCTGAATATTAAGAAACACTTGGTAAACATTTATGTAAAAATTTATGTATTCATTTAAAGGAACACATATAATTTGTGGATAATTCTTTCACCAATATCAAAGTTACTTCTTAGGATGTTTTATGAAATTTTGCAAATACGTTTGTTCAAAGGGCATGTGCAATATGTATAGGAATATAGTTATTTTTTTTTGTTGTTTTACATAGTTTGATAGAAGGATTTCATAATATTCAGCTAGAGGCCTCCAGCACCCAAAAAATCAATGTTTTTCATTCGTAGCACTAGTCAATTTAACATCTCAGTGTACAAAAGTTAAGATGAATGTTTCGTGATATTTCCTTCCTCTCCTAGGAGCCCTTAGCCTAGCATCTATTTATTTTCAGATAGATTAATATGGTACAATACTATCCACAGTGCAGTTTTATGTTGTACGCATAACCACTCCCATAATCTTGACCATTTTGGCGTAAATAGCAATCTTAGTTAGTTAATTACCGTGCGTTGTTGGTAAATTGACAATCAAAAAATGCAGAAACAAGAGGAGCGAGTTGTTAGAATCCTCGACAAGGTTGTTTCACTATAACCAATCAGAGTCGCCTTTTTTTCTATTGTCAGTGCTTACCAGTAACGCACAGTTCTTGTACGAAATATACAATGCCGGTCAGTGTCGCCTTCAGATTAATTTTCGTTTGCCAAATATTTGCATCCAAGCAAGACCTTCGAAAGTTTCGTAGATCGTACACGTTTATTTTAGCATGCAGACAAAAGCTTGGATACAAAAACGAAAGTGAAAGCAAATCAAAGCGACGCGCAGTTGAAATAATTAACATTTTCGCGTCACGATTATTTTACGTTGTAGGTGCGCATATAACGCAATCCGATAGTCAATTATCACTGTGTCATTGAATGCGTCCGTTGCCAAATACGTCTCTTTAGAGTACATATTTATGCCTCGTAAACGAAACACCAGAGTATAAGCTCGAAGATATGGGTTTGGTCCCAAAACGAAAAAAAAAGAGAAAAAAGAAAAATAACAATGTAGCTGATTTGAGTGCCTCTACTTTATGCAAATATATGCATTTCATATTTTTCTGGACACGGATGACTTTTTTCGAAAAGAAATATTTCGCCACATTATCTTCTAGCTTATGCATCCCTTTAGCGTTATCGATGGCTATGTGTCGTGCAAGCGATACGAGTGAAAACAATATACATTAACAGACGGTGTTATATGATATAATGTGGTTAGAAGAAATAAATCGCGTCATATTCCAGTGGAGTTTCATATCACAGAATGCAGTATTTTTTCAACGAGTAAGCCTTCAAATAGAGGACCCACGCTGATTTTTCTATGTTTAAATGTCAGACAATATACTTACATGTACGCATATAAGTACGTATGTATATCTCCATATAAGAGAATAGCTGTGAAGATTCATACCAATTTGTAAACATAATGACGGTAATGATATTTGTATGATTTGCACATATTTGTCCGAAATTATACAACTGTGTTCGCTGGTTTCTACGAAGGAACATTATATGCAATTTAGCCAAGTGCAAATTTAAATTCTTTAGTTTGTTTCCGTATAACGGGAACCAGTAACGAACATCATTTCCTTGCATTGGAATCTATGTAATAATTATTAATGGTATAAATATCATAGATAAACACAACAAGATGCTTATACAGTTCGATATTATGAAATACAATACTTTTGCGTTAGCAGTTTACGCCAAAGAAAAACAAAAATGTTATTTACTTTTTTCCTTGTCTGTATTTAATTTTATGGTCTAAGAAGGAATTGCTCGAAAAATTGAACGTAGATGCAATAATTTTCAAAATACGCGGATCTGTATTGCTTGAATGTTGGTGTTACTGAAATAGAAGTCCTGTGAAATGTTTTCCAAAGTCCGATTATCAAGTTATCGAAAACAAATTACTACATGGTATCCATAAATTGGCACTTAACAATATGACTAATACGGAGGGATTTCTATGAACGAGGAATTATGAAGTTGTTTGAAAGGAGGCAATAGATTATGAACTAGGACGGAATATACATTTATTTAATAAAAATATTTCCTATCATACAAGAATTACTTTCTGTTTACTGAAGTCTGCCATATCGTAACATTTATTTAGTTACTTTGGTTACTTTTCAATCTTCAGTGATCTTCACTGAATAATATGAACAGATAATGAAATTACTTTATTCTACGCTATTTTTAAACTAATTAAATATTGTCTAACAATCAACTGGCACGTGAAAACGTACCTTTTCCAACATATGTATACCTAGCGAGAAACAAAAAATTCCCCTAGCGTAGTCGCCTTCAAGTTACCGTTACCGTAACACTGTCGACTTGTAAATTTCGCGCCAAAGTAGTCAATGATGGCATCAATACCGGTAGATGGAACGTGATGGTTCTTCAAAGAAGTTTTACAATTTATTTCCTAATGTGACAAGAGACAAGTAAGATTAGTGTATTGTTTTTAGCAGACTGATTGTGCCTGATATATTGTTAAGTAAATATGAATCAAAACGACTATTCGGTGACGTGCTCTGTAATAATAGAATGGACAGACTCGCACGGTTCGATACGAAAGAAGTTAAATCATCGAACGGCAACTTTACGCTTAATCCGGAATAATTTGCGTGAAATGTTCGTCGAAGTACGAACAGACAAAGCGAATCTAGTAACGAAACTCTCGTTGAAATCCATTAACGTTTTTAATAAATATATGACCGATGGAAAAGCTTCTATAAAACTTAAAGATGAAAACTGTACGTTATTCCTATCGAATGCGCCGGTTTCTCAATTAATGAAATTTTTAAAAACAATATACATAAAATTTTCGAATGAACCGGGACAAACGGTGAAAAACCCACTCACAGAGAGACTACTTTCTAATAAATCGTTGGGTGGCCTACAAGAAATTAGTCCTGTAACAAGTGCTGAAACAAATAAAGCCAAAGAGAAGGCTATTAGTGTGTCACGTGCAACAGTTACAACCCCATCTCCTAGTGCTTTGAAGAAGAGAAAACGCACAGATGAAAATGGTTTAAGACCTACCACAGCAAAGAAACTGTACGAAAATCCAACTACCATACAAATTACAGAAGAACAAACCAAAATTCTAGATGCAGTGCTTAGTGGTAAAAACATATTTTTTACCGGTAGTGCTGGTACTGGTAAATCATATTTACTCAGAAAAATAATATCAGCTCTTCCTCCTGATGTTACAATGGCTACAGCAAGTACCGGAGTAGCAGCGTGTCATATAGGTGGAATTACTTTACATCAGTTCGCAGGCATTGGACTGGGTAATGGAACTGTAGAAAAATGTTTCAAAATGGCTGTTCGTAATTCTGCAAATTTATGGAGAAGAACAAAACATTTAATAATCGACGAAATTTCTATGGTCAAATCAGATTATTTTGACAAGATTGAAGCTATTGCTAGGCAAATCCGTAGAAACGAGAGGCCTTTTGGTGGAATGCAACTGATCTTATGCGGAGACTTTTTTCAATTACCACCTGTCTCTTCTAGAGATGAAAAAGCAAAGTTCTGTTTTCAAAGCACAGCATGGGAGAAGTGTGTACATTTTAATTTTGAACTACAAACAGTTCATAGACAGAAGGACCCTGAGTTTATCAAAATTCTGAACAATATTAGAATAGGTAGAATTACAGATAATATTGCAGAGACTCTTAAAGCAACGGCTAAACAAAAAATTGAAAAGAATGGAATTGTAGCAACAAGGCTGTGTTCTCATGTGAATGAAGCTGAAGAAATTAACGAGTTTCAATTAAATGAATTGAAAGGTGAATCTAAAGTATATGTGGCTTATGATTCTGATCAGTCCGTGACTTCAGTATTGAATCAACAGTTAACTGTTCCTGGCAAACTTGTATTGAAAGTTGGTGCTCAAGTAATGCTGTTAAAAAATATAAACGTTGCTGGAGGTCTAGTAAATGGAGCAAGAGGTGTAGTTATCAAGTTTGCAGACAATATGCCAGTAGTTCAATTTAAATCAGGTATTCAATATCATACAAAATTAGAGAAATGGAACTTGAAAACAAATATAGGTAACGTTGTTCATAGGAAACAAATTCCGCTTAAATTAGCATGGGCTTTTTCTATTCATAAAAGTCAGGGTTTAACATTGGATTGTGTAGAAATGTGTTTATCCAGAGTCTTTGATGCCGGCCAATCGTACGTAGCATTATCGCGAGCACAAAGTTTGCAATCTTTGCGAGTTCTAGATTTTAAGAATGAACAGATATGGGCCCATTCGGATGTACTTACATTCTATAAGAAATTTAGAAGAAATTTACATGAAATAGAAATGATTCCATTAAAGAAGAAACAAAAATTATAATTATATTTGCATGTTAAAAGAAATATTTTATTATGAGAAAATTATATTATACGAAATATTATTCTTTAGATTTTTGACAAAATTCGAAATAGAATTAATACGACAGCATATGGTAAACAAAGACTGCTGTACTTTATTAAACAAAGTGAAAGTATTGATTGTTAAACTTTTTTTTTTTCACATTTAATTATTATAACAAGGCATAGAAGTATTTATTTTTTCCTTTTTTACAAATGTTACAAAGCCGCGCATTAAATTATGCTACATATGTTAATAATCATCAACAGTTATTTCTATTGGTGGTATATAACGCCATGTGTGTCCAGCATTTATTAATTCCGAACAAAGTATTGGTGTGTTCGGGGCCGATTCTTTACTACTACATTGAATATCTATTTTGTATTGTCCAGTTGTGAAGAACACTACACGGCATTCGTGATAAACTCTCCCGTATTCCTGTAACTAAGAAAAACATTTATTATAAGAAACAAAATATTTGTTACAATATTCTTATTATTAAACCGACTTACTACTGGGAGCATAACTTTATTTGCACCAGCAATAGATAGCCTTGTTTCTAGTTGATAATTATTGACCCCATTATGGTGATCCTGATAAAAATTAATAGACAATGTGAGATCGCTCAAAGGGTGTTCCAAAGCGTTACATACTCCTATCCCGACGCTAACGCATTCGCCTAAACTACATGTCAGTTCATCCTGTGCCTTCACAAGTGCGTCATTTATTTTTATCTCTGTAAGAAACATGTGTCAATTATGCATTAAATTGAATAGTTATAAATGAAAGAAAATTATATTCACGATGACAATTAAAACATACCCCATTGCAAAGGACTCATTCTAACGAGGTCCAACATATCCTGAGTGAGAGTAATGCCAGAAAGTATTGCTTTCCCAGTCGAATCTGTACCTAGTAATTGCCATCGTAAATCAACCAAGGAGGCAATATGCTCAGAACAAATTTTTTGAAGTTCTCCAATATCACCAACTCCATTTAACTATAAATAACGTACGAAAAAAAATGTTTGCGTTTTCGTACTCCTAGATGCGCAAAATTATATATTACCGTAGATAATTTATGAAGCGGGCATCGATCAACTGGTACGGGAATTCTACAAGACTCTTTACCCTCCATATATATACATTTAGTTTGCGTATAATGCAATTCCATTTCATGATTGGTCATATTCGTTAAGTCTAATACGAGATAAAACTGCGATGGTCTGAAAACGTATTTAAAAAATACAGAATAATTGTTAACAATTGTTTTTACGTTATCACTTACGTTTCTGCTGGAAGCACATCCCAATTCGTAATTTGTACGCTGGGTAACATTTCGATGGTTACAAATACTGACGAAGTACGACAATAACCTGCCGTTAAACCAGCACCACCTGAGTACTTTATTTTTAATTGGCCCTCGATAACATTTGAAGCGTGTAGTGGAACAGCAAGCTTTGATAAACGCGAACTAACCATGGAAGAGTTGCCAGAATGAGAACTTAAACCTGATCTGAACGAGGAAGTTAACTCAGATTGTCGTTTTGTATGCGACGGAGAACTTAATCTAGATGGTAACGAACTATGCCCCGAATGGGACATTAAACTGCTTGGTTGACTGAGATATGTACTGCTAGTAATATCTAAAGAATATACACGTAGAAGTTAATTAGAATGAAATTTTATAAAACAATGTAAGTAATTATTAATGACACTACCGTTCCGGGATATAGGTGCAATAAAATCTGTGGTCGCGTACAAATATAAGGTAAGACTTGCACTGACACCAGGCTGCAATGGTAATTGTGTCATTAAATTTTCATCGTTCCAATTGAATATTTTGTGTTCAGTTATCGCATCTAGTGTAGATTGTACTGACAACTCAATCGTTTCAATAGGAACTTGGCCAGAGTTTTTAATAGTTACAGTACATTCAGCGCTGTAGCGAAAAAAAAACAGGTTTTGTATTACACTTGAAAAGTACAATTAATGAAATACTTGTATATGTATATAAAATGTACCTTTCACCACCATACAGTGATATACTTGCACTAGTTACTATATTATCTCCAGAACTAAAACTTGCAGTCTGAGGTAAACTTGTAGCCACTTCTATCCTTGGCAAAGCTGGAACTACTTCAACAGTATATTGGGGATGAACCATTCCTTCCATGTACCTTAATCTGCAGTTAGATTTTACTCCTAATGTATGTGTACTAAAACCAAGTATTTCCAAGTCTCCAATTTCTTTAGGCCTGCCTGCTAATGTTACTGCAATTGGTCCTGACTCTGCAGGAAGTATAATACTTTCTGGGATTGATTCGAATACTACTCCATTTGTAAGAAGTCTCATATTGGACACATTAAGTTCAAATGGTAAGGGATTAATGAGCTGCATCGATACTTCACAAATGTCACCCTCTACCCACAAGTAATCTGTAATTATTTATACTTTTTGTAAAAGCAAATCGTAACATATCTGGTTCTATAAATAACATTTGATAATTGAAATGTGAACACACCAACTTTACTTTTAGATGTATTCTTTCTCTCCAATGAGCCAAAATTAATCGGCGTAAATAAGAAAGGACCATGGTCTTCTTTGACTCTTTCAATCTTTTGAGGCTGAAGGTGCGATTGCATATTTTTCAATACGAATGATTTTGTTTTTGGAATATTCGTTAAATTAGCAGGTGGTATAACTGTTCCCGAATCTAGAACCTATCAGAGGAACTTTATTTTTTCTAAATGACGTGAGTTACGGATTTCCGAAATAGTTTTACAACACTTACGAGTGGTACAGGAGCACCTTCGCATTGTTGAGATACGCTTTGTAGTTGCAAAGCGGTGTCTTTGCGCTCGATAGGGGTCAAATAGTTGTACATTGTTTGAAGCAAAAATGTCATATGCCTAGTTGCAAGTGCTGGATTACCCATACGATTAGCGGCAGCAACAAGATCATTTATCACTTGAATCTGAATAACTGGCCAACCTCTATGCGTATCTATGTATATCAATTTTTTCTTAATATCTTACTGTAATTTTATTAAAAAGAATAGTGCACTCATGCGACAAAAATTACCGGGAGTCATATCGACAGGATCTAAAGACAGTTTAAATCCAGGTGTGGCTTGTAGCATTAAGTTATAGCACTGTTGCCAATCTGGATTAGGATTATTTTGAGATACGTGTCTTGTTGCAGCTAATCTTAAACAAAATGATGATTTCCTTATGAAACCAAAGCTTGTGTATAAATCTGACAATGTAGTAAATCGATCGATCTGAAACATTGCAAATATGTAGTTCCATTGAACTTAATAAGCCGGTAGCTCTTTCAGTGAAGTTACTTACTTTCTCTTGTTCGCTTAATAATAAATTTATAAGTATAACATTATTTAAATAAGAAGCAGCTTGCAAAGTGCAATTTTGCTCTATAGAAATTCTTGTAGCTTTAAAGCTAGCTTCTGTCTCGATTATTCCAGCATATTGATATTTACTATAATGAACTATCGCCTCACGATATTTCTTTGATATCTCTTCAGGTAATAAAATGTGTGGCATACTGCTTTTTACTACGTCTACAGCAGGTGGTGATGGTAAAGTTGTAATAGCTTGTGAACCTCGTCTAAATACAATAAGCCATTATCATTTTTTCAACAAACCCATCGATTCTTTTTATAATTCAAATGACTTTTTGTTTTTGTACATACAAACAAAAAGCATAAGTGTAAATTATACATACCTCTGCTTACCTGGACTTCCTTCTTGAAGGGAAGAGTTTCTTTGTAATGGAAGACTTCTACACATATTTGGATATAACACTAGAGCAGACGCAGCGCATAAACCTTCGAACGCTGCTCCTAGCCATAGCCAATCATTCACTGCTTGTAATACACTAGCTGCTGAATTATAATTACTTAAAGCATCCGCTGGAAGTCCAGCTTGAAGACACAAATCACCTAAATGTTTCGTCATGCGACCTACACATCTTTTTCTATTATTTCTGGACTCAAGATCCAGTCCTATAAAATCTTTCTTTTCAAAAGGTGCTAACAAAAGTGAAACCCTATCTATTTTTTCTTTGGATCTTTCTAATCTCTTGGATTCCAAGATCCAAAACAGAGAATTCAGGCACTCCATAATGTGAACTTCAAGATCGGGGCAGGTCTCATCGGTATAAAACACAGCGCAAGTTTTAAAATTTGATGGTGTACTAAACGACGACGGTGGTTCATGCAGATTGTTTGTTTCCGTTGGACCAAAAAATATAGCACGCGAATCGTACAGCGTTGCGCTATACTTTCCTTTTAAAGTTACATGAACTCTACAGAGTTCATTGAGTTCTGCTTGGTTGTCATATTTGCCAAATGTAATTAACCCCAACAGTTTTCTGTGCGTTTGAAAATCTCCCCAATCATTATTTTCGACGGGATGTTCTCTAACAAATCTAGCAAGGATTTCACGTGTTCCGCCGGTAGAATCAGTGACAGTAAATCTGCTACCTGCTTTAATTATTCGTTCGCATAACCTGGTAACAGTTTTTTGTTTAATTTGTGTACCAATGGGTCTTAAAAGCAGGAGTAATGCCGCGTGATCATGAGCAGTTTGCTCGTAATCAGGATGAGACATCTTATTGTCGGGTACCGGACTCGACAAAATAACACTGATAGCCGAGCGCATTTATGTCACTCACTACCAAATGGCACGCACGTGTCCCTTAATTCTTGCCGTTTGAGGGGAATACGGTACGTCAAATACATCCCCTCTTTCTTCTTGATAAGGTTTTTGCACAAGACAAATGTACTTTAAAGTCTTCAGCTTGCACAAACGACGATAGTCTTTCTTATCATAGTGTAACAGACGTACAACAAATTTAGAACCCAATAATTAAATCCCATATACATCATACTCACTATGTACAACTCAATAATAACATCTCACTTTCTTAATTCCGCTTACTACACAAGCAACTGCAATGGCAGTCTACCATGTTTAAAATAAACTAAACGCACATGCGTAAGGGTACGATTATAGTAGAGCGGCGAGACGAGCGTGTCACGACAAAATCAAACCAGTGTAATGCAGAAATTGAAAACGGTTATATCGGTTTCGGTTCTCGAAATAGTCACGAAGGATCGAAATAATTCTATAACTGTTATGAAAGAAAACGGTTTTACAGCCTCTCATTATATCGATTGATAAAATGATTCATAGGCACGTATTTTTATTATACGTTTAAACTCACAATTTCTACTGTATATGAAAAGATATAATAATGCATATAAAAAAATAAAGATGAAATTTAGTTATTGATTTTATCTAATATATATTGAACTGAACACTGGGTTACTTACATTCGTGTTTAGGGTATTAACAAATAAATTGGAGAATATTTTTGTGTATAATACTTTATTACTATCTTAATCAACTAGGTGTATAATTTATGGTTTGTAAAATTGGCACATTAATAAACAGAAAGAAGTATAACATTTATCAATTACAGTATTATCATCTAGAACATTGGTTGCACAGGAGTTGAGTCTAATAAAATAAAAATTGTAATAACAGTGATAAAGAAATTAGACAAATATTTACAAGATAAAATTGTATAGAAAAGTATTAACATTATAAAAATTTTTAAAACATTTAACCATAGATGGTTGCACTATCTATTCAAGAATAAACATTAACTACAAGTTCCCATTTTACTTATATATAGTTGCTATTGTAAGACTTCATAAATAATCATGAAGATATTTCACTAAAAGATAACAGCGTTATAAACGTATCTTTAAACAACTGAAATATTTTGAACTTAGTGCGATAATAAAGAATATTGATATTGCGATTAATTTAGTTTGTAAATATTGAATATTCATTGGTCATCCATATATCTGCAAACTAACAATACATTCCCCCACATAAACGTATTTTATCTGATGGATAACATAACTATTTTTATAAATTTTCTAGTTACAAAAAATAATCTGATTGTTATGAAGTCATCTGTTAAATGTTTGGCCAGTACGGTAGATTGAAATGTTTCACCATACTTGTAATTTAAAACTTATGTTCATAATCTGTTCTATTGATACAAAAGCATAAGGTATCACATACAGATCTGCAGATCAATAAAACACAAAACCAAAGTCGACAATCATTTGAATGAATATTTTAAATGCACTTACTTCGTTTTAAACATCTGGTACAGAGTGATCCATAAGTGTTTTTAATAAACTAGTATTCATTCTGGAAAAAACAATTTTGTATTAGTATTTGTGGTTTTATGTGATTAAACATGTCATCGTATTCTAACGCGTACATACTTTTTAATCATGTGTTCGTAAATGTACGAGGGTATAATCGTTATGGTGACAATGTCTCCGCCATTTTCAATTTCCGCCGTAATTTCTTTATCTTTTAATCCGATGACATTCTAAAACATTTTAAATAAACGTGAAATTTACGAATCTAGTCAATTACATTAAATTCGCCGACTCGTAAGTTTGTAATATAACCTTTCCGTTAATTTCTAACAGTTGATGATCCGTTAAGAGTCCATTTCGAGCGGCCGAAGAATCTTTGAACAACGCAATTATCTTTCCATTTTTAAACTGAAAACCGATATACCCTGCGCTATCTTTGTGCATGGTTACTGTACGCTCAAATGGCCTAAAATGAATAATTTTATACCAATAGTTGAAGTATGATTACTTTGTAACTTAAGAGCATGAACAAATGAATTAAATTAACCTATCGCGTATAACTACTCTGATGCCGTTAACATCAGTGTTTCTCAGCATTTTATGAACCTGATCCATCGTGCACCCAGCAACGGAAATATCATTGATACTTAAAATTTGATCCCCAAATCGCAAACCAGCAAGTGCAGCCGGAGAATTTTGACTTACAAGGCATACAAAGATGCCATTACTGACAGCTTGTACTCTCAAACCAATTTTACCATCTTTATCTTTGCATAATATTAACTATAACAATCAAATAATAATATCAAAATTGTAAATGCAGTAATTAGTTGTTACGTATATACATATGCATACATATGAAATTATTTACCTCTCTTATACCATTTGTAACTTGCGATCTCTGCAATCCTAAAGATTGTCCAGATAATGGTGCAACCATACCTGCTATTGGTCCAGATGGAACAGGTACACTAACTGTCACCTGAAATATGAAATTAAACTTTAATAAGATTCTAATTCTATAAATTACATCGTATTACTTACACTTGAACGATTCACAAGTGAATATTCAGGCATGTTTTCTGCTATCACTGCTTCGCTGAGTTCCATCCCCATGTATTCTCCTAACAGAGGATATAATACAGCACTTGAATTATAGCTAGGTGCAGATGGAACTATATGTTCCTTATTCGATATGGGTGGAACATCATATTGCGACTCTGCTTGGAATTGAGCCTATACATAAAACATATTTATACTATCCATAATTTTATAGTTGAATGTTTATGCTATATGACATACCTTCATCATATGATCCACCTTCATGTCTTCAAGGGTAGGGTACAATGACATTTTGTACCGATTTTTCTGTAAATAAATATGTATCGATACAAAGCTTGTTTCAAAGGAAAACATTTCTTAGTAGCAATATAAAAATTACTTTGGAAAAAATAACAACACAAACAGAGTTGCAAGTTTCTATTTTATTTTAATACATTATAAAAGTATTTTAAACGAAACATAAATATGTACATAAAATGCAAAATACAAATATTCAGCGATATTGTATATAGTTTAACCGATAAATGTCTGCATACCGATGCGATGAATCTGCCGGACATTTAACAAAGATACATAAATGTTTGGATTTATAAATAAGTTTTTAATGCCATACCTTTAAAAAATGATTGATAAAACGCAAGTACCTTTTGTAATATAGATATTCCTTAGTAATTATTGCACTATTTTGCGTAATGATAAGGAAATCACAGAATCGCAGAATTTCCCAGAAATACCACTTGGAGTACCATTGACAACCCAGAAACGATGATAAAACAATCTTGGAAGTAGCGTTAACGTCAATTCCGTTATAACAGCTGATTCATTGGTTTAAGCTACGGCGTACAATGCGTCACTGCAAGTAGACGATTGGATCTAGTCACGTTATCTGCGAATAATGTGTACCAATCACCTTCATACATTCCCTTGCAACCCCGCGAAATAATTTCAATTCGAAACTTCAGCCGCAAAACCTGCTTTTTTTCGACGGAGATGCTTTCAACTTAATTGAACAATCTAAAAAACGGTGTATCTTTACAGTAATATACAACTTTTTTTTAAAATGGAAATGGAACATATTTATCTAAACCCCAATCTAACGTGTAATACATATTGTACAATATGATCAATGCTTCGAAACATACTTCACTATTGTTTTGTCGAGTAATGGTGAAAAGTACCTAAAACATTACGAATTTGACGTATTTCCTTCGTGGCAAATATTTGTTCGGTACATATTTCGTATTTTAAATGTATGGACGTGGTTGTGACATATCGAAACGTTTCGCGTAAGGTTTATAACGGTTAACGAGACATGATACACTTCATTTGATGGATTGCCGGATGGAACAGGCGAAGAGGAAGCGAAAGAACCGCAAGAGACGCATATGTACAACGTGGCGATCGGCGCCTTGCGTTCCGGACTTCATTGCAAGTTAAGGAAGGTATCGGGTAAGGGTGGGGAAAATAGATCATAGTGGGGGAATAGCGGGTCGTTGGTTAATATGTTGGTAGTATACAGCGGTGAGGCCTCCGTGCGGGTCGTGGTGAACCAACAGGTGTTTCGAGTTCGGCTGCAGCAGTACCGGTTTCCTTCGTTCTCTAGTGGTGTTTACGCTGGTGCCTTTCACTGACGAATATACGTCGCCGAAGTTATTTGTGGTACACTTGCCGTGAAGGAAACATAATATGATGTCGGAGACTGTTGTGACGATGGACGGTTCCAGCAACAACGCCAGCAATAATCCTCGCCAGGTACCCACTGTGAAGACGGAACCGGGTCAACCAAATTTTCTGGCAGGCATTAGATTAAACGTACCCTACTTCAGGACCATACCCGGTCTCATTAAGCTCGTGCAAGTGGTGAGTACGACAATATCAAACGTTGTTTATCGATCTTCATCCGGTTCGTGCCATACAGAGTGTTACTTAAACAAAAAAATTAATCAGTATTATTTTTTTTTTTTAACAAGACAAGTTTATTTCGAAAAATAATTGACGTACAAGGCGTTTCCAAGAAAAGTTATTCAGTATTTCTGTTGCAATAGTACAATCGTCCAAAAATCTTTTTACTCGATAAAGAATCGAGATTACCTTGATGTTTTTAAACGGCACTACATATTTTTAACTTCGATGTTTCGTTGGAAACAATTTCTTCTTCAGATTACGATGAACATTTCGTATAATTTATCGTGTTATTGTCCTGAGAAAAATCAGGGTTACCATCGTTTCTCGTAACTCGTATTGCACGTAAGAACGCTTTATTTTCTACGATGTCGTTCATCATATTGGATTTTGGCACGCACTCGGCATTGTTTTTGACGTTATAAATCCTCTCGTATCTTTTATCTGTCATTGTTATTTTAAACGCGAGCGTTTTGAAGCGCTACGTGATTTCGTGGCTGGTTCCCGGGGTGCATTTTACAACGGGAGTATCAGTTTCACCTTCGAACAACGTTATCGTTCATTATCAAACATCTGATATTTTGTTGTGCAGAGAGGAACACGCGTAGCCGCCGATTCCACGGTTTACACCGTGACGTTGAACTTACCCGCAACGGCATAACCACGTAACAGTAATCTCTTTACGGAACGGTTAACAAAATATTTCCAAGAAATAAACATAGCCGTTTCTACTCGTAAAATAGCTTATGCTAATATCGTCGATGCCTGTCATTACGAACAGTTTTTTTTTCGTTTCGTCGTCTCTGCAACGTTTCCCCATCGAAATCGACGATACCGTTAGGTGATCAGCATCGGTAAGCATCGTTTCTCTTTGGTTCATGCACGTGCAGACGGAGACACGCCCGGCGACATTTCTCGGTTTACTCGTTGGAAATGAAGCGCCGATTATTTTCGACCGTTGGAACTAGGCAAAAGGACGTATCGATTCGGTCGAACTTTGCCACGTAAAAGCGCACGTGTTTTCGCGTGTCCATTCCCTTCGTGTCTAGTAAATTCGAAGAAACGTGAACGTTTAGCAACGAAAATATCGAGATTATCAATTTCGTTTGTCTCATAAACGATTCGTTATCGCGTTTTAACTCGTTCGATAATGCGAACGTATATAGACCCGATAAAGCAAACGATTCCGAACGAGATGCGCGGAACCTGACCTTCGACGTAGCGGTCTTTCTCGGTGCGCAAACGTACGAAGCATGCGTGACCAATCTCAATAGTGACTTTGCAACAGGTCGATCGAATTACCAACAGATGGAAATCAAATACACCGTACTGTTATTTCACGAGACCTCTGCTCTGGAAACACGTTCCCCGATGCATTTCCATCGGCTATCGAACGTTTACACGCCACGGGAAACGCACAACGGATTAAAATACGTTCGGCGTGTCGCGATCGTTCCGCGTTAATAAGTTTGTAAAGCGAGTCGCTTGTTCCACGTAATTAGCCGCGACGACGAAACCGCCGGCATTCTTCCGACGGTCGTAGTTCGAGTTTCCACGTACCGTGATATCAACGACATTGAGAATACGAAGGAAGAACCGGTTTCGTTTTACTATGGACGATCATCGAGCCCGATCAACCAAAAACTCGAAACGATTCTCGTCGCTGATGGCATAGTTTCGATACGCTCGGACACGTCTCTACGAACTAGACACACGTTCGATGACCATACATGTTCATCCCGATGACCGGGACCATACGTGGCGTCCCACATACTCAGACTTCCATTCTACTGCCATACGACGAGGCCGTACCAACGGTATCGAAACGATTCATTAAGAATTCAAGGTGTCCTTGACTTCTCTTCGATGATTTTCGATCTTTCACGACCAACCCACATGAATTCATTTAGACCCCAACTAGGGGAGGCCATGACCTGTCAACCTGGGATTCGAACCAAATTTGGCAGACTTGTAGGGGCTGGTGTCCAAACGTAATCTGTAAAATACTAGACTTTTATGACCAGCCATTTTTTCAAAAATGGCTTTAAAGTTTAAAATTTCGAAGTTGTCGGATCGACGTAAATTGTAAGTCTCGACGAGAGGAACACAAAAGTCCAATACATTTTTGCGGTACCATCAATAGTTTAAACAAAAATTTGAGTAGGTCGGGGGTGGGGAATTTTTTTACCATGAATTTCATGCAATCAATTTAGCCAATATTTTATACAGATAATAATATTAATTTTATTAACGGGATTGGTACTCGATTGAAAGCTATCTTGGTAAAAAGAAAAAAGAAACAAATGGTCGCTTATAAACTGTTGACATCTTCGTTGCAAATCGTTACAGCGTTGCGTAATGCAAATCAGCGGTAAATTATATTCGGGAAAAAACAAATCGTATCGCGAAATGTTTTATTATCCCAGGCGCAAAAAGCCTTAAATACTATCAGTGGTGTAAACATCTCCAATGGCTGCTGTTGTTTGCATCGACGTATTCACTATGCAAATTGGACCGCCCGAACCTTGGATTCCAATAATCAACGGTGAAGCCTGCTCCGTGGAATTGCGTGCAGAGAAAACGAGAAATGGCAACAATAATCCAACTGGCATAATACGAATGCTATGTATCGTGTCACTTCGTGTACGTCATGTTTATTCGCGTCTATGTATGTACGTACAATCGCGTACAGGCTGGATCGTACGTTATGTTACACACGAACAAAACGAATCCAACGTTTTTCAGGGTCGCTGATAGTAGAGTCTGCAAACTTTCCAACTATCTGCAAAAGTATTTTCGTTTCTTTAATGCAATGCAAGTGTAAATCCACGGTCAGTCGTTTCTTAAAACGTCGATAAGCGGCTAAGTGCTGTTGTATTGATTCAGTTTAGAGTTTTTTTTTCGCACTGTATTATACCCGAGAATTAGAGAAATCGAAGAAACGCATTAGGAAATAACAGGGTGTTCTTGAAAGGTTCTTCAAAACATTGCAGGATTGTAAAACACGCTGAATTTAGTATAGAATTCCTAATCAACGTAAGTTCATAAATCAGTTGTTTTAAAACTAAATGTTCATTGTTTCAATAACGCGAGGTATTTCTGTTTTCCTTTTATTTACTTACGCAAGCGTACATAACCTATAATTTTATACAAGAATAACGAATAATAGTTTTAGACTCGTTAGTGAACTGATATCATAATTTAATAATATGTCGTTCTTAAACAGGATGTCATTTGTTTCATTTTTAAAAATGGTACAATTGCAGTTTCGTTGAAAACAAAACAACACAGATTGTTCCGAATTGATCTCGATCTACATATATTCCAATAATAGTATATATCAGCGAGAGTTAATTGTCCCATTTAAAGAATTAATTTCGGTCATGGTAATTCACGCGAGTTCCTTTCCGGTCAGTGATTGTCTTCCATTAACCGTGAGAAGAGAACGTAAGAATAGTCCACGTTTTTAAGGTCTCCTCGCGCAATCCTTCCTTGTAATCTGCGAAATCGCGATAAGCGTCAAAGATTTGTATGTAATACTCTGTAATATTCGAATTTATTAAATTAAAATAAAATTTAGATATCGAATAACCTAAATTTCAGATACACGATCGCGTTTCTGCATTTCCCTAACGTGACAGCCGTTTACAATTTCGAACGATAGATGGACTTGGTGTTTAGTGGACCAGAGCCGCTCGAACCACGCAAAATTTAATCAGCCACGCCAAAGGAAACAAGTGACGCGGCGAATTACGCAATGCCGATTATTACAACGTTTCCCGCGTCGTTGTGCCATGCGTTCTTATGGTGTGTAGGTTGTGCACGAAGCATATCGGTTGGTGCAACAAGTTATGCACCCACAGTTAATTGCACGCGAGTACCTTATACGCAAGGACAAACCGCGCCTCGTAGCGCTGACTATCCGCGGCATATTCAAGCCGATATGAACTGGTCAAGGGAATTATCGTACAGGATGATACAAAATTGACGTAACCTAAAATATTTGTCGAACGTAGGATTCTTATAAGCATCGCTCCGTCTGTTGGATGACAAAAACACGACCATATAAACACCACTCACAAGGAACCATCGCTAACGGTCCGGCTTCGATTTTGATGAAACTTTGTACACTTATAAAGCAGCCAAAAATAATCGACACGTATTTTTTTTTAGCTGCGGTAACTCGAGTTTAAGGGGTGAAACCACCCCTTGAAGTTTTGGCTCGAAACGGCTATCTCGAAAACGGAAAGACATACAAAAAAATTGTTAATGGGCGAGGTTGATGGTTTCTTATGTACAATAACATGGTGTTAAAAAATTTAAAAAAATACAATTTGTTTATAACAAAAAAAAATTTATTAACTTAATTTTTCATTTTATTGAAATTTTCATAATGACAAGAAATGACGAGCATTTTATTACAAATCCATTGGTATGCGATTTTTTAAAATTGCCTCCTACAGTTTTGCAGATTTTGATGATTTACATCTTGCGCAGCCACATCCATTATGGTAGTAGCCGTTCTAACTTTGATTTTAATGAAGCACTGTAGGCTTGCACTACTTCTAGAGGACAAAATCGGGAAAAATACAAGAATACCAATTTGTTGATGGAGGCTTCGTTAAGAAATTATTAACGTTTAAAGTTCCGCCCGTACTGAATTTTTTTCTCCGAAATGCCCAAGATTTCGGGGGAATGTGTAATGACCAAAAATGATTGTAATCGACCCCTGCAACCGTAAATAATTTTTTCAGAATGGTTTGAAATTTTTTAATTTTGTTGAAAAATTTCACACATTCTCGAATTTTTTTCTCAAAAGTGCGCAGGATTTCGGGGGTATATATATTGACCAAAAATGATTGAAATTGACTCCCGCAGCTGAAAATAATTTTTTTAGAACGATTTGAAATTTTTTTTTTTCGCTGAAAAATTTAGGCACCTACGCCCTGTCGATTTTT